AGTTTCTGTTTGAGATGTGTGCAATCGATACAATAAACTCACAGGCTATGTACGATTTTGGGATAAATCAGCCTCCCAACCGCAAGCAACATGAGTGCCATGAAACCAAAATCCACATGTCCCCAGCCTGCTTGAGCTAAAATAGGCTGCACTCGAAGCACATTTAGAAGTAGACCACTGAATACAATGGGACATGCTTCTGAGTAAAGATGCACAGGAGAAACTGGTCCAGTTTCCCTGATAAAAATGGGATTAAGACTTCAGTCAAATGCAGCAATCCAGTTATTCTGATTTAGGTGTTGTGGGTTGACCTGCAAAATCTCTTTATGATATGTAATAGAGCTGTCCCTGATGCTATGTTGCATTTATTTGTAGCTGGCAGCCTGCTTTTAGCAGTTGTTCTTCCACTGTCTGCTGACCATTCCCTTTTTCAGTAATAGCTGTCAGGATGTTTTCATGTAATGACTCAACCAAGGGTAGTTTCATGTAATGATCCTTTGACTCAAAGCCGGTGTGGCATAGCAGTTAGGGTATCAGACTAGGAATGGGGAGACCATGGTTTAAATCCCCATTCAGCCGTGAGTGACCTTGGGTCAGTCAATAGCTCTCACTCAGCCTAACCTGCCTCACAGGGCTGTTGTGAAGGTTAAATGAGGAGGGGTAGGACCATGTAAGCCTCCTTGAGCTCACTGAAGCCAAAGGTGAGATATAAACGCAATAAATAAAAAAAATGTGGTAGAACCTATCATGAATGTAACTTGACTATCCATCTGTCTAACTGTCTCATAGGCAGTATTACACTGCAAATTACACTCACTTAAACATATAGAACAAAGTGGCCACTATATAATCAGATGAATCGTTGATTTTTTTCTTTTCCTTTTTTAATTTGAGAAAGTTTCTCATCAACTGATGGGTTATTCAGCATCAGTGATCATCTCAATTTAATTAGAATAAAATGGAGAAAGGAAGAATGGTGCATGCCCTCTTCAGCTTCTTGGATAAAAGGTGGGATATAAATGTAATAATAAATAGGTAAATCATTTAAGAATTTCTATTCTTAATTCTATTTCTTCTATTTCTATTACAAACACTGCTTTATATTACATCTATATCACATTCTCTTTCTGCATCTCAGTTTTCTCTCTTCTCCTGGGTTTCCCTTTAACAAAGCGCTATAAAGGGAGCAAACGCCTAGCACCAGAGAAAGTAGCCTCTAATTATAGACTATCAGGGTGGAAAGATTTGAGGGCACTGCCAATAACACACTTGGAACATTTCAGAGCAGGACCTATGACCTTACCTTGATAGTCAAGGAGAATGGAAAGGAGCAACTGGGGGCAGACCTCCTCCAGCACAGAGCAGAAAGTGGACAAGGCGCCGGGGCCCTTGCAAGTCAGTTTCTCAAAAAGATACGCAGCTTGCTTCTCACAGCACTCCTGGGACAAAATGTCTTTGTACTCCTCCAAGGAAAAAACTCTCTCATAAACCAGATATGACAGCACTTTCTGCACATCCAGCTCTGCTTCGATTCTCTCCCTGTGGTTGCTTAGGATATCAGCAAGCCAGCGGTTCTTCTCTCTGCTATCTTTTTTTGTCAGTTTTGTACAGTTATAAAAGCAAGAGCGAGCCGACCATCCAAACATGTTTGCATTTAAGCTAAAAATAAATGCAGATATTCCAACTCCGCCTGGGCTGTGCAGTCTTTAGCAGGCGATGGCCGCATAATGCAAGGATAGAGGGAGTGCAAGTGTGTATTGCCTGCCTATGGTTATTGCAATTCAGCTGGAACAGAAAAGGCCTATGTTGAAATGATAAAAGGGAGGGGGGGAAGCCCACGCCCAGGGCTTTCAGTCCCCTAAGAGGATTACTTTACACTAATTATCCCTTTACAAGCGTTAATAAGCATCTCTGCAACCATAGTGAAGGAGATAGGAAAATAGCTGGGCTAATGTTACTTTTTAATTCTGTAACCAATCTTTAAAAGACCCTCTTTTTAAGATGAAAAGGATGCTTTTTTCAAGAAGACAAAATATCAGATGAATCACCCATGACAAAATGGTGTTAAGACAAGAGGATGTGTCTTCAGGGTTATACCAAGTTTGACCCTGGGAGGACTGTCATCCAAATCACAGTATGATTGATTGGTGATGGCTCCTTTTAAGTAGTATTTCATAGGAAATATGTTCCATGCAACACATTTATGAACAGAAAGACCTATGATAAGAATTTGTTTTCTCCCTGAAGCCTGATATTCGTAACTTTCATCACTGAGCATGTCTATCATGTGTGCTGGTTACTAGGTCAACTCCCATAATAAAATAAAATACAAAAAACTCTCATAAATAGTGTCTACTTAATGAATTAGGATTAAGAGAGACTCTTACAGCTCCAATGTAGGTGTGCTGCCAGCAGTAATTATTCACTGTGGATCATGCTTGTATAACATCCCCTCTTAACGTGTAAATTCCTGCAATCTGCAGCAGTGTTGTTTTGTTTTTTGATCTGCTTGCTTTCTCCAGAATTTCTGAGACATTCATGCTGCCTCTATTGCCCAGGGCAACTCCCTTCCTCAATCATCATCAGACTGTCACCTTCAGCCCCCAGCACAAGATATACTTTCACATATATTTCTGCCATTTCCCACTGCATATGCTGTTACTATCACATTTATGACTTGCAGAGATACAGCCTGCAGCAGACTTCAGCAACCTGCTGTCCTCCAGAAATTTGGGGCTACAACTCCCATCAGCACCAGCACACTCTGGAGGGCAGCAGGTTGGTGAAGACTGGCCTACAGGTTCCCATGTCTTCTGATCTTGCTTGGAACGTTATGCCAGGGTGCTGGGATAGCTCTGTCCCTTGGAAACAGTGCATATAACTGTTGAGATGTGTGAAGACGTGATGTATAAAGGTTTGTATTTGGAATGAAAATAAAATGTTCTGTGACCTCTTTGACAGAGCCATGAGGCCTTGTCATGTTACAATATTTATATTTTATTTCTAAAAATATTTATACTGCTATTTGTGATAAAAAAATAAATCAGAGCGGTTTACAACAATTGTCCAGAAAACCAGAAAACCAAAAACATGAAAAGGTTAAAATCAGAAATCAGCTAAGTACAGTATTATGGAAAGATGTGTTCTTAATTGCCTGCACAGGCCTGGTGGAAGAGAAAAGTTTCAGCAGGTGTTAAAAAGTTGGCACAGAAAGTGCGTGCTGAATTGGCAGTGTTCCACCATACTGGGCCAATGACACCAAAGGCTCATTTTCTTGTTGTCAAATAAGCCTCGCCAACTCAAAGGACTACCAACAATGTTCCTGCAGGTGATCTCAGCCGTTGAGCGAATGAGGTCCCAGAGGTTCCCTGAGCCTACGTTGCTCAGGGCTTTGTAAATGAGTACAAGCCTAGCCTATATAGCAGTCATTCATGGTGACAGGCTCTGACAAGGGAAGAGGGAGAGGGAGAGAGACTGACTGATGCTTAGGATTTCCTTAGGTGGGGCCTGGACCAGAAAAATTCAGTCCGATTGGTCTGGATGGCAGCAGACTCTGGCTGAAGGTTCAGCTGGTGCCTTCTGTTTCAGCTTTTAAATGCCTGCTGAAAACTAAGCAGGGTATCCAGAGGGGAATGATATCAATCATATGCTCCCTACTTTTGCAGTTACAATTTTTGCCCCAGGATTCACTTAAATTGGAAAAGGAATCAGTTCTTGAGGAACATCTTGGTGCCTCTCCATGCACAAAGATCTGGTCCACCCAACCCTTTAGACTGGTTTCTGTCAGCATAAGGGAGAACTCTTTAAATGTTACTAATTGGTGGTATATTATCCCGGTATGTGTGGCTCATGTTACAAGATCAAGTGGGGCTGCAAGGAGTGAGGATCTTATTGGCAGATGTGGAGTTGTGCCAAAGTTCATAAATTTTGGAAATCAGAGAAATCAGTACACAATAGGTAAAAATGTGATCTTCAGTCTATTTTTTTATAAAGGTAAGGATCTTATACATAAACAGTTGATTTTTACAGTATATCTCCTGGCAGTGCTCAATTACTGATTGTTTAGGGCTGGGATGAGACTTCATGCTATTCCCTAGATAACTGGTTCAAGAAAGGTATGTTCATTGCTATTGCTGAGAAACTATGGGCTGGTGTTATTTTTAAAAAACCCAAACGTTCAAGAATTCTGCCATCTTGTGCTTGGTGGCTGCTATTACATGCCTCTATATGGACCAAAGTTGTTTGTTTGCTTCATAGAACTCTGCCAACCTTCCAATTAATTATTATTATTATTATTATTTATTCAATTTATATACCGCCCTTTATCAAAAGATCTCAGAGTGGTGTACAACATTAAAAACACATCACATAACATCAGTGATAAGCATACTGACAAATAGCCTAATTGTAAAATAATCATCTTAACAGTCCACTCTCCCATACTTTTGCAGGCCACAGATTATTTAATGGCCATAGGCCTGGGTAAAGAGGAATGGTTTTGCCTGGCACCTAAAGACAAGTAACGATGGCGCCAGGCGAGCCTCTCTGGGCAGAGCATTCCACAATCGGGGAGCCACCACAGAAAAGGCCTGTCCTCTTGTTGCCGCCCTCCGAACGTCTCAGCGGGGGAGACATAGAGAAGGGCCTCCGAGGACAAGCGCAGGTCCGGGTTGGTCTGTTTGGGGAGAGGCGGCTCTTAAGGCATGGAAGCCTCCGCCACCTAAGGCAGCCCTTTGAATTGGGCCCAGAAGCAGCTGGGCAGGACTGGGGTGTGTGATGGTGCTCAAACCGCCTTGTTCTGGTGAGCAATCTGGCCGTTGCCTTTTGCACCAGCTGAAGTTTCCAGACCCTCCAAGGGTCCCTATTTTCCAGGCACAGTCCCAGATTTACAGACATCATCCCAGTTTCTGATTTGAACCCGGAATGTCCCTGTGTTCATGGGAGAAACAGGTATCAGCCTCAAATAATGAATGTATTCTTTAATATTAATAATAATAGTCCTCTGTATTAGAATTGCCCCACGAACTCCCATCTCCCTCTATTTTTCGTCCTGGCCTCCTTTCCTGAATTGATGAACCCCACGTGTCTGCATTCTGCATTTCGAGAGGGAGGGCGAAGCCGCCGCCGCCGCCCCTTTCTCGCCTCTCCTCCTCCCCGCCAGGCCGGAGCGCGGAGCGGGCGAGGGCGAGGGCGAGGGCGAGGGCGATGGCGGCGCCCGCCTGGGCCGAGGGCGTCGCGTCCCGCCTGGCGCGGCAGGAGCAGGAGGTCCGCGGCTTGGCGGCCGAGATCGCGCGCCTGAAGGAGCCGGAGCGCTGGCCCGACGGCGGCCTGGCCGGGCCTCCAATGCCGGAGGCGAGCCCGGGGCTGCGGGCGCTGCGGGCCGAGAACGAGAAGCTCCGCTACCGCCTGGGGCACCTGCGGCGGAGCCTCGGAGCAGAGCTGGCCCGCGCCGGGACCAGGCCTCCGCCGGAGCCCCGGCCAGAGCCGCCTCGGGCGGCCGCGCAGGTGGGTGAGGAGAAGGCGGCCTGGCGGGGGGCGGGCGGGGAGAGAGCGGAGTCCCGTTCGGGTCAGGCGCGCCTCGGGTCCGCCGGGGCTCCCTTCGGAGGGCCAGCCGGGAAGGGGCCCCGGGTCACCTGGCGCGTCTCGGCTGGAGCATCGGGGAGAGGAGGGCGGCGTCCCGGCGCGCTCCCCTTCTGCTCTGTAGCTGGAGCGGCGGGCAGGCTTGGGCAGGGGCGCGCACTTGCTTCCAAGGGAAGGGCGTGCAAAGCCGCAATCCCATACCAACAGTGACAGGATGATTGCAGCAAAAGTGGGGCGCCACTCTGTCGAGCCGCGGCAAGATTCCTGGGGGTCCCGGGCGCTCCCTGGGGGTCTGCAGTCCTTTGGAGAATTGAGACAGGGCGGAGACTGTCGTGGCTTTAAGAATGATGGTTTATTCCCCTATTTACACCTTTGGTGTGCATGGAGGGAGTCCCGATCTTACAGCATGGTCCTCTCAAGAGGGGCTCGACCCCCAAGGCGTCGCTCCCAGCCTGCCTGCAGCCAGCCTGCCCAAGATGGATCCCACTCTTTATTCCTCCTTCTTCCCAGAACACTTTGCTCAAAACCTCTCTTTTCCTGTCATCTCCAACACACCTTGGCAACTTTTATCTCCCTGGGCCATCTTGTCCTGTTAACAGATTTTCTCTTTGCTAGGCCAGCCTTGTCTGGCAGTGTTCTGCAGCTTGTACTTTCATCCACATCCCAATTAATCAAAATCCTACCATTTATTAATTTCTAGGGTTTAGGGGCCCCCCAAAACCTATAACATTATATACATATCCACCCCCACCCCCTTTATCTTCCCCAGCTGCAATAACATGTCTCTTCCATATTGATCTCTACAGGCACAGCAGGCCCTGTAACGGTTAATGACTGATCTGAAGTACAGTATCTCTAGAATACATGGTACTTTAGTAATGTAATTGGCATTACAGTTCGGAGATTTGAGCTTTGGAAATTAATTTCCTTGACTCCCTCTCTGTCTTTGTGTTTTTAATTACTAATTCTGACCACTTTTTTTGCTTTGACTTTAATTCTGGCATTTGGATTGGCAAATTTTTTTATATAATGTAGTTCTACCTTTTCTTTACTTAGGATCCTCCCAATGCAAACCTTGCTGTTCAGCAGAGTAAACATAAAAGGGAGAAGAAGGAAAGTCAAGCTGCTGATGGATGTAGAAGTGAGGTATGTGAACTTTTTAGGGTGTCCAGGTAGCCACTCTTGGTATTGTCTTTGTCTCTGTTGTGCCTGACTAGATGAGACAGTGGGGATCCTTGACCTTAACTTTCCTCTTTTTAGCTCATGAGGCTCTTAATCTCAGGTTGTGTGTTCAAGCACCAAGTTGGGCAAAAGGATTCTGACACTGCAGAGGGTTGGATGGAATGGTCCTTGTGGTTCTTTCCAGTTCTACAATTTTTGGATTCAAGAATAACTGCTGGGTGGGTAGAAGTCATCAGGAAAACAGTGCTGGGAGGAAAGGATCAAACCCTCTTCCCCAGTCTTGGATCTTTTGCTTGGAGTAGTTTCCGTGCACAGCCTGAGGTGGTTGCAACCCGGGCACAGGTATACCACTACAATACAAATTGTGACTTCAGGAGGTGGACTATGATTATCTGCAGATTCCCAGTTTTCAGTAAGTAGTCTTGAAGATGAGCAGCAATAAATGGCATTTGCTCTATTCTGTGGAACTTAACCCTAAAACATATGAGCTTTACAAATGTCCAGTGCTATCCAATATAAGGACCAGCTAGCTAAAAAGAAGGCATGAGTTATCACTTAGCTAGGATGAGAGTTATAGGAGATTCTATATCATGGTCCAGAGGAGCTACACATATAGGAGGATGGGAGCTGCATGTACGGCTGGAGCTCACATTTGTATTTTTGCCTTTGCCATTTCCATTTGACAGGGAACAATATAAGCCACTTTTAGACTAAATAATGACTTTCCTTTTCAACTACAGCAGTTTGAAAATGTCATTTGGAAATGTCAAATGAAGTCCAAGCTGTTCACGATTCTGACCCATATGTTTACAGCTACTATTGATACAGTCTAGAAAAGGTGTGAAAGTGATTGGTGGTGGGAATTTGCAGTGAATGGGAGCTTCCATGCAACTGTGCAGCTCCCATTGGAACTTCCCTGTATAGGTAAGTTATTAATGATTGATGTTTTAGTTTGTTTTTATAGTTTGCTGGAAGCCGCCCAGAGTAACTGGTGCAACCCAGTCAAATGGGTGACATATAGATATTATTATTAATAATATTAATATTTCACATGCGTTCTCCATGCCCTATTTGTGTTGAAAGCCTGCACTGACATTCTGCCCTGCACACTTTTTAACAGCTACAGCAGGAACCAAGCTTCATCAAAGAAAGGCTGAAGTTATATGAAGCACTGAAGAAAGAGCACGATGCTCTCCTTGATTCCAGAGCATCCAGCCAAAGCAGACCTATCAAAATCACTCTTGTTGATGGGAGGAAGATGGAGGGGGAATCCTGGAAAACAACTCCACATCAGCTAGCTCTACGAATTAGGTAATTTTCCTTGCAGACAGGGTTTTTGTCATCCTCAGATGGCGCAGTGGGTCAGTGTGTCTGGCTGTTAACCAGAAGGATAGTGTTTTGAGCCCACCCAGGGATGGTGGTGGGCAGGATTCCTGTGTTGCAGGGGGTTGGATTAATGATTTTATGTATGCATGTACACACAGAAAAAAGCACGTAGAGAGAAATATATAATAGCTGTGATTAGAGAGGGGGAAATGCTAAAAATACTTTGTGTGCAAGTTAAAGCTTAAACTATATTTTTTTGCACATCTATTTTATGTACAATTAAGCTTTAACATCTGTACCTTTCTCTCTGACCTACCATCAAGCCCATCTCTCAGCAACTATAGAATTAAAAGTTTGATGGCCTCAAAAGGAGGACATCTCTGGCAGGTTTTTTAGAGGTAACATTTTTAGCATGCCTTTGCTCTCTTTAGTCGCGGACTTGCTGATAATGCCATCATAGCCAAAGTGAATGGGGAACTGTGGGATTTAGATCGGCCGATGGAAAGAGACTCTTCCTTGGAGCTGCTCACCTTTGATAGTGAAGAAGCTCAAGCTGTACGTAACTTTTTTTTTATCTCTCTCTTTGTAAAATAATTTGAAAACAAAAGTCCTGATCCAGCAAAGGAAATCCTTGTACAGGCAGGGCTTTTTTTCAGCCGGAACGAGGTGGGTGCCATTGCAGGCCAGCACACACACCCCCCGGCTTTCCCACTGGCTGCCTGGCAATGGCACCAACTTCAGTAAAATATTGGGGGAGGCTGCCCCTCACTGGTATGTCGCCAGGAGGGTGGGCAGTGAGAAGGAAGCCAGAGTCAATCGAGGACAGCCCAGGATGAGAGCCTGTGGCCCATCAGAGGCTGCTCCACCTTCCTCCCTCACCTGGTGCTTTTGAGACCCAGGCAGCCGAGCTTCAGAGGCGATGCTGCCCAGACTGGGGCTGGCACTGAGAGGCTGAGCTGGGACTTGCCAGGGGACGACAGCAGGCACAGTCCGCATACTGCCCGCTCCTCTCCTCACCCAAATGCCAGCAGGCACTGGCAGCCAGGTCCCCTCTGTGGAATTTAGTATGGTGATGGCACATAGCAGCAGTGTGGAAATAGAGAAGGGATGATGGAAGTAAAAGGTTATATATTGTAGACTAGGATGTGAGCCAGCCTTATCTAACTATGTACAGGTGATCATGTATGGCATGGATCAGGTAGATCAGGACCAACTAATAGAGCTCTGAGTGACGTGCAGCTGATTGGAGTTTTTGATCCCTAATATTTTAGCAAGTAAAATTGAAACTAACCAAAAAATAATAATCTGCTGTGATAATTTTCTATCTCAACCTTGTTGTTCTTGACCTACAACACATGAATGCTAAGAGATTGCTTTTGATCAGGTATTTTTGCTAGCTAATTCTGTGTTTGAACCCCTGATCTGAAGCAACTCAGATATACAAATCTGCATGTTATCCCAGTAGTTGGTTCAAGGTGGCAAGTAGGTGATTGGCTCTACTCTGTGAGTCAACATTTTTCATCTGGCTTGGTCGATGGACCTTAGGGTTCAACGTGGGGGAACAGATTGTGAAATCTGCCCATCTCTGATACATGGGGCATGGTACAGGCAGAGGTTTCATATTGGAAAACGTAAATATTTGATTGTGTGTTGCTCAGCTCTAATCTATCTGTGAGAGGAATAGGGAACTTACTAATAATTAATTGGCTCATGATCTATTTTTTATCTTTGCATGCAGGTTTATTGGCATTCTAGTGCTCACGTTCTTGGAGAAGCAATGGAAAATTATTATGGTGGATGCTTGTGCTATGGACCTCCCATTGAGAATGGTTTTTATTATGACATGTACATTGAAAACAGGTATTGTTTTGTCAACAAGTGTTGGCATTTTGGAGTTGGTATAGCACAATTGAAGTGTAAACTTGGGTTTTAATGTAACCTCTTCCTTAAAACTATGTTAAAATATTTACTATCTTCACCATAGCATCAGTACTCAGTAGCAGTAATGTGTTCTGCAAAGGAGGTGTTTGTGCCTGTATTTCCTTTCACCAGTGGAAATGTAGAGGCAAAATATGACTATTCTTAATGAAAGAACCATTGGTTATAGAATTTCATACTCCAAAGCTGGCTGAAGCCAATATTTTTATATAGCAAATCTTAGACAATATTAGCTTTACTTAGCAAAATCAAGTGGTACGGATGTGGAGAGTATCAGTTGAGGCTGGAGGTGGGATGTTGGAATAGTTGCATACTCTGTCCAACCATGTGGCACCATTTTTAAAAAGGAAAAGGAAAGGGTCCAGCTTATACTCTTTGCTGACATGCTATTTTTCCCTATGTGTTGGGAGCTATTTTTTTATTTTAAGGGGAAATTGACGCATGCAAAATCTCCCCACCTGCAGGCTCAGATGGTAGCCCAGGCAAAGTTTTGCCACTTGAATGTCTTGATTGCATACATTTTAAAATGTATTTTATTTATGAAAATGCTTATACCTTGCTTTTCCAACAATAGTATCCAAGGTGGTTTACAATGATCAAAGGCACTCCAGAACAAAAATACAACATACCACAGTAAGGTGTGCAGAGCAAAGCTAAGCGAGCTAAATGGTCATACAGATGTGGAAATAAACAATTTTTTTCCTGGTGTCTAAACATCAACCTTGCCACTGTCCCCAAAATCCAAGATGATTAAATCAATATTAAAAGTCTATATTGCTCATTAAAATGTTTGCCCTTTAAATGCATCATTATTTATATATTTAAATGTATAGAAACTAAGGCTGCCACCTTAACCCCAGTTATCTGGGAGGAAGCCCCGTTGCATTCAGTGGTGCTTACTTCTGAGTAGACATGGTTAGGGCTGCGCTGCATGTTTATAATTTAAAGGAACTTTAGTCATAAATAAGACCATCTTCTTTAAACTGCCATACAATGGTGAAAAAAAGAACTGCATAGGATTTTCAGCTTGTAATGGAGGATGATAAACTTTCATGCTGCTCTACATGCTCTTTTACTTTAAGATCATTGGCCTTTCTTTTTTCTAGAGGTGTATCTAGTACAGAATTTCCAACACTGGAGAATCTGTGTAAAAACATCATAAAAGAGAAGCAGCCTTTTGAAAGGCTAGAAGTTCGCAAAGAAATCCTGCTGGATATGTTTAAGGTAAGTCTCTGGGTTTGCTAATGTTCAAAATCGTCCACTGCAAACGTTGCTCTGAACTTTGGAATCTGAAGACTAGTACTTGCTCATGCTGGCTGTTTCCACAGCATGTAAATGCAGATACTCCCTCAAAACCATTGACTTTCCACAGTCAGGGGTGCAAGGGAGACAGCAGGCAGGAAAGGGGAAAATATTTTCAATGGTGCTTTTCTCCTTTCTTAACAGATAGCGAACCTGGGGCTCTTCCAGCGTTGTTGGACTTCCAGCTTACATCACCCCCCCTCCCAGCATAGTCAGTGGGCAGAGATGGTGGGAGTTTGAGCCCAACAACTTATGGAGGGCCACAGGTTCCCCATCCCACTCTAGGGATAATAGTGTTTTCTTCTCAATTGTCTGTTTCCTCTTCTCTGCCCAACAGGCTGCAAACCATTTTTTATGCTCCTTGCTCTGCATATCAAGTACATGCCCACAGTACTCTTCCTTAGCCCTGTCCTACAAAGTCTCTTTTCCCCCTGAAATGTTGCTTGGGGCAGGAAGAGAAAGTCACTGTGAGTGGCCGTGTGTAGCTTAAGCCTGTAGTTATTTCAGAGCAGCAGCTTCTGTTAGCAGTTCTTGGTTTGAGAAGCAGGAGACTGCTTTAGCCTGCAGTTACTTTGGCCCTGGTGACCTCACCATCTTCTTTAATTCGTGATGAAATTGTGTCCTGAAAGAAGCTGTGCTTAATATAGCTAATATGCAGCCAAACCATCTCTTCCCTGTCTAGCTTCCCCTGCATGTTTCATAACATACTCTCTGGCTGGTAGGAATGTCAATCTTCCCAGGCTATGTCTGAAGAAAGGACTCAAGAAGTTCTTAACAAGGCATCCAGAAATCTTGCAAGCGCTGCACAATAAGGCGGCTACTGTGCCCATTTTAAATAAGAATGTAGGAGGGACCGTATTCTAGAGGCAGAAGGTCCTAGGCTCAATCTCTGACATTTTCAATTACAAAAGGATATGGAGTAACTGTAGGTATATGTGAAACGGAAACTAGTAAAAGGTAAAGGTAAAGGTACCCCTGCCCGTACGGGCCAGTCTTGACAGACTCTAGGGTTGTGCGCTCATCTCACTCTAGAGGCCAGGAGCCAGCGCTGTCCGCAGACACTTCCGGGTCACGTGGCCAGCGTGACAAAGCTGCTCCGGCGAACCGGCACCAGAGCAGCACACGGAAACGCCGTTTACCTTCCCGCTATACAGCGGTACCTATTTATCTACTTGCACTTAAGAGTGCTTTCGAACTGCTAGGTGGGCAGGAGCTGGGACCGAACGACGGGAGCTCACCCCACTGCGGGGATTCGAACCGCCGACCATGCGATCGGCAAGCCCTAGGTGCTGAGGTTTTACCCACAGCGCCACCCGCGTCCCTAGTAGCCATTCCTTATCTGCACAGTGCAATGTAAACAATCTAGAAGCAGGTGGCTTCAGGGTCAGAAGCATGAGGTTCTGCACAGTGTCTCTTTGGGCCTATATACAGAGACTGAGATAAAGAGCTGAGTTTGTTCATTTCTCTCGCTCTTCTCTTCTCCCTGCTGGGAGGGGGAGAACCATCTCCAGATACAGACCGTCCTAGCAGCATTGCTAGTGACTGATTTATGGGCCAATGATGTACAGAAACATTAAGCTGTAAGCGGGCAATAAACCTTACTGCCTGAACCATGGGCATGAAGTTAGTTTATTGCATCAGTGATTGTCTCCGCAAAAGGCTTGACAACTTGCAGAGTGAAGCACGCAGAGGAACATGCAGGACACCTTGTGAGTTTGAAAAGATGCTCACAAAGATTCAACAGTAACACCCTGGAGCTTCTGCTTGTCAGAATAGGAAGTGAGGTAGGCCAGTGGTCTGCCAGAATAAGGCAGCCCAGACTGCAACTCCCATCATGCCTGACCATTGGCCACACTCAGTAGAGGTGATAAGAGTTGTATGACATCTCCAGGGCACCAGGTTGCAGAAGGCTAGTATATGGCTTCATGCTTGTTCAAGAAAATTCAAATTCTCATTTTGTTTCCTCCCTTACCTTTTTGCTCCTCTTCTGCATAGTATAACCAGTTTAAATGCCGAATTTTGAATGACAAGGTTGACACACCAACAACTACAGTGTACAGGTAAAAGGATGCGCAGTTTTGACTCAAACTTTCAAATGTGCTATTTTTTTAAATACTTAGGAAGAAGGCATTTGTAAGATGTATGTAATTTTAAATTTTGAGAGAAAATTATATGCTCAAATTTAGAAAAAAAATATACTGTATATATAATGAGAACATAGTTGCTTTATTATTATTGCTTATAACATACATCATGGAGGAGGGAACAAGCTTGTTTTCTCCTGATCTGGAGGGTAGTACCGTACCCAAACCAGTGGCTTCAAGTTACATGAAAGGTGATTCCAACTAAACATCAGGGAAAACTTTCTGACAGTAAGAGCTGTTTGGCAGTGGAACAGTCTCCCTCAGGGGGTTGTGGACTCCCCTTCCTTGGAGGTTTTTAAGCAGAATGGCCATCTGACATGGATGCTTTGACTCAGATTCCCACGTTGCAGGGGGTTGGACTAGATGACCCCCCAAGGTCCCTTCCAACTCTACAATTCTATGATGATTCTTTGATCACACCATCAGTGTACATGGTGCATCATGGTGCAAAAGGCAGGTTGCTGCTGCACAGATCTGACAGTCTAAACTCTACAAAAGGAGGTTCAAGTGAGGCAAGGATCAGTATAGTGGTACCTCGGGTTACGTATGCTTCAGGTTACAGATGCTTCAGGTTACAGACTCCGCTAACCCAGAAATAGTACCTCAGGTTAAGAACTTTGCTTCAGGATGAGAACAGAAATTGTGCAGCAGCGGCAGCAGGAGGCGCCATTAGCTAAAGTGGTGCTTCAGGTTAAGAACAGTTTCATGAAGTTCTTTTGTTTCAATTAAACATATAATCTGTAATATACAATATACACATACAGGTTCATACATCATGCTAAAGGGAAGCATAACAAAGATTCATTATGATCCCTACGTCAACAGTTTGTGCAATGCAATCAGAAATGGAAGCTATGGTTTGAGGTGGATTTTGTAGACAGTGGTTTTGAGCTGTATTTTGGAATGTCTGAATTGAAAAGCTGTAGTATAAGCTGTTGCTCCACCTTAGAAGCTGCTGCGCCATGGAGAGGTGCACATCTGAGAACAAGCACTGCAAGGATGCAAAACAAAAGCAAACAAGCAACCATAAAGCACGGTTCCCAGTTATATTTTTGGAAGCACAAACCATGGCTTGATGTGATGCCTCAGGTTCATTTTAAGTGCAAGGAGTTCAGATTAACACAACTGCATGTGTGACAAAGTTCAGAGTGGATTACCTGTTGATTGGCTATAGACTTAAATGAACTGGGAACCTGATTTTTTCTAATTGCATCTTAACCTTTATAATCTAATAGGTGTGGTCCGCTGATTGATTTATGCAGAGGCCCTCACGTGAGGCATACTGGAAAAATTAAGGCCTTAAAGATTTTCAAGGTAAGCAAGCCCTTTAAAGATTAGGATTTTCAAGAGTGAAACACCCTTATAGCAGGGAGTAAGCTCCCTTGTGTTGAAATGGGGTTGCTTCGTAGTAAACTTGGACTGTACATCAAATACAGTGGTGCCCCGCAAGACGAATGCCTCGCTAGACGAAAGAGTTTTCCGTTTTTTGAGTCGTTTCGCAAGACGAATTTCCCTATGGGCTTGCTTCGCAAGACGAAACGTCTTGCGAGTTCTTGTGAGTTTGTTTCCTTTTTCTTAAAGCCACTAAGCCGTTAATAGCCGCTAATAGCCGTGCTTCGCAAGACGGAAAAACCGCAAGATGCAGAGACTTGCGGAACGGATTCATTTCGTCTTGCGAGGCACCACTGTAATATGGAATGCAGTTTGTATGGTACTGTGTCCACTCATCTTCCAAAGGCTGTTGTATTGCTTGGCTGTTTAAACACTTTTTTCTATTTCAGAACAAACAAATAATAATATTGCCTCAGCTTTGCAATCCCTATTACTACAGTGGTACCTCGGGTTAGAGACGCTTCAGGTTACAGATGCTTCAGGTTACAGACTCCGCTAACCCAGAAATAGTACCTCGGGTTAAGAACTTTGCTTCAGGATGAGAACAGAAATTGAACGGTGGTGGCACAACCCATTAGCTAAAGTGGTGCCTCAGGTTAAGAACAGTTTCAAGTTAAGAATGGACCTCCAGAACAAATTAGGTTCTTTTTTTATATAATTATTTTTATTAAGTTTTCCATTTTAACAATCCAATCAGATCAGATTAAATATTCCAAATTATACAAATACATATCATAAAGTCCAAATATTTTGCCAAATTATAATTTTTTTGTTGGGGCTTCCCATGCTTCAAGTTCAGTGGGGTCCAACCATATTATGTTTTTACTTCCTTGAGTTTCCAATAGTCCTTTGTTTAAATCCTCCTGTTGTTATCCTCCTTCTTTCTTTCATGGCCTCTGAGTTATTTTCACAGGCGAGTTGAAGTGAACGATAATATACTTCTGTGTGAACTTTCTATGACTCTCCCTTTTTTTTTTTTTTTTGCAGCTGGTAAGTCTGTTATTTGCAGTATGTCCTCACACGCTGATGTTTACGCTAAAGCAATCCAAAAGTCCTTCTCTGGTGGCAGATGCCATCTTCTCTTAGTTCTGATGAAATAAAATCTAGGCATTTGCTCGTTAATTTTCTCAGACTGGTTGCATCAAACATTAGTCTTTCCAGGGGAGGTTTGCCAAATCGGACTTAAAGTAAAGATATAACAACAAATTAAGAGCTTGCCTCCCCCTGTCTCTGCAATACAGTCTATCCCATAATGGTGGATCCCAATTAAATAGTGCGTCACAGGAGAGTCTTTTATCTTCTTCCGAATATTTCAAAGAACAAAGGCTTTAATTAGTATTGTTATTTCCACACAGTTTATATTTTCCAATCTCACTTGCTATAAGTAATGTAGATGGTTCTTGGGGGGGGGTTGTTAGGTATTATTGTAGTAGAAAAAGAAAAAGTTTTATCCCCCCTCCTTTCCATTCCGTTCCAACATACCGGCTTAGATCTTATTCTTTGATGTTATCTTTCTTCCTCTCCATCACTCTTGGCTCCTCAGTGGCTGGCTTAATTGGCAGATTAATTACCCTTTCTTCACCCGAAGCATGTCCAAGATCTTAAATCAAATTTTTTATCTTAAGAAATGGAACTGGGAGCGCTCATGAAGACAGCGTCCAGGAGATCCGAACACCCTCGAGGGTTTTCCATCCAGTGCCCCCAACCCCTCCTTCTTTACGAACTCGGGCGTGGTTTGTGGGTATCCGCAGATGAGACTGCATCTTCCCTTCCACCGGGAAGAATTTGGGAGGCTGATTACTCCCATTTCAGCCTCTAAATTGCCTTGTGGGAGCTAGAGAGATGCTATTGTCAGCCATCTTTTGTGGCGTCCCTAGCGGAGCCCCACGAATTAAGTTCTTAACCCAAGGTACCACTGTATATTAAACATTGTTTTTTTGAGGTGGGGACTTTTCGTATTGATAGAATTGAATGTGGTGGTTGATGTGTAAACCACTGAATTGTTATTTTCAAAATACTTTTGTTGAGTTTTTTAAGGAAAATAGAAAGAAACAAGACACAGGGTCAAAGAGAAACGGACCGGGGGGGGGGGGGAGAAGCAAATAATAACCAGTACCTTCACAAACAGGAGGGGGGAAACTTGCAGTGTATATTTGTATAAATGGTTGGTCATAGCAGAGTTATGATATATATACATTTATCATTATGTTTGCTGGCTTGTTACGAAAAACAAATATAAGAACCCCACTTTCTGTTCTTGGAATCACAAGATCCATATCTTGGCATATGCCGAAGGAACCATCTGGCCACGAGCTTCCTAATTTGTATATGAAATAAAATGATACCATTTGGCAAAAGAAAAGTTATTTGTAGTTGGTCCTCTGGGTACTTTTAGTTTAATGAGAAATCTTTTTGAGGAGCACTGTCTGCCATACTTTTGTAAACCAGTATTCTAAAGTAGGCAAACCAAATGTCTTCCAAGATTTTGCGAAAGCTGCCTGTGTAGTGTTAATAAATGTAAGGTAAGCTCTTTACTTTGTAAATCTGCTTCCTTCTCTGTGATTCAATAATAGAAATAAAGCGATGGAGTTACTGTCTGGTTTGTAATTAAAGAAATGGTCACTGAAGAATTTACACCAAAATTCTGCAACCTTAGGGCAGTCCCGCCACATGTCTCTGTAAAGGTAAAGGGACCCCTGACCATTAGGTCCAGTCATGACCGACTCTGGGGTTGCGCGCTCATCTCGCTCTATAGGCCAAGGGAGCTGGAGTACAGCTTCCGGGTTTGTGGCCAGCATGACTAAGCCGCTTCTGGCGAACCAGAGCAGCGCACGGAAATGCCGTTTACCTTCCCGCTGGAGCAGTACCTATTTATCTACTTGCACTTTGACATGCTTTCGAGCTGCTAGGTTGGCAGGAGCAGGGACCGAGCAACGGGAGCTCACCCCGTCGTGGGGATTCGAACCGCCGACCTTTTGATCGGCAAGTCCTAGGCTCTGTGGTTTAACCCACAGCGCCACCCGCATCCCACATGTGTCTATAGGTGCCAGTAATTTAACACCCCTCCAGCACATGGGTGAGCTGCTGGCCACACAAGGTAAATGAAAGCTGCCTAGGCATAAAGTACCAGCCATGAACTGGCTCTTGTTTGAGCAGACAGAAGCCAAAATTCTTTCCACCACTCCTCTTCCACTGGAGTATCCCAACTGAGTTCTCACCAGAGTCTCTGATTCTGAGCAGAATGAAATGAAATATTTATTAACATTTCATGTAATAAAGAAATCAAACCTTTTAAATGATTATTTACTGAATTGAGTTCACATCAACTTGTAAGCCTGAGAGAAAAGATCTAACCCTAAAAGCTTCAAGTGACAAATTTCTTTGTAAACCTTTAGCTAGTGTCTGCTGCAGAAGGTTTCTTCTAGGTATTCTTGTAACCTTTGAGACATCTGTCACCTCAGTAGGTGTGAGCCACTAATTTATTTGGGCAGATGGGATCCCTGGTGACTTGGTCGCTCCCAGCTCTTCTTTGAGCTTCCCTGCAGAAAAGGTGGGTTTGGAGGGAGAGCATCTCACAGGAGCTTTCAGAGGAAGTTCCAAGCATATGGGGGCAGCAGGAGACCTAAAGGAATGAATATCACTGTCAGCCTGTATTCAGTGGGGCTTAAGCAGAAGTAAATAATGCACAGGATTGCAGGCTTAGTTTCATAAAGAATTACTGGGCAATCTGAGATGGTTTATTTCCCACAAATGGCTCAGATTACATTTTTTTCTTGCAATGTACTTACATTTGGGGTACCTCTTTCAACAACAGAATTCCTCCACTTATTGGGAGGGAAAGGCTGACATGGAAACACTGCAGAGAATTTATGGAATATCTTTTCCGGAAAACAAAATGATGAAAGAGTGGGAGAAGGTCCAGGAGGAAGCCAAAAATCGTGATCACAGGAAAATTGGCAAAGTATGGTTTGTATGCATTCTCTTGGCTTTGAAACCTTTTTTATCTAAGACTAACAGATTTATTGCAGCAGAAGCCTTTGTGGACTAGTTTCTTTGTCAGATGCAATACATATGCAACAAATGCAGCAATAAATGTTGGTTTTTAATGTGACATACGAGTCCTTTTATTGTTTTTGGCTCCCTAGAACTGTTAAAAGTGTACACTGCAGAACAGTTGCCGTGTTTTCAGGAGCGGGGGCTGACTCAAGACTGAAACAATTGGCAGTCCAGCATTGTGCAGCTGTGTTCAACTGTGAAGCAGCTTTCTGACATGAGGGTTAAAAGAGAAGCAAGGTGGAGGAACCTTTTTGGCTCTCTTATCCAGATCTGTCTTGAGGGCCAAATCTGACCCCATATGCAATATATATTGAAGTCTTGAAGTAGGGATTTCAAAGCACCTTGCAAGGTGCTGCTGAAAGGGAAAGTTTTTGACAGCAGAGAGTGGAAATCCACCTCCATGACAGCTTGATTTCACTGTAGAAAAATAAGTCAGTTGAATGACATGTTTGCATTGCATGACTGCACAGAATAATGATTATTTGTCGTTGTCTTCTTTTTGTTAAATAATTTTTTATTCTTTTTCACAATTTAATTCCACATTAACATTAGTAAAAAAGAACATTTTTACCCCCCCCCATCCCCATGTACAGCAGTATATTTTCAAAACCTTTTTTTCCGAGATTCCAGGAATCTCTGGACTTCCCTCCACCCCCTCTTCTGGTTCTTTATATAAACAAAATTCTCTTACATTTCCATTTCCATTTATCCAATTTTCTAATAATTACCTGTAGTTAATCAAAACTTACTAACACTTCAAATCATTTACACTTCAAATCATTAACACAGATGTTATTTAAGCATCTAGAGTTTCATTTAAAACAACTTTCTGCATTCCACATCTGTGTTTAACTATTTTTTTTCCTTCTAATTTTATCCCCATCTCTACTAATTGCAAGCGTTTAATCAAAGCCTGGTAATGTAATAATAATAATAATAATAATAATAATAATAATAATTTTTTATTTATACCCCGCCCTCCCCAGCCTCAGAGCAGCTTACAAGCAATAATAAAAACAAGATGAATGAATACAAACTTAAAAACAAGATTAAAATACAACATTAAAATATTGAAACATTAAAATGCAGCCTCATCAGAGGAGGAGAAAGGAAAAAGAAAGAGAGGAGGAGGGAATCAAATTGGCTCCTAGCCAAAGGCCAGGTGGAACAACTCTGTCTTACAGGCCCTGCGGAAAGAAATCAGATCCTGCAGGGCCCTGGTCTCATGAGGCAGAGCGTTCCACCAGGCTGGAGCCATCACTGAAAAGGCCCTGGCTCTGGTTGAAGCCAATCTAACTTCCTTAGGGCCTGGGACCTCTAGGGTGTTGCTGTTTATGGACCTTGAGGCTCTCCGTGGGGCAGACCGGGAGAGGCGGTCCCGTAGGTACGAGGGTCCTAGGCCGTGAAGGGCTTGAAAGGTCAAAAGCAGCACCTTAAATCTGACCCTGTACTCCACCGGGAGCCAGTGCAGCTTATAAATATGCCTTATAAATAGGCATATCAACCTCCCTTTCCAGATTTTTTTCTACAATATCTACAATATTTTGCACATAAACAATAACTTTTTCCAAGACCATTTCCCATTCTTTTTCCTAACTTTGGCGTACTTAAATTTCATCAGAAAACATCTGTCAGTTGAGGCAAGTTCCAGCTCGCCTTTCCTCCAAACTTCTCTCAGTCTCAGAGGTTGTACTGTCACCAAGGCCTCCTCAAGGGTTTTCTGCCTAAACCACAAAACTTCCAAATCTACCCTGTTCTTTTGGACTTCATATCAGTCATCTTTTCCCAGTGTTCAGGCTTCCTTTCCAACTTTTGCCTAGGAATATCCCCTTCCTCAGTTCTCCCTGTCCAAGACTCTATTGTTTCAATCGGTTCTGTCACCCTTTTAATGCTTTGATCCATTCAGGTTGTAAACTCCTCTGTTATTTTAGCCATAATTTCCCTCATCTCTTTCATGAAATCTTTTTCTAATTCAGACTGAGGTTTATCCCCCGGGTCCTGTGCTTGGGCCCTTCTATTCAGACTCAACTCTGACTGTTTAATCACTGTCATATTTTTGTCTTTCTGTTGTTCTCAAAACATCCAGTTTTCACCACCACCTTATCAGTTTCAAGGCCATTCAGTGTAAGTTCCCAATAAACAGTAAACAGTTTCTGTGCTTTCTCACTGCCCCCCTTCTTTAGACCCGTTTATACACATATGCAATTTAACATAAAAACTAAATTTAAAGTTGATATTCATATATTACAAATATCTACCTTAAAGAAGAGACTGAAACAATATATCCATAAGAATTACCACTTAATTGTCCAGGAGAGAGAGTAGAATGTAGAGTTGCAGCACTTGAAGATCCTTATAAATGGGCATATCAACCTCCCTTTCCAGATTTTTTTCTCCTTAAAATTCCAATTTATATACAGGAAATCGAGTTCAGTGCTCTGTAAATCCCTCCAGCCAAGATATGTCTATCTTACAATTCCCCCAACAGAGTACTTTAATTGTCTTAATCCAAATTTCCTCTGCTGAGTTCCGTTTTAACGGCAGCTGCAGTCCAAAATCCAGTTTCCTCTTTTATACTCCAGTATCGATAACAAGCCAAGAAGAGTGGATTTCAGTTGCCTTAACCTTTCCTCCCTGCAACTGAGGAAAGCTTTGGAAGGGCTGCGTAAGGGCTCTCAGGTGTTGTCAGAGTCCTGGCACTACCTTCCCTTTTCCATACACAAATACCAAGTCTTTAAAATCCCGTAGCAATGTCAAACAATAAAGAATGGGTTTCAGTTGCTTTGAATTCTCCCATCAGCAGGCCCACACCGTAAATATCAAATAAGATAAAGTTTTCCACTTGCAATTTTTTCCATGTACAGTTAATTACCCAGAAGATGAAGAACGGACTTCCTTTTTAATCCTTCGTCTGGCACCGAATTAAGCTTAATTAATTTCAATAGTGAATCTTCTTACATTTCCATCGGCTTGAATGTTGGTTATGGAAAATCTCTGCTGGTGGCCGAAGCGTTAAGGCTTCGCTCCCGCGGAGATGCATTGCTGCCAAGGCTGCACTCAGTCCCGCCTCTTCGGCGCAGGAGCCTGGGAATTGCAGGAGAGCTCTTTGCAATCTGCTGGACCCCTCGACGTCTTGAGGACCCTCTCAAGACTTTTGGGGGGGGTACGCCTCGCCTTGGCATTTCCCCCGACTCTCCATGGGGCTCAGATCTGTCAGAGCGATCAGATCTGTGCTCCGTTCGCCATCTTGCAGAGACAAGAAGCCTCATTTCTGTCTTCTTTTAACTTCTGATGTTTGATTGTGTGGATACAGGAACAAGAACTCTTCTTCTTCCATGAACTGAGTCCAGGAAGTTGTTTCTTTCTGCCCAGAGGTGCCTTTATTTATAATATACTCATGGATTTTATCAAAGTAAGTGACATTTACTAATTTGAAATTGTTATAAAATATTTTTTTCCCTGCAGAGAAATGGACATTGGTTGCTACTTTTTTATTTAATTATATGGTTGTTATGGCCTGGATCTTTATTTAACCCAAACAGTGTTGCCCACCTGGAAGAAGCAAATACCAGCTGGCTTGAGGCTTTCAGAAGTACAAAACAACCTATAGGAGAAAAGAAACCCTAAAGAGGGGGACTCCAAAGAACAGCCCAGTGAGGTCTGAGCAGGCTCAGAGGCTAGAAGGTGCTGGCTGGCTGTTGGGGTGCGGAATGGAGTATTCTAGAAAGTGGCATGGCTGATGGGCTGGAGCCCAGAGCAGCAACTCTACAAACCGTGACATTTTGTAGGTGGCGCCACTGAAGAGCAAGTGCTGGGTAGGGATTAGAGTGGCCCAGCTTTAAATTCCCACTCTGCCATGAGGCTTAGTGCATAATACTGGCTCAGTCACCTAACCTACCTCCCAGGGTTACTGTGAGGATGAAATTTGGAGTGTGTGTACACCACCCTCTCAACACTTTTTGAGGAAGGGTAGGATAAAAGCGTTATAAATTCTAAGCAGGTATGAGCTTTGAGTGTAGAAGTATCGACATGCTTATTAAATGGTCTGATCAGCAAGGCTATTCCTGTTTGCAAGTGTGGTATAAATTAAGGTGACAAGGATGTACCTCTTTGCCTGGCATTTGATGTGGTTTTTTAGTACCATTTTAGTTTTTCATTTAGTTTTTTAGTAGCGTTTTTAGTACTGTACTTTAAATTGTGATCTGACTTGGGACCTTAGGGTGAAGGCTGGGAATAAATCAAATCATTAATACGTAATGCAAATACTTTAAAGAGCAAGAATTGGTTTGTGTGTGTTTGCCTACTGCTTATTAAGAATTTGGTTTCCTTGTGCAGGAAGAATATCACCGGCGTAACTTCACAGAGGTTGTGTCTCCTAATATCTACAACAGTAAACTGTGGGAGGCTTCTGGCCACTGGCAGCACTACAGTGACAACATGTTCTCTTTTGAGGCTGAGAAGGAAATGTTTGCCCTTAAGCCAATGAACTGCCCTGGACACTGGTTTGTGGTTCTTTTCATTATTACTCCCAATTATTTTGAACTATTGGAAATTTATTTTAGTTTGGATTAAATAAAAATAAGTCATAATGGGGGGGGGACATGTGCATTCAAGAGCAGGGGTGAGGCCCCTCCAAGTCTCTCTGGCTTTGGGACTCTTCCTCAGGCCACAGCCCTTCCTCAGCCACATCTGCTACAGGCCCTGCTTCACACCCTGCTTGAGTGTTTTTTCCTGCCTGGATTCGGCCCTTGAACTCTAATAAACACTTTGGCTCCCCTGTAGGATAGGTGTGTGTGTGCACACATGCGCAGGAACTACTGTGCAAATGTAACTTTTACATATTACTCTGGCCACACCCACCACTGTTATGTGGCCCCCAGAAGGGAATGTGACCCCTTGGGCTGAAAATACTCTCCACCTCTGTTCAAGAAGATCTCTTGCTGGGCCAAACTTCTATGAGGGTGTGCCTTCTCGCTCTCCTGGCCCCTGTGCCCTCTTGCTTTCTTCTGCCTCCTTGCTAGCTGTCCCCCTTTCTAATTCCCCCGCATTACACCCAGATCACCCTACACCCCCCCCTTTTCTGCTTGGCTGAGTGCACTTCAAGACAGGCTGTGGGTGAGGCTCCAGCTCTCCAGCATCTTGGTTTTTTAGAGGGCCAATTTCAACAAACCAGATGTGCTAGCGGAAGCCAGTGCCAGGATTCCCACTAGCACAACAGGGCTCCCCCCCCCCCCCGCATACCTGTTACAGACTGGCTGGATGCAGAGGGATGGTGGGAGGTGCCAGCAGGGGAACCCCCAAGGGAAGAAGGTTCAAAGCCCGGAAAGGGGTGGTGGGACAATGATGGGTGGTCAGAGGGAGAAGACTGGGAGGAGGTGTTAGAAGCAGAAGAGGTAACAAGGCTTAGTGGGGGGGTTTGTGAGAAGAAGTCCAGAATCTGAAGCTGGAGCTGGAGAGGAGGGAGGCCAAGGGAGGCCGAGAGGCAGAGAGGAGTCAGGCTGGTGAAGAGGCACGGGTGTCTCTCCCTTCTGCTACGACCAGCTCCTCTCCCCCCTAGTCTCCAAGAACCAGGAGAGGCATGAAGAGGGTGGCAGAGAAGTTAGCTTCACGTAGGCGCTGTCTTAGATTAATTGGGGGAAACCCTGGAAGAGAGGGGACAGACAGCTCTGGGGAGGCAGGGACCTTCAGTCTCAGCAATTGCTGCATGGGGGCAAGACCTGCCAGTCTTGAATTGCTGTGCTCATCAGGCCTGACACTCCTAGGCAGATCCTGTTTTTCCTAATAAAGAGTTAACTCCAACTGGCTCAGTGTGATTTACTGCTGGCTCCCTCTAGTCAGTACCCCTGCTTCTCCCCAGATTTGCTGTGGAGTAGCGTTCGAAACTCCCCTTGTTGTAGGCGTGTTTTGTGATGGAATTTCATTAATTCGAGCAGTTTCTGAGCTTTGGGTACAGTATTGAACCTAAGATTTCAGATTAAAACCACCACTGCTGGAAGAAAAGGAGGACCTTTTTCTGCCTCCCCACTTCTAGCCACTCTCTGAAGACTGAAGAAGGGACCCTCATAAGAATATAGGGGGGGGCATGGGAAGTATGGCTTTGTTCTTTGCAGTCTTCAGATGAGGACTAGACTATGTAATAAATGAACATAAGTTTTTAGCTGCAGTTCATTCATTTTCAGCTTTGTATTCTTGTTATAAAAAAGCACACCTTGATACTCCATTGTGGGGCCCATAACTAGGTTTAAGGTGCCATTTAGCTCCTAGCTTTCATATCTCTGTTTCTAGCACTGCTCTGGAGGATTGGAAGAACCACCAAACCCCAGTGTACAGAGGGAGGAGAGGCAAACTTGTTTCATCTGGCTAGCAGATATGCTCATGCTGACAGAACAATCCTGTTAGAGTGACATTGAATTCCACCCAGATAATGCAAGTGGGGCCCAGAGCCATTCTTTGGGTAATGGACGGCAGCAGGCTGCCAGAAGGTCACCAACCCTTTACTCGGAAGTATCATCATATCAACATATTCACTTCTGTATTAAAACAGAAATAGCGGCGGTGGACTTTTCTTCAGACCGGCCGTGTTGTTACAGGGGTTGACCTTTCATTGGTGTGCCTTCCTCTCCCCCCCCCCCCCCGTATTACTCTGCAATGGAGAAAACATACATGCTCAAGGTTTAATGACAGGTGGGCGCAGGATTTAGGCGGGGGAAATGGCACGGGGGAAGCATTTTTTTTTAAATCCCACCAAACCTCTCCCTTCACCACTAGGTCAGTCAAATCTGGAGTCTTTACTCTTGCTTTACACACAAAAAGTCTTCTAGTGGATTGTTTGGTTTAGCAACTGTAATAAAAAAATTAAAAATGTCAGGAGAACTGACTGCATATCTCCATATTGTAGGTATTTTGACTCTATGGCATGAAACCCACTGGGTGACCCTGAGACAATCAGCATCTCTTGGCTTGCCCTTCTCACAAGATTATTGTGAGGATAAAATGTGGGAAAACCCATCTGGACAAAGGGCAGGACACAAAGGAGGCATGTGAATAAATAGGTCAAGTAACCATGCTTGGATCTAATAACTATTTCATGTCTCTAGCTTGATGTTTGCCCATCGTCCTCGGTCTTGGAGGGAGATGCCTTTAAGACTTGCTGACTTTGGAGTTCTTCACCGAAATGAGCTTTCAGGGACCCTAAGCGGGTTGACTCGGGTCAGGCGCTTCCAACAGGACGACGCCCATATCTTTTGCACAATGGAGCAGGTAGTGCACTTATGTTGGGGTTGCCACAGTAGAGGAATGCCTTCACTGTTTTTTTAATGATAAAAGAGTTCATGATAAACTAGTCCCTGTGTGGTCTGAGTGCTAAATAGACAGCAGCTGTTGTGAAAGGGCTTCCTAACCAAACCAAACCTGTGCATGTTCTTGCTTGTTAGCATGAGAAGGGACTAAATCCACAGACTTTTATCAGCCACAGGCTGATAGGTAGACATTCAGACCATAGAACTACAATTAGCAGAGATGGCTCTGTGTGGTGTCATTTCCCCTCCTTTGCTAGAGAGGAAGGAGCACGTAGTACTCCCTGTTCCACCCCTTTTCTTCCTTTGACCGGTGATAGATGCAGACATGCCTCAGCTCACTCTAGCTCTAAAGTTGGTTATGCACATACCCAAAGCTAGCTGGTTATACTGTAAATAAAAGTGCCTGCATAGTTTTAACTGCTGCCTTTGCTGTAAACCAGTGCATACAAAGTAAGTAAATAATATTTTTAAACTACTTTTACGAGTTGTAGCATGATACATTCTTAAGCAGGGTAAAAAGGAGGAACCCTCCTTACTTCATAGCTGAACTTGCTCAAATCAAGGTTTTTCAGCCTAATTCCTATGCTTTTAATTTTGCTGCCAAGGATGGGGTTTTAAAACTCTGTTCAGCCCACACATGTGGGCACCTGGAGGGATAGATTGCAATTACTACATCGTCTCCTACCCATTAAATCCCATCCCACACACATCTCCACTGTAAATTTATTTGCATTTTAAATTTCAGATTGAAGAAGAGATGAAAGGCTGCTTGAACTTCCTGCAGTCTGTATATGCTGTCTTCGGTTTTACCTTCCAACTACATCTTTCCACAAGGCCCGTCAACTTTCTAGGGGAAAAGGAGATCTGGGACCAGGCAGAGAGGGTAATTTAATTCTGCTACTCTAAAAAAGAGAACACAGCGACTTTGTGTGGCACCTTTATTATGCAGTTTCCATAAGACGTCTCTCCCTCTGTGTGTGTGTGTGTGTGTGTGTGTGTGTGTGTGTGTTTACGTATTTATGAATATCTGATGGATACATGATCATGGTGACTCGGAAATGGCCGGAAAGGGGGGCAGAGACAGGGGTGAGGGACATAACCCCTGCACAAATTGGTCAATGCCTCTCTCTCTCTCTCTCTCTCTCTCTCTCTCTCTCTCTGTGTGTGTGTGTGTGTGAATGACCGACTAATTTGTTTTGAACTGTTAAATGGCTTTAACCTGCCTTGGGACCTTATGGTAAAGGAGAGGTAAGAAATAAGAAGTAGAAGCGGAAGCAGTCATAGCAACAGTTCTTATATTTCTGACATTTAAACTAGCAAGGAAGAGCATGAGGACACATGGATCAGAGGATGGTTAGATGTTTTAAGCATTGGTGTGCCATGGGGGCTAAGCTGTAAGAAGTCTTAACTTCAGGTGAACCGCAATCAGTACTATCCGCTTCCCATCTGCAATAGGGGGATAATAATACTAATTTATTTTGGAGGATCGTTGTAAGGAATACAACAAGATAATGTAAATGAAGAACTGCTCTTCTGATTTATTCTTAGCAACTCCAGAACAGCCTGGATGACTTGGGGGAGCCCTGGAAGCTAAATCTGGGAGATGGAGCATTTTATGGTCCCAAGGTTAGTAAATATTCATGCTTTTGTACTCGTGCTCTTACTGAAGCCTACAGGTGGAGGATAAATGGCAAAGCCCAAACTATAATTTTGCCATTGTTGTCCTTTGCAGATTGATATTAACATCAGAGATGCTATTGGTCGGTACCATCAGTGTGCTACTATCCAGCTTGACTTCCAGCTACCTATCAGATTTAATCTTACTTATGTGGGGTAAGTTTGCATAAGAGTCTTTTAGGACTTGAGCTGATCTGCTTAAATATGTAGAGCCTAAAACAAGGAAACAAGGGATCAGAGGAGGCTGTAAATGGACTTGGAGGTACTAGGTGACAAGCTGAAGAAATGCTTAAATGTCTGGAGCATTGGTGTGGCATAGTAACTGAGCACAGTAAGGGCTCATCCACACTTCCGTTTGCCCCACTGCTTTCCCCCAGGAAAACCCATGGTTTAGCGCTGAATCATGTTTTCCAGAGGTTGCTCTTTGTTCTGATTTATCACCAAAGTGCGGGTTTTCTGGGGGAAAGTGATGGGGCCGAGGCACAGCCTTTCAGGCCCGTGGTTAGAAAGCACAGGACAAGGGCCCGTGTGGACGAGCTCAAAGTCTGATTTGAGGTGAGCCACATCAGCACTGACTACCACGTGTGCTATAAGGAGATAAAATTGCTCTCTTATTTCAGAGGATTGTTGTAAGGATTGCAACAATCTGAAGTACATAAATAAAGACCTGTGAATACCTTAAAGCAATATAATATGTACTAACAGTAAACTAAATTATCTGAGTGCCAATCCTTCTTTTGCCAAAACAGAACTAATCACGAACAAGGGAAGAGTTTTCAGCAGGCTCAAGAGAGCCTCAAGGTTTTCAGAATAGATTGGTGATGCAAAGTGTTGTATGATCTGTCAGTGGGATGCAACTTGTTGAAATGGCACTCTTCCCAACTCCTTCCTTGTGAGAAGTTGTAATTCAGTAATGTAATGTAATTAGAAGCCATGCCTTTTAATGTGCTAGAATTAACTCTGGTAAAAGAGCGGTGAAACCAGATTCAAATCAAGATAAGCTTGTATTAATTTTTTCCACTTTTTAACTTCCATTCTTTCACAGAAAAGATGGAGATGACAAGAAGAGGCCAGTGATAATCCATAGAGCTATTTTGGGCTCGGTGGAGCGAATGATTGCCATTCTGGCAGAAAACTATGGGGGAAAATGGTGCGTAGCAGTAACTGGAAGCAGTTTTGAAAGTTGCAGAGAGTAGAAAGCACCCTGTGGTCTTGAACACAAAGTTTAATTTTCGCAGAAATACCATTTTTAGAACAATTTCATCCTGTCACAATGCGGCCTTTGCTACCCTGGTGCCCTCCAGATGCTTTGTACTACAGCTCCCTCCCTTCCTGGAGTTGGTGGGAGTTGTAGTCTAACCCCCCAAGTGCCCGGCTGGGGAAGGCTTCCCTGCTGGATGATAGAGCAGAAGCTCCTGAGCAGCTTTTCAGCTACTCCAAACATAAAACAGTAAGGCCCAATGTTCCTATGGTGTTAGCCAGCAGTAAAACATCCATCTGTGTGAGCATCCCCCCCCCCCCCGGTGAAATGCTTTTGTCACAGTGGATGTTTGCACGCCAGCAGCACACTCTGCCAGAACACGGGCTGCTGGCAAGCGAGTGCTGCATGAGCATGGGTTGGCATAGAGAGTAAGCATTTTTTATGCAAGATGGTTGGGGGCGTATAGACTACTTGCACAAGTAATTACTTACCTGTGATCTGCATTTTATATAAATTGAGTCTTAGAAACACACTACGAAGTTTGTAGTGCAAACATGAGCACACGACACAATATGAACTTAACGTTTCCATAATGCAAAGTATGTCTGCATGTATGTGTGTGACGTATAAGCAACTGTGATTAACGCTGTGTGGAAAAAAAAGTTTATAATAGCTGCATATTCACTGAGGTTCTTATTTTGGCCAGGCCCTTTTGGCTTTCTCCTCGGCAGGTCATGGTAGTTCCTGTCGGTCACACCTGTGAAGAATATGCTCAACAGGTAAGAGCAGAAGTGTCAACTGCACAACAACTGAAGTGTTTTGGTTTTATTCAGGTATAACATAGGAAGCTGCCTTGTATTTAATCAAACCATTAGTCCATCTAGCTCAGTATTCTCTACACTGGCTGGCAGCAGCTCTCCAGCCTTTCAGGCCTTCGTCTCTCCCAATCTTATCTGGAGATGCTGGAAATTGAATCTGGGACTTTCTGCTTGCAAGGCAGATCCTCTACTACTGAGCTTCTCAGCATTTTGGCTAAGGTCAAGTGTAGTTATATATAGTTATAAAATCCTGAATTACTGTAATTTTCAGCCGAGTTGTACCCTTTTTAAAAGTTGGTTCAGATCTGCCAGAGTGTTCACTCTGCTAAACTTTAATGACATTTCCGAAGACTTGAATATGGCTTGGGAATCTTTGGTGCTAGTATTTTTATCCCATCTACTGTTTCCAGCCTCTCTGCTGTGCAATTGTACTTTGTTTCCTACATGTATTTTGTTGTTGTTTTTGTTTTAAATAGAAATTTTTAAAGTATATTATGTAAAGGAGAAAATTGTTCACTGTTGTGATGTTTAGAACTTCAGGAATAGAGGCTGCATGTATACAACCCTCAGCATGCTTCTGCCTTGAACTCTGTGGAATTTCCTTCTGCCAGAGCATGTGCTTTGCTTGCAGAAGGACCCCGGTTAAATCAGCAGCATCACTGTGTAGCTCTGGGAAAGACCCTTGTCTGGAGAGCTGTCGTTACTCTGGGTAGACAACACTGAGCTAGGTGGGTCAGTGGTCTGAGTCAGCATAAGCCTGTAAGTAATGTTACTTAGACCTAACTAAGCGTGTTACCCAGCAGCTGTTTTTAAACTGTGTTGCAAGGAACTCTGGGATTCTTTGGGGGCTGATGACCCTTCTGCACTGAGATGTTTGATCATAATGGCCAAGCTTCCCAGAAGGTCAGCTTCTTTGCCTTTAGAGCGTTTCCCTGCCAACGAACCACCACAGGGAGGCTTCTCAAATGTACTCTCACTAGACCTAGACCAATGATGTGGCCCAACCTAACGTGGTAGGTGCCCTATTTGAATGGAGAGGGCCCATTTAGAACACATCCCCCAGAAATATACCTTGCAACGCAGGGGTTTTGTGGCAGACACACAGAGGTTTCTCAGTGTACAGATTGCCGTGAAAAGGCTTCTCTAGCCTTGGAGCTTTGAAAAGTCTGCTTCTCAAGATATGTCGGAATATATCATTTGGCACAGAAATGTTACCAAATTGTAAAATGTAACACATTTTTACATTGTCTTTTTTTTTTTTAGATTTGCAGTGACTTTTTTGCAGCTGGATTCATGGCTGATGTTGATCTGGATCAAAGCTGCACCTTAAACAAGAAGATAAGAAACGCACAACTGGCTCAGTATAATTTTATTTTTGGTATCTATGACTTTTCGTTCATCATTCTTGCCTCCCACCTTACTCAGAATGAAAAACCCAATATGGTTGACACAAGTAGAGAATGTTGTTCTTGTTGGGTAGAGGGAAAAGTTCTGTCCCTCATTTACTGCCAGTTTCAGGGTAGCTTGTCCCAGTTTTCATGTTTGGATAACATACTAAGTCTTAATAGGTTCAGGGGCTATTTAGCTCTTTGAATCATTGAATCATAGAGTTGGAAGAGACCACAAGGGCCATCGAGTCCAACCCCCTGCCAAGCAGGAAACACCATCAGAGCACTCCTGACATATGGTTGTCAAGCCTCTGCTTAAAGACCTCCAAAGAAGGAGACTCCACCACACTCCTTGGCAGCAAATTCCACTGTCGAACAGCTCTTACTGTCAGGAAGTTCTTCCTCTTCTCTGACTTCATTGGGCTACTTAATAGTTTATTTGCAAGGTGCACTTCTAAACATATAAGAGCAAAGCACATAGCCTAGGGAAAAACTGCACTAACAAATGCTTCTTGAATCTGAATGTTTTCTTGTGAATTTAGCTTTCCTTTTTTTGGTCAGAGATTTTAATTAAAGAGTTTGGATTTGATATCCCGCCTTTCACTCCCTTTAAGGAGTCTCAAAGCGGCTAACAGTCTCCTTTCCCTTCCTCCCCCACAACAAACACTCTGTGAGGGGAGTGGGGCTGAGAGACTTCCAAGATGTGTGACTGGCCCAAGGTCACCCAGCAGCTGCATGTGGAGGAGCGGAGACGCGAACCCGGTTCCCCAGATTACAAGACTACCGCTCTTAACCACTACACCACACTGGCACAGAAACATGTAAATTTGTAGGAAAACAGTGGCTTTACTAATTTTTTCTCCAAAGTAAGTACTGGCCAGTAGAAACCACTATTGGCTGTAAGTTCTCTGAGTTTAGTAGCTTGATATAAGAACTTGCTAGGCATTTGTTGAGCTCCAGTGGTGATATAGAATGTTCATAACAATTGAACCATTGAGCAGCGTAACAGTCTGTCAGTGCACAAGGCCTTTGTTGATTGGCGAGAGTAGAAAAGGGAGACCATAGCATCATCACAATAGAAGGCAGCACACACTGTGTGTATAAATTATATATGTTTGAGAGAGAAGTACATGAATTGATAGTTCATGTGAGTAAATAAATTATAGCCACAGGATATATTCTGAAAAAGTACATCTGTGGATTTTCATGGGCCTCATAAATCTTAGTGTGAGCCACAGCATTGCTCAGAAATTACCCTACTGAATCCAGTAGGACATCTTATTGAGTAAGTGTGTAGCATTGTCGCAGTACAAGGCATTGTGGCTGTGTGCCAAGTAACATTGCTCTGCGTTGTTTCTTGCAGTGGTTGGAGAAAAGGAGAAAACTAATAATGCTGTGAATGTGCGAACAAGAGACAACAAGGTCCATGGAGAAGTTTCAGTCACATCTGCCATTGAAAAGCTAAAGGCATTGAAAGCATCACACACTTTACATGCAGAAGAGGAATTCTAGTTATTGCTAATGGAGAGTGTACTGAAAGGTGAAATATTGGCTCTATCATAAATGTGTTCACCTTGAATTTAGCTCCACTATGCTTGGTGGGCTTTACTTCCTGGCAAGTACATTTAGGACTGCAGCCCTCCATCAAGGCAGTAGTTTGATGCTATAGTACATCATGACATTCAGAAAACTAAACATGTAGGTGATGCAGGTTCTTTTGAAACAATTTCCAGATGGGTAGCAAAGACAACCAAGAGGCTTGTGTTACCTTAAAGACTTAGGGTTGTGTTCAGGGTTAGTCTTACAGGAAGGAAGAATCATGTGATGGGAGCAGGCAAAGACAACTTCAGAGCCTTCTCCACAGTTTACATTTTATATTATTTGTTTTAGTGCTTTAAAATTGTAAACTGACAAAAAGACAGTATATAAATGCTGTAAATACTCATAGTAGATGCAGTGAAAATGATGGACAAACTAACAGGCCAATTAATTTCAAGGGGTCTCCTCTGTATATAATTTAGTTGAATGCATCCCTAACAATTTTATTTATTTATTTATTATGGCATAAGTTGAACCATAACTCAACACCTGTTACTCAGGTTATCAGCTTCTTGCATCTGCAGAAGTTGATAGTAGTCCATGAAAGTTTATAGCATAATAAATTTGTTAGTCTTTAAGGTGACACAAAACTCCTTGAAGCTGTTGTATAAACTGCAAAAAGAAGAAGCATTATTAGATACCACAGGCATCTTGCTTTAAAAAAACACTTCAAAATTACACAGCAAATCTCCCTTTCATAGAATGAAAGGCCTGGGGAGGTTCATACAGAAGTTCTGTTACTGCTACTGCTTTCTGAGGAGAGTAACATATCCTCAAAATGCAACTTTTTGTGAGCTAGTGTGCAAGTTATTTTGAGCCTGTCTGAGCAATCTTATTTGTGGCAACCTCACCTGTTCATATTAGATTCTCTCATCAATATGTTGGAGTTGCCTTTATGTTTAGAGGTCATGTTGCAAAATAATAGCGTCTGGGTTGAAAGGAAAAGACTCCATGATGCATCAGTCAAGTGAAGAGTGACTCCCAAGTGTGGAACTCGAATAGCCTTTCACTGGTGTCAAGTTCTACATTGTGCCGAGAACTGGCTTATATGTAAGGTTATGCTACAGTTCTGTGTAGCACAAATGGGAGATCTCCATATTTACGTAGCATTGTCGCTTTGCGGGTACAAACCATCAGGAAGTCCTGCTGGAGCCTCATTGAAACGGAACAGGTTGTTTGGTCCATTTCATTGGGTGTGCACCTTCCTGATGGATTGAGCCTTATAACGTGTTCTTATTTTTTAAAAAGCAAACTCTGACAAATTAGAGTTGCTTCCCCCACTTTAGAGCAATGAATAAGCCCACATAGAAGCTTTTGAATAAAATTACATTATAATCAGCATGAGTTGCCTCTTTTTTCTGTAAGTAACTTTCTTATTTGAAATAATGCATTCAAGTCAGAATTATCACTATTGTACCTTAAAGTATACATTATTATTATTATTTAAATGTGCAGTATTCCTGCATAGAGAAAGCTACAATACTGATTTGATATGTCAGTGCCTTGCACAGGGGCAAAAGGAAAACCAGCACTTCATGCTTCATATTTGAGAAAATGATAATCTTGATCGCTACATCTTTTAAAATATGGACATGTTTGTTTGTTTGTTTGTTTGTTTGCTTGGCTTTTAAAAAATGGTGGCACTTTACAAAGACACAATTCCTCTAGACAAATTATTGAAGTGTTTCTTTATGTGTAGCCCCTGAACCAGTGTGGGCTGGTCTTTGATGCCTGGGGTGAAAAACCTAATTAACTGAAGTTTGTACTATTATGCATAGTACAAAAAAGCAGTTAGGGCCTTCTGCTCCCCTCAGTGCTTGAACTCCTGAGGTTTTCAATTAGTGGACAGTGTCCAGAAAGACAACAGTACTATTTCACACAACATGCCCAATTACTTACTGAATCTGCTGCATCAAGATGTGGTAAACATCCTAATTTAAATGGCTTTAGAGGATCAGATAAAACATGGGAAGAGGAGTTCCCATGGTTGCTAGTCATGTTGGCTTAAATGGAATTCATGAAGTTCAAATCAGTACACTTGGGAGCAAGAGGAGGTGAAGTGCCTGTTTCCTAGATTTTTATCCTGTTTCTCAAGCAGTTGTCTCCCCAAGTGGCTCATGTTTTTTTTAAAAAGGGTCCTGCTTGAATCAGGTCTGACTTTCAAACTAAAAGGACAATACGCACAAAGGGAGAGGAAAGGCAGAGGAGGTGGGGTATCAGTTCCACAGGCCCAGAACAAAGTGGGGAGCTATAAGGGGATATTTATGTCCAGTTCTGGCCAGGCCAATCTCCCCTTGATGCTGCCCTTGCTTGAAAAGGCAATTAATTGGCGACTTGTTTCTTTTACCAATGGATGGAATCATACAATTATAGAGTTGGAAGAGACCACAAGGGCCATCGAGTCCAACCCCCTGCCAAGCAGGAAACACCATCAGAGCACTCCTGACATATGGTTGTCAAGCCTCTGCTGAAAGACCTCCAAAGAAGGAGACTCCACCACACTCCTTGGCAGCAAATTCCACTGTCGAACAGCTCTCACTGTCAGGAAGTTCTTCCTAATGTTTAGGTGGAATCTTCTTTCTTGTAGTTTGGATCCATTGCTCCGTGTCCGCTTCTCTGGAGCAGCAGAAAACAACCTTTCTCCCTCCTCTATGTGACATCCTTTTATCTATTTGAACATAGCTATCATATCACCCCTTAACCTCCTCTTCTCCAGGCTAAACATGCCCAGCTCCCTTAGCCGTTCCTCATAAGGCATCGTTTCCAGGCCTTTGACCATTTTGGTTGCCCTCCTCTGGACACGTTCCAGTTTGTCAGTGTCCTTCTTGAACTGTGGTGCCCAGAACTGGACACAGTACTCCAGGTGATGTCTGACCAGAGCAGAATACAGTGGCACTATTACTTCCCTTGATCTAGATGCTATACTCCTATTGATGCAGCCCAGAATTGCATTGGCTTTTTAGCTGCCGCGTCACACTGTTGGCTCATGTCAAGTTTGTGGTCAACCAAGACTCCTAGATCCTTTTCACATGTACTGCTCTCAAGCCAGGTGTCACCCATCTTGTATTTGTGCCTCTCATTTTTTTGGCCAAGTGCAATACTTTACATTTCTCCCTGTTAAAATTCATCTTGTTTATTTTGGCCCAGTTCTCTAATCTGTCAAGGTCGTTTTGAAGTGTGATCCTGTCCTCTGGGGTGTTAGCCACCCCTCCCAGTTTGGTGTCATCTGCAAATTTGATCAGGATGCCCTTGAGTCCATCATCCAAGTCGTTGATAAAGATGTTAAATAAGACCGGGCCTAAGACAGAACCCTGTGGCACCCCACTAGTCACTCTTCTCCAGGATGAAGAGGAACCATTGATGAGCACCCTTTGGGTTTGGGGCCAGGCTGGTCTCTCCCTCCCTTGTTGATGTTCTCCACAGACTAAGGGAGCAGCCGGCCTGTGCCAGAGCCACCTTCCATTCCCCACAGGCCCTGTTGCCTTCCAACGCCTCCTTGGTGGGCTTCCTTCCTGCCATCCCCGTCTGTCTCACAGGGTCCCTGCAGGACAAGAAGAAGGAAGGGGGTGGGGGAGACTGGGGGTGGCTCCGTTTGTGGGATGCGCTCCTCAGGAAGCCTCGCCAGGCGCCATCATTATATTTATAGGCTCAAGGCAAAAGCTCTCCTCTCTCTCAAGGCCTGTGTCCTTTACTTCTCCTGCCTTTGAGACGCAGACAGGAGGTTTTTAATGTATTTCTCCCCTGCTCCTTAGAGGACAGGGGGGCTATCAATGATAACTGGGTGCCTGGATGTGTCTTCTGGGTGTGTAGAGCATCTCTCAGTCTCAGAGTCATGGGTTGGAGCCCCACGTTGGGCACTGCATGGGGTCGGACTAGATGACCCCAGGGGTCTCTTCCAACTCTCCAGTCCTTGGATTCTCTCCTCCTGGTCTCGCCCTCTGGCGCCTAATGTTCAGACAGGCCACGCTGCTCCCGGCCTCGTGGTGGCAGCAGAGAGCACGGCCCGGCCTGCCCCGCGGGCTCTTGGGGTTGGCGCCTGCGTAGAGCGCAGCGGAGGCGGGACGTGCCGGCGGGGGCGGAGCCGAGCGGAGTCCCCGGATGAGGCCAAGATGGCGGCGGCGGTGGTGGCGCTGCGGGCGCTGGAGAGGCTGTGCCGCGTCGCCCTCTTCCTCTCGCAGCTCTACGTCCTCTCCGGGCGCGGTGAGTGCCAGGCCGGTTCACGCCGAAGAGGCGCCGGGGTGGCGGGGCCCTTGCACTCTGCACGCGCTCAGGGGCCGGCCGGGCCTCTGCCGGGAGGCTGCCTCGCCGGGACGGAGACCTGGCCGCGGGTCTCTCTCTCCGGGGCCTGTTCCCGGGCTCTGCTGCGCTGGCGTTTGCCCAGAAGCCGAGAGAGGGGCAACCTGCACCGCCAGCCTTGGGTCGCTTCCCCGGGGCAGAACAGCCTCTTCCGGCCTCGCGCCTGGTGCTGTGTCATCCTCTCAAAACCTTAAGAAAACAGGTCTCTGCCCCGACAGGCTTACACTATAGAAACTGGCACTGGGATGATGGGACTGGGGCGGAGAAACAACCAAGAAAGGAGAGCGAAATGAAGGAGGGGGGAGTCATGTTTTTATTTTGTTAATATATACCTGGGTTTTGTTACTTCAGGATATGGGGCAGACACAGCCTTTCTTGTGTTTAAGTATTACCTGGTCGCCATAGGTGACCAGGCATTGCATGCAGGGAGTGAGGGGGCTAATATACAAAGCTAGATTAAAGGGTATGCCTCTGAATACCCGTTGCTGGGAACTGCGGTTGGGGAGAGGGCTGTGCTCAGATCCTGTTTCCAGGCTCCCCATAGGCATCTGGTTCACCACTCCAAGAACAGGATGCTGGACCAGATGGGTCTTTCTTGTGATCCGTCAGGGCTCTTCTTACGTTGTTCCCGAATCTGGTTATGAGGAACTGCAAACCTATTATATTCAAGTCAGTCTTTGGGGCTTCTCACTGCTATCCTTTGCTGTGATTGGCAGTGTTGCTTTAGGACAGGGGTAGGCAACCTAAGGCCCGGGGGCCGGATGCGGCCCAGTTGCCTTCTCAATCCGACCTGCGGATGGTCCAGGAATCAGCGTGTTTTTACATGAGTAGAATGTGTGCTTTTATTTAAAATGCATCTCTGGGTTATCCGTAGGGCATAGGAATTTGTTCATTATTATTTTTGCCCAAAATATAGTCCGGCCCCCCCACAAGGTCTGAGGAACGCCACAAGGTCTTATCCAGTCTTGCTACTGTAGGACTTTTTTTAAACAAGTAATGTCCAACACAGACAAACGTCTCAGTTGTTGTGCTGTGCATCATTAAGAGGCCTTGAAAGATCTGAGACACCTGCTGTCAAAGGTGCAAATACACCAGTGTTTCTTCTCTCTCTTCTTCGCAATTCAGCACCTTAATTCAAAGTAGTGATGCTGTTGTGTAATTTAACTTACCGGCTCATGGGTCTGAACTACCCACACTTTTAAAATGCAAATTGAAGTAAGTGTGGAAAGATCACAGTACTACTACTTGGACTGGAGGTCCTGGGTTAGGGTGAGGAAGATGAGAAATACATTCTGAGGGACAGCACTATTACAGAGTAATAGTTCCCTGGGCAGAGAAAGTCACTCAGCACAGCACTGGCAACTAGCCTCTAGAGGAGGAGTGTACTGAGCAATTCAAGCCACTTTATCTTACCAGCACCACTTTCTTTTGAACACACAAGGGATTTGAACCCAAGCCTGATGCTCTGGACCACACTGTTGCTTCCAAGTCGTAACTAAACATGCTTTGAATCCTGTTAGTATTTTGTGTTTCTTTCCCCCCACCCCACCCCCAGGATCACTGAGCTTAGAACACTCTCATCCACAAGCTCAGCTGGCAAAGGTTGCAATAGTACCTACAAGCACACACATTCCAGTGTCTAAAGTATCAGGTATGTATTTTTTTTTCCATTCCGTCTTGTACTTCTTAGAATGAAAATGTATGTCTTTGTAAACCTTACTCTGCACAGATCTTTAGAGGTTTGTGAGATATATTTGCCTACAGAACAGCTTATTTCTGAAGGACTCTCCATCCCACTTCCTCCATGTAAAAAAACCCCCTAATTTCTAGAAACAAATTCTCAAATGTAAGAAAAACTAGGAAATTAGGGCTTTACATTTGCTAATGAGAGAAGACACACCTTTCTGTTATATCTTGATTCTTAAGATCATAGTATTTTGCAACTCAGAGTCTCTCTTGTGAACACTGCCTCAAGCTGCCACCAACAATCTGTTCCACATGGGCGTGTTCCACTTGTGCATACTATATAATGTGGCCCTTAATGGGAGGGAAATGGACTGTTTGGTCCCCTGTACAGGAAACAAAAACATAAGAAGAGCCCTGCTGGATCTGATCAAGGGTTCATCTAGTCCAGCATGCTGTTTCCCGCAGTGACCAACCAGATGCCTCTGGGGCGCCCACAAGGAGGGCAGGAGGGCAGGAACCACTCCTGTTGTTGTTTCCCGAAAGCACTTACTCAGAGGCATTTCTAACACTAGAAGCAAAAGCTTTTTCTGTGGATAAAGCCCATTGAGTGGCTCAAGGAAACAAAAATAATTTTCTTGAACTTAAAACTGAAGGAGGTCTTTCATTTGGAAACAAAACAATTGTACCCTGCAGATAAAGAAGCTGTTGATTATCTCCTACTAAGAGCCAAAGAACACTAATGAAACTGAAAGGTGTTGCCACCAATTGAGCAAAGGAACCAGCATGAATTATTGTGAGCAGGTCTGAATAAATACTCATGCATGTGATTACAAATACTATTACCATATGGCATTGATAAATGCCAGAGTACTTTCTCGTTTCACTTTCCCTTCTGTGAGTCCATCCCTCTCCATGGATGCAGCTCCTATTTGTGTAGTAGCTATGGTACTTAAATACGCTTCGTGTTTCAAAATGATAATCCAGTAATATTTCTCAATGCTTACCTGACTTTTTTGTTTGAGTATTAATATACTTAATTCTATATAGCCTGTGAGTCAGTCACTTGCCTTTTCATTTGAATGTGACCCATAACTTTCCCCATAGAAATGTATCTGAATTGTGAAAAATGCTGGGGTTATGCAAAAGGTCCCCAGTTCTGTGCCCATCAGAGAGCCAGTGTGGTGTAGTGGTTAAGAGCAGTAGTCTCGTAATCTGGGGAACCGGGTTCGCGTCTCCGCTCCTCCACATGCAGCTGCTGGGTGACCTTGGGCCATCACACTTCTTTGAAGTCTCTCAGCCCCACTCCCCTCACAGAGTGATTGTTGTGGGGGAGGAAGGGAAAGGAGAATGTTAGCCGCTTTGAGACACCTTAAAGGGAGTGAAAGGCAGGATATCAAATCCAAACTCTTCTTCTTCTTCTTCTTCTTCTTCTTCTTCTTCTTCTTCTTCATGCAAGGCTGGGAAAGACACCTGTCACTGTAGACCCTCCAGATATTGCTGGAGTACAGCTTTCAGCAACCCTGACCATTAGGCTTGCTGGTTGGGACTAATCAGGATTGGATTCCAACCATATTTAGAAGGCCACAGGGCATTCTAGTGTAGACAATACTGAGCTAGATGGTCTAAAGTTCTGGCTCAGTTTAAGACAGTCATATCTTCCTAATCCTAAAAATAACTTACATATAAGGGAGACCCATTAAATTCTTTGGGCCTTATAGTGGATCTTACTCCTGGGTAAACATGCATAGGCTGCACATTACTAAAATAGGTGAAATGTAAATTGAGCAGGTTAGGAAAAAGTAGTTGCTTAGGCATTCGTGTTCAGCAACCTAGGAATTTCAGATATTTTGTTCCCTAGCTTTTTTCTAGGGAATACTGAAACTCTTGTTCTCACCAGATTTTAATTCTTCAGAAGCCACAGCGACCCCATCGTATATGACCCAATGCCCTAGTAATGGACTGTGCAGCCGACTGCCTCCAGGATGTATGGACTGTGAAACAAATTGCTCCTGTATCTATGGCAAAACTGCTGTTTTTGAATGTAAAGCCAGATCCCAGGTCCACTGTGTTGTAAGTAGAATGCTTGTTCATTTGTAATATGAACATGAATCTTGCGGAAATACTACACCTTACTTGTTTGAAGGAGAATAATTACTTTGTAAAATATGTAATTGAATAGATACCTTATTCAGGAGATGCTGGATATGGATGAAAGGGATATTCTGTTGGGCCTAGACATTTGCTTTCTATCTGATAGGGGGAAGATTCAATTCTGTACTTTAATTACAGAGACCTCAGCTTGTGGTTAGCAGTAGGGTTTGGCTGCTATGACCCCTTATAACATTTCATATGTGCATTTGTAGATTATTTTTTTCCCAAAAGACATATCCTGTTTTACAGACTCTTCCCAAAGCGATAAACAGTAAAAGCACCAGCAATCAAAACAAATACAGTTTCTGATCCAGTGCTGATAAAGACTGGAATAAAAATCTCTACTTCAAAGTTTTGTTGAAAGCAGAAGAAGGTTGTTAACAAGTGCTGAAAAGATTATATAGATGGTCTCAACCAGGGATGTCAACAGGTCAATCGCGATCTGCTGGTAGATCCCAGTGAGGTTTTGGTAGATCTCTGGCTCCCTTTCCTTAGCGTCGCTAAAACTGACTCCTGCCTTGCCCCGCCCTCTATTGTTGTTTGATCTCTGGAAGGGAAGACGGAGCTTCCTCTGTGCTGCTGTTTTCATCCATAGCGATCTTTTTGTGAGTGACCTTACCCCTTTGTCCCCTGCCTTTAACCCCAGCCCCAAAACAGGGCTTTCCTCCCTAAAAATAGCTCAACAACTTTGAGCTGAACCTCAAAAAAACGGGGGTAGTTTTTAATTCTGAAAGTAGATTGCAGCCTCTTGAGAGTTGGCCACCCCTGGTCTAAACCAATTGGGAGGTCCTTGGTGCATGACCTACGATGGTCCAGCTGCCACAGTCTAGAAATGGCCAAAGCTGTTAGAAGGCACTCCTAGCCACTAAGGTCACCTTAGTGACAGATGGATCCAGGAGACCCCGGGACAACAAGCCCACTCCTTCAGAGGAAGTACATTCTCTACCCAAAGCAGGCAATTGACCAATTACACGGACTCAATAAGTGTTCACAAATTGTGCATTGGTCTTGTCAAGATTCAGACTCAGTCTGTTGGCTGCTGTCCAGCCCACCACTGCACCCAGGCACTGACCCAGGGCTTGCACAGCCTCTGCTGATTCAGATGTTATGGCGAAAGAGAGCTGGGTTTATCAGTGTACTGATGACACCTTGCTCCATATCTCCTAATGACCACTCTTAATGGCTTCATATAGATGTTAAATAGCATTGGGGACTACATAGTGCACTGTGGCACCTCACAGCTCAAGAACCTAGGGGCTGAGAAACACTATTAAATGCCGTCTGCTGGAACTGTCCCTGAAGAGGAGACCAGAGCAATGCCCCTGATACTCATTTCTTTCAGAGAGTATAGGCAGATGCCATGCTCCCTTGTATCAGAAGCAGGTGAGAGATCAAGCAGAAGCAGCCAGGTCCTTCCCTCAATAAGGGTCGTCCATTAGGGCACCCAAGGTAGAGTCAGTCACTGAAATGGAAAAAAAAAATTAATTTAGTAAAAGTATCTAGAACTTAGGTGCTCTCAGCTTCCAAAAAATCAAGTGTATTTGGTGATTCTGTCACACTCCAGTAAGTGCTCTCTGGTTAACCTGTGTATTATTTCTGGAAGGGTGAGTTAAGATTTCTGATTCTCATGCAGGATGAGAAAAACAATCGCCCAGAAACTTTCACAATCAACATGACTTGCCAGCTTTGCTGGCAACTCCCTCCATCAGATTATGTCTGCTCCAATCCTACAAACTGCAAAACGGTCTCTTGTCCACGAGAACGATATAGTGCCAATTGCACGGTGCGGGATCATATTCATTGTCTGGGTAAGCAATGCCTTAGTGTGGGTGTTTGACGTGGTGGGGAGAAGAAAGGCGTCTTTCTGAACAATATTATTCACTATTTCCAGAGCATCTTGTTCGGACCAAGAAAAGGTTTGGGATCTTAGGTTATGACTAAGCTGTGTGGTATCCAGCTTATTAAATTAAGTAATATGCATTGGTCTAGGCATAGATGTTCTAACCATCCCTGCCCATGCCCACCACTTTGGAGCAAGAGGGTATTGTAATGCAAATCACCAATCCCATTTTTCCTGGTAAAGGTTTTCTCTCTCACATCCCAGGGGGTTCCTATTGGCCCACAGTTATAGTAATATGATACCATGATGGTCATTTGGTGTTAGACAGTGTAGTAACTGTCTACTTTCCTAAAAGTTTCTGGCTATTAGATGATTGCTGGACCTTACTGCAATAAATAATCACAATCAACTTGTGCAGACACTAGGCAGAGGGAAAAGCCTCGCAGCTTATCAGTTATGTGTGTTGGCATCTAATTTAGTGGTAAGTAGCTGTTGAGTGTAAGTAGCTTCCGTGCGCTGCTCTGGTTTGCCAGGAGCTGCTTAGTCATGCTGGCCACATGACCCGGAAGCTGTACGCTGGCTCCCTCGGCCAATAAAGCGAGATGAGCGCCGCAACCCCAGAGTCAGTCACAACTGGACCTAATGGTCAGGGGTCCCTTTACCTTTACCTAGCTGTTGAAAATGATGGGTGAGCCACCTCAACATGAAAAGGATTCTGATCCGGGATCTTGTCCTTATGACCAAAATTGATCAGTTATGAAAGTACCTCTTTGACCACACTTGAAATTCAACAAGAGATAAGATCTCTAAAAGGCTCCTGAGTAAGATGGTGTCCCTGAAGAATTCTATAAAATTCTAACAGATGTTTTGGGGGCAAAAATACCAGACTTGGGAGAAATGCAAAAAATAATACTAATGAATAAAAAGGGGAAAGATGCAACACTGATAACAGATGAGCCTATATCACTCTTAAATCAGGGCTGTAAAGTATTTGTCACAGTTTTTGCAATAAGATCAATTAAGATAATTTCAAAGCACACACTGCAGCACTATTCCTGTTTGTGGTCTTGGCTTTATGATTTCAATGTCTGTTTATTTTAAGGTAACCGTACTTTCCCCAAGATGCTTTATTGTAACTGGACAGGAGGCTATAAATGGTCAACTGCCTTGGCTTTAAGGTAGGAATAGGATTACCTGCTTTCTAAATAAAATACTTTCTTTTTTGGACTTGATGTTTGGTTAAGCTGGTCAAGGGAGCCTGGTTACTTTATTTTGTCTTCAGGCAGTTCTGAAGCATGCTGCCTGTCCTGAGTCTTGAAAGCAGAATGGGATGCTACCAGTATTTTGTGTTAAACTGTAAAAATAAGTGCAAAGTTTTCATTTTTTTAAAAAATTATATCACTAGTAGGCTCATTTAAAGTAGATGATTTTTTAAGTCAGTGTTAATCAACTTCATTATGCTATTTGTCAGGTACAAATAATTTAAATGCTTTGCTGCTGGCATCAGTAATGGATGTCTGGATTTGGACAGCTTCTCAGACATAATTGTGTTGTATTTGCAGCATCACACTTGGCGGTTTTGGAGCTGATCGTTTCTACTTGGGCCAGTGGAGAGAAGGTCTGGGCAAACTTTTCAGCTTTGGAGGCCTGGGAATCTGGACTCTCATAGATGTACTGCTCATAGGCGTTGGTTATGTGGGCCCTGCTGACGGCTCACTTTACATCTAACCATCAATGCAAGAAACGTCAGAGATGGATTGCACTTGGAAACACACAAACACACCTAGGAGAACTTGTTCCATATTTCACATATATTTAATGTACAGCATCTGTACTTAGACTGCCTTTAACTTAAGGTGAAATAAATAAATGAATGGATCATTGGATGATGGGGTTTTTTCTGGAGTTTGTTTCCTTTTGGCTTTTTAAATGCACTTAATTTTTTTTCTATGAAAAAAGGTGTTTTAAGTTGTGCAGTTCTGTTTCTTGGACAGATGTAAACTAATTCACTACATGTCTAGCAAGTTCCCTTTTTATCATCAATTTTTATTAAATGTTTTCAACATAAAATACAATAAAAGCCAAACTAATCTAGAGGAGAGAAATAAGAAAAAAGGAAGAAAATAAAGAAGAGGAAGAAAAGGAGAGAAAGTATCTTTCTGTTACCCCCTGAGTAAATCCATTGAGCAGCAGATTTTAAATTTTTATTACATGTGTTTATCTCCTGCATTCAGTTATTTTTTATTTCCGAGAACGTACCGTGTATGCAGTGTATGTGTTAATTTAACTTGATACTTTGGCTTCTGCAGGACTGAATGTTACATTGTTATTGCTAGATAACCTTAGAAGTTGAGTCTTCTAATATAATGACTGTAATAAAATTTTCTTTCACCACACGTATTTCCTTTAATGCTTTTCCTTTTCCTAATGGGCTCACTTCCGTGTACGGCACCTTTTTTACCATTGGACCCATTGGTCTCATCTGCTCAATCCGCCATTTGTATAGTGGAGGGGCATACACCGGGACTTGAGAGCCAGTGTGGTGTAGTGGTTAAGAGCGGTAGACTCATAATCTGGGGAACCGGGTTTGCTTCCCCACTCCTCCACATGCAGCTGCTGGGTGACCTTGGGCCAGTCACACTTCTCTGAAGTCTCTCAGCCCCACTCACCTCACAGAGTGTTTGTTGTAGGGGAGGAAGGGAAAGGAGATTGTGAGCCACTTTGAGAGTCCTTCGGGTAGTGATAAAGCGGATATCAAATCCAAACTCCTCTTCTTCTTAAGCTGTACAGTGAAGCCTTTTACAGGTGAAACTCAAAAAATTAGAATATTGTGGAAAAGTTCATTTATTTCAGTAATTCAACTTAAAAGGTGAAACTAATATGAGATAGACTCATGACATGCAAAGCGAGATATGTCAAGCCTTTATTTGTTATAATTGTGATGTTTATGGCGTACATCACAATCGTAACAAAGGCTTGACATATCTCGCTTTGCATGTCATGAGTCTATCTCATATATTAGTTTCACCTTTTAAGTTGAATTACTGAAATAAATGAACTTTTCCACAATATTCTAATTTTTTGAGTTTCACCTGTATTTATAGCCCACCAGACGCCTGCCACAGCAATGCTGATCAAAGGTAGGGTGGCTGGGAGGCAAGTACTGTATAGAAAAGCAGACTTGGCTAGAGCCATTAAATTAACACAGAGACTTCTGCTGCTTTGTCCTCAGATATAAAACTTGGGAGGACCCAAAGTTAACATTATGACTCCCATACAGTGGTACCTCGAGTTACGAACTTAATTCGTTCCAGAGATCCATACTTAACCTGAAACTGTTCTTAACCTGAAGCACCAGTTTAGCTGCCGGAGCACGATTTCTGTTCTCATCCTGAAGCAAAGTTCTTAACCCGAGGGACTATTTCTGGGTTAGCAGAATCTGTAACCTGAAGCGTATGTAACCTGAGGTACCACTGTATCCTGAAAGAATAACCTTCTAAGGCTGATGGGAGAAAGGGACGGAAGACTCCCGTGTCTTTCCCAACTGCACTTGCAGCTCTGTTCTCCCAGCCATTGGCGCTCCCTCGGCCTGAAAACTGAGATGGCACCCCAGTGTCAAATTCGACAGGCCTTCGCTCTCCCGGAGTCTTACCTTCACCTCTCCCAGCCATTGCGGAGGACAGAGACTGCAGGCCTTTTCTCCTCTCATGCTGAGCACCAAAGCAGCAGCCCTGCCTGGCCACCTGCAAAGCCACATGGATTCTCAGTTTTTGTGTGCAGTGGGGATGCAGCAAACCTCTGGCCGCTGGTCTTTCTGGGGTAATGATGCACGGGGGGGGGGTGTAAAAAACCAAGAGCATCTGTGGGACTGACCCATCTTTTGGTGCCCTAGTCGCACAGCTAAGCGGCTGTGATATGTGACCTGACAGTCACTTTGCAAAAGCATGCAGGTGCAAGAGGATCCTTTGCAGAATGGCTGCTTCCAGGATCCGGCTCCTTTGGCGAGCTGCTCTGGCCTCCGATGAGGCGCCGCGGGCCGGGAGGCGGCGCTGCTGCCCGGCGCCCGGGCGAGGGCGGCCTCCTCCTGGGCGGGGATGGCGGCGGAGCCCCCGGGAGCGCGCGGCTTCTACCGGGAGCTGCCCAAAGTGGTGAGGCCGGGGCGGGAGAGGGGCGCCGGGGCCAGGCCTTCCTTCCCCCCCACGGCCAGGGGCCTGCGGGGAGCGGCAGCTTCGCGGCGCGGCCCGGGGCAAGGCGAGAGCCGGGCGGTGTGGCGGCGAGGGAGAGGCCGGGGTGGAAAGGAGGCGCCGGAGATGGCGGCATGCCGAGAAAGAACGGGCAAGGCCCGAGAGTCGCCGGCCGCCTTCCAGGGAGCATCTGGGGGGCGCGCCTGCCTCGCGGGCCGAGGGTCCTGGCTCAGGGGCGGGTCTCCCGGGCTGAGCGGGTCTCCCGCCTGAAAGGAGCTCTGGCGAGTCCGTGGTCCCAATCCCTTCACTGAGCTGGGTGGTGTAAGACAGCTTCTTACACTTGCTAGCCCTCCATTTTTTAGCCCCCCGAGGGAGTGGCCATCACTGCATGCAGTTAATTCTGTAAGTGAATGGTTTGTTCTGTAAAAAAGAATTATTTTTGTCTTTCATGAACCTATTGCCAGTCAGTTCCGATGGATGATGAGAGAGAATTTATATATCCCACTGAGGAATTTCTTCCTGTGAAGCATCTTGAAGCTATCCACTGTTGTTGATCCAACCACTTCTACTTCTTGTGGCCCCCAGAAGGCTGTCAAGAGGAGAATGCGGCCCTAAAAAAAAGTCCCCTGCTCTTGTGTTGTGTAGGCGGCCAGAAATAAGAACTGACAGCTTAAGGTTAAGGAAGAGAGGGGACTGGGAGGGGGAAAGGGGGTGTTTTTAAAATGTTTCTAATGAAATTTGGGGAGCGTTGAGCACGTATTTGCTTCTGAATTAGGAGCTGCATGCCCACCTGAATGGCTCCATCAGTTCTGCTACCATGAAGAAATTGATGGCCCAGAAACCAGACCTTCAGGTTCCTCATGGAATGACCATGATTGACAAGGGCAAGAGAAGAAGCCTGGAAGAGTGAGTATGTCTCAAGTCTGAGCCTTAAAGGAAAGGCCTGTGCTGGAATTTATTAGGTGAAGCATCTGCCTGGCTGCCTCCTCCCGCAACAGATCCCATTCCCACCCTCTGCACCTGTTGCTCAGATGGATGTGTGCTGCTCTTTAGATGCAAGGAGAAATCCCTGAGCCGCAACTTCGGCCTTGTGCATGGTTGAATGTGTTAGCATCAGCAGCTCACCTTCAGATGAAGCACAGACCTGATGCTGCGTCCTCACCCCCTAATTCCCAACCAAACTCTTTGTTTGGCACTCCTGTTCCTCCTGCGCTGCATAATTAACGCCTCCATATGCTCTTAATTGGCAGCGTCAGGCTGTAGCAGAGAAGGGATGAGGACCTCTGCATCAGCATCCAAGGGACCAGCGCTTTTGATGCCTCTCTTCCTTGAATGCTTTCATCCCAGCTGGTCTTTAGAACAACTTGTAAGAGCTTGAACTTTAGGTTTGTTTCTTTGCTCCTCCCTCCCTATCCATTTTTCTTTTGTGCTGAGTCTTTTTAGGTTATAATGCTGAGGACAAGTTGTCTTCCTTTTTATATTTTATATTTATTTATATTTATATCATTTGTATATTTAATATTCCTTTTATGTGTACATTTAATTCAGAGGTGCATGCGTGTGGGAAGGGATGCATGATAAATGCAGAAATCTATTTGAAACAAAGGTGATCTCTGGAAACGAGTTCAAAAAGCTGATTTTGGGGGAGTGTGCCACTTTTCCCTTTGTTTTGATGAATGCCTATTCATTGCAATTCCCTTTTCTTTCTTTAGGTGTTTTCAGATGTTCCAGATCATCCATCAGATTACCAATAGGACTGAAGACATATTAATGGTAAGCTAACTCAAACTTAATTTTAATGTGTGTTCTCATAGCATGGAGCTTCCTGCAGACAATGGGAAGCCGGCCAGCATTGCAGAAGGTGGTCCCTGCTCTGCTCCGTGCTGGTTAACGTGGCGCACAGGAGCCAACTGAGCGGGTGGGGGGGATCCATGGGCCAGTTAAATGATCCCCATGGGCTGCTTGTGGCCTATGGGCCTTAGGTTGCCAGCCCCTGGTGTGGTGCTTCGAGTGTTGGACCAGGGTTCAAATCTACTCAGCCATGAAGCCTGGTGTGTGACCTTTGGCCAGTTGCTGCCTCTCAGCCTTGCGTAGCACAGGGATGCTGGGGGGATGAAATGGGGTGGGGAGAACTAGCCCGACCACCGTGAGCTCTTTGGAGGAAAGAAGGTGGAATAGAAATGCAGTAAGTAAATACAAAGAATAGAATAGAATCAGTCTTTTGCTGCTGATGAAAAGGAATCAATCACTGGCCAAGCATGGGGTTGTTTTTTGTTTTTTATTCTTGGTGTATTACTTACATATATCTCTGCTTTTCTTTCACCCTTCCCTTTAAGGAGCTCGGAGTGTGGCACACAGCCATCTCTTGCCCTTCCCAGCTCAGACGTTCTCCTTGGAGCAGAGCAGGGTTAGACTCAGTGATCATCACTGGCCAAAGATCACCCAGTGAGCTTACTGGCTGAACAGGATTTGAGGCTGACTTGTGTGTGCTGTTTTGAGACTGATGGACAGCTGATCATTGCAAAGAACTGAAGAAACAGAAAAATATTAGCATGTAAGGTGTGGTTAAATAAGGTTTGGCAGCTGGAGCAATTATTAAAAATTGGTGAAGTGGTAGGTAGCTGAATTCCAATCATTAATAAAAAGAATTCTTAATGGATGGAGTCTTTTTAGAGGCGCGGAGATGAATACAAACTCATGTCTTACTATTTCACAATTCACATTACAGTATTTTTGAAGTGTTAGGGTTGTAAATGAATTGTATATGAAGCATAACTTTTATATTCTAAATTTTGCATATATTTATATTTCATGATGATATAAGAATTATTTCTGAAAAATAGAACCAGGTATGTGAGTGAATTTGAGATTTGAAATGATGGCAGTGTGCTTTGTGAATATCCTTTAGGTTCAAAATACCGCTATAATTTCAGGTAATGAAAGATGTTGTCCAGGAATTTGCTGCTGATGGAGTCAAGTACCTAGAGCTAAGGAGCACGCCCAGAGATGAGCCGGCCACGGGTGACAATTTCCCTTTCAATTTATAATAGCCTGCTCTTTGCCACTAAGCACCCCCGCCCCCAAGTTCTCCTCCAAGAAGAAATGCTCTCCCCTCACCAGGATTTGGCGAGAGTGGAACATCCAAATACCTCACAACAGCCACTCCCTTCCAAGATGGGGCATTGCTTTCCACAGACATACATTCAGTGAAATAATTTATTTTTCATTTTACAGAAAACATACTCAAGGTTGCTTGCATTAAAAAAAACCCACTCAGCAAAACTACAAATAAAATAAATTATTATAGAACATCAGTTGAAAAAGGCAGCTGTGTGAGGGAGAAGTGCTCCCCCCTTCTTGAGCAAGGCATGTTCTCCTCCCCCCCCCCACCAGCTGAGGTCAGGGGGGAGCACTTCTTGCTCCAGCTCACTTCAAGCTCCAGGTCTTGCCTTGAAGCCCCTCCCTTACCCGCTCGACAGCTGACATCATAAGGCGGGGGGGGAGCCCTTGGGGGCCAAAGGGGAGGCCAGGGCTGGTGGAGGTTCCCCACCTAGATTCCTCCTCTAGGGTGAAAAGCAGTCCATAACTATTGGGAATAGATTTTATTTATTTCATTTCATTTCCCTTCTTAATTAGGATAGACCAGCTTTCTACATTCCTATACACAAGGCAGCTTACAAGCTGAAGAAACGAGACTATACGAGAGCACACATCTTAATAACTAAATGGCATGGAGAAGTTTTTGGTGCAGTGGGCCGGACTGGACTGGGCTGGGTATGAATAGCCTCATCTCGTGCCCTTTCCTGGAACCTCCTGGCTTTCAGGATGGAGCTAAAGCCCCGCCATTTTTTTACCCCAGTGGCTTTCTGCAGTAGTGCAACCCTGGCTTGGCAAATGTCTGCACTTGAGTGCTGTGAAATGAAAGCCGGGGGGGGGCGGTCAGTTGTGACCTGACCTTTAGTGATATATGGATTGGGGTATGACTGAGGTCAAGGCATACCAGGAAACAAAACCCTAGGGGGTGTGTGTGTGTGTGTGTGTGTGTCAAAAACACTTTATACCTTCTGTTTGAAAGGAATGCAGATCTTCTCTTCATAGGTATGACCAAAAGGACCTATGTGGAAGCTGTACTTGAGGGTGTAAGACAATGCAAGGAAGATGGCTTGGATATAGATGTTAGGTAAGTTTGCAAGTGATACACGGGTGGCGCTGTGGTCTAAACCACAGAGCCTTGGGCTTGCCGATTGGAAGGTCAGCAGTTCGAATCCCCATGACAGGGTGAGCTCCCATTGCTTGGTCCCTGCTCCTGCCCACCTAGCAGCTCAAAAGCACGTCAAGTGCAAGTAGATAAATAGCTACCGCTACAGCATTTCCGTACGCTGCTCTGGTTCGCCATAAGCGGCTTAGTCATTCTGGTGACATGACCTGGAAGCTGTCTGCGGACAAACGCCGTCTCCCTCAGCCTATAGACCGAGATGAGTGCGCATCCTCAGAGTCGTCCGCGACTGGACCTAACGGTCAGGGGTACCTTTACCTTTACTTAAGTTTGTTAGCCAGACTCCTTTTGTTTTAAATGCCACTGATTCTAGTGCTGAATCTCCAGCAAAGGATTCCCCGAGCTTATCTGGTGTTTGCCCTGTCTCTCTGGCCTTTTCTGCGAGAGGAGCTAATTGCATTCACTTGAGCAGGAAAAGAAGTTGGCTGCCGCTGTACAGTTTTCAACCTGGACCAGTCCCTACATCACAGTCCTCATTTGTGAGCTAATGGTTGTTACTTCTGCAATAATATGGCTATCTATATTCTAGGTTTCTGTTATCTGTGGATAGAAGAGGAGGACAAACAGCTGCCAAGGAAACAGTCAAACTCGCCGAAGATTTCCTGCTTTCCACAGATGGAGTGGTGGTAGGCTTGGACCTCAGTGGAAACCCTTCAGTAAGCTTCCTTTAAAAAGAAGAAAGAAACACCTCTGCCATCACCCAAACTATCATATGTTTCTATCATGATTCAAGCCAGCCTTCGTCAACCTGCTTTAAACCATGAGTGTTGTGACCTGCCTTGGGACCTTCGGGTGAATGGTGGGAAATAAACAAATAAGTGGATGCTGGGACTGTGCTGGCTCAAGCTGAGCAGAGTAGTAATGCAAAACAGCTGGAGGGCACCAGGTTGGTGGAGGCTGTGTTAAGGCTTCTGTTCACCTGTATCTTAAGAACCTAAGAAGAGCCTGCAGGATCAGGCCAATGGCCCATTTAGCCCAGCATCCTGTTCTCACAGTGGCCAACCAGGTGCCTGTGCCAAACCTGCAAGCAGGATTTGAGCACAAGACTCGCCTCCAGGAACTGGCATTCAGAAGCATTGCTGCCTCTTGGCTCTGGAGGCAGAGCAGAGCCCTCATGGCCAGGAGCCCTCCAGAGCCCCCTCCTCCTCCATGAATTTGTCCAACCCCTTTTTTTAAAGCCACCCAAGTTCCATAGTTTAGGGACGCGGGTGGCGCTGTGGGTTAAACCACAGAGCCTAGGACTTGCTGTTTGGAAGGTCGGCGGTTCGAATCCCTGCAACGGGGTGAGCTCCTGTTGCTCGGTCCCTGCTTCTGCCAACCTAGCAGTTCAAAAGCATGTCAAGTGCAAGTAGATAAATAGGTACCACTTTGGCGGGAGGTTAAACAGCATTTCCGTGCACTGCTCTGGTTCGCCAGAAGCGGCTTAGTCATGCTGGCCACATGACACAGAAGCTGTACGCCGGCTCCCTCAGCCAATAAAGCAAGATGAGCGCTGCAACCCCAGAGTCGGCCGCGACTGGACCTAATGGTCAGGGGCCCCTTTACCTTTAATTTCCATAGTTCAACTCTGTGCTGCTTGAAGAGGTGCTTTGTCCTGAATCCTCCCAACATTCGGTTTCTCTGGCTGCCCACGAGTTCTAGCGTTACGAGGGGGGGGGGGACTTTTCTCTCTCCACATTCTCCACGACTTGCATAATTATGTAAACTTCTTTCCTAAGCTATATTTTTGCTTTACCTTCAAGGCAGGTCATGGCAAGGACTTTCTGGAGCCTCTCTTAGAAGCGAAAAAAGCCGGGCTGAAGCTGGCGTTGCATCTTTCGGAGGTAACATTCTGCTGCCGGGACTTGCTCACTGAGCAGCTTCTCAGGCTAAATGTGGCACCAGGATTTATTTATTTTAAGTGATGTGTGTAGGGTTCCCTGCGTCACCTGGAAGGAGGTTGTCTTTGCCATCAGCGCAGCACTGGCAGGCCACCATGGTGCAAAGCTGCAGTGTGACAGTCCCGCCTGTGTAGGGGCCACTTGTTCAGGTTGCACTGGCCACATGGGAACTGTGCATGGGCAATAAATAAATTAGTAGTGCCTGTAAGTGGCTTACTACAAGGCTTACAATCTAAAAAACACAACACGCAAGGGGAAAGGGACAGGGACAGGGAGGGAAGAGGAAAATCAGTGCGGAGGCACCAGTTTCTAAATAGCAGTTCCTGTATTGGCCAGCCGGCCTGGTTCAGGGAACGAGGCCCCTGATGCAATTAGCCCTGCTTCCTGTCTCTCCCACTGGGACAGTCTGAGGCAGGGGTCAGCAAACTTTTTCAGCAGGGGGCCGGTCCACTGTCCCTCAGACCTTGAGGGGGTGGACTATATTGGGGGGGGGGGTGAACGAATTCCTATGCCACACAAATAACCCAGAGATGCATTTTAAATAAAAGCACACATTCTATTCATGTAAAAACATGCTGATTCCCAGACCGTCCACATGCCGGATTTAGAAGGCTATTGGGCCGGATCTGGTCCCCAGGCCTTAGTTTGCCTACCCATGGTCTGAGGATGTGGCTGCCCCAAGGTAACAGTGGAGGGGAGAGGAGGAGGCAATGGAGGGATCCTTAATCTTTTCCCAAACCTATATATTTCCTCCTTCAAGCTGGCAGCTTGAAACGGCAAGCTGGAGTACCTGTCTGTGGGTATATCATCTACTTCTTGTTTGAATAAATTTTATTAGAATTTAAAGAGAGATACAAAGTTTATTATCACATATCTTTTTTATCCAGACTAAAACATTACTTTAGATAAAAACACAGATACAAAAGAAAGGAAGAGAGAGAGAACAAAAAAATTAAAGTTAAGAAACTAAGGAACTTACAATTCTTCATCTGTCAGCAAACTATATAAACATTATTCAACTCATCCACTCCAATATAATCCCCAGCATGACTACTTTCTATAAACCAACATTATCTTCAGCCTTCAAACCAAAATGCCATTATTTCATGCAAAAGGTCTATGAGAGCTTTCCAATCTTTAATAACTTAACAGTGACTTTTCTCTGATTAAGCATGCCAATTTTGCCCTCTCAGCTAAGTCTAATAAGTCTTAAAGGGAAGGGTGGAAGAAAAGCAGAGATATATGTAAGTAATACACCAAGAATAAAAAACAAAAAACAACCCCATGCTTGGCCAGTGATTGATTCCTTTTCATCAGCAGCAAAAGACTGATTCTATTCTATTCTTTGTATTTACTTACTGCATTTCTATTCCACCTTCTTCCCTCCAAAGAGCTCACGGTGGTCGGGCTAGTTCTCCCCACCCCATTTCATCCCCCCAGCATCCCTGTGCTACGCAAGGCTGAGAGGCAGCAACTGGCCAAAGGTCACACACCAGGCTTCATGGCTGAGTAGATTTGAACCCTGGTCCAACACTCGAAGCACCACACCAGGGGTTGGCAACCTAAGGCCCATAGGCCACAAGCAGCCCATGGGGATCATTTAACTGGCCCATGGATCCCCCCCACCCGCTCAGTTGGCTCCTGTGCGCCACGTTAACCAGCACGGAGCAGAGCAGGGACCACCTTCTGCGATGCTGGCCGGCTTCCCATTGTCTGCAGGAAGCTCCATGCTATGAGAACACACATTAAAATTAAGTTTGAGTTAGCTTACCATTAATATGTCTTCAGTCCTATTGGTAATCTGATGGATGATCTGGAACATCTGAAAACACCTAAAGAAAGAAAAGAGAATTGCAATGAATAGGCATTCATCAAAACAAAGGGAAAGTGGCACACTCCCCCAAAATCAGCTTTTTGAACTCGTTTCCAGAGTTCACCTTTGTTTCAAATAGATTTCTGCATTTATCATGCATCCCTTCCCACACGCATGCACCTCTGAATTAAATGTACACATAAAAGGAATATTAAATATACAAATGATATAAACATAAATAAATATAAAATATAAAAAGGAAGACAACTTGTCCTCAGCATTATAACCTAAAAGACTCAGCACAAAAGAAAAATGGATAGGGAGGGAGGAGCAAAGAAACAAACCTAAAGTTCAAGCTCTTACAAGTTGTTCTAAAGACCAGCTGGGATGAAAGCATTCAAGGAAGAGAGGCATCAAAAGCGCTGGTCCCTTGGATGCTGATGCAGAGGTCCTCATCCCTTCTCTGCTACAGCCTGACGCTGCCAATTAAGAGCATATGGAGGCGTTAATTATGCAGCGCAGGAGGAACAGGAGTGCCAAACAAAGAGTTTGGTTGGGAATTAGGGATGAGGACGCAGCATCAGGTCTGTGCTTCATCTGAAGGTGAGCTGCTGATGCTAACACATTCAACCATGCACAAGGCCGAAGTTGCGGCTCAGGGATTTCTCCTTGCATCTAAAGAGCAGCACACATCCATCTGAGCAACAGGTGCAGAGGGTGGGAATGGGATCTGTTGCGGGAGGAGGCAGCCAGGCAGATGCTTCACCTAATAAATTCCAGCACAGGCCTTTCCTTTAAGGCTCAGACTTGAGACATACTCACTCTTCCAGGCTTCTTCTCTTGCCCTTGTCAATCATGGTCATTCCATGAGGAACCTGAAGGTCTGGTTTCTGGGCCATCAATTTCTTCATGGTAGCAGAACTGATGGAGCCATTCAGGTGGGCATGCAGCTCCTAATTCAGAAGCAAATACGTGCTCAACGCTCCCCAAATTTCATTAGAAACATTTTAAAAACACCCCCTTTCCCCCTCCCAGTCCCCTCTCTTCCTTAACCTTAAGCTGTCAGTTCTTATTTCTGGCCGCCTACACAACACAAGAGCAGGGGACTTTTTTTTAGGGCCGCATTCTCCTCTTGACAGCCTTCTGGGGGCCACAAGAAGTAGAAGTGGTTGGATCAACAACAGTGGATAGCTTCAAGATGCTTCACAGGAAGAAATTCCTCAGTGGGATATATAAATTCTCTCTCATCATCCATCGGAACTGACTGGCAATAGGTTCATGAAAGACAAAAATAATTCTTTTTTACAGAACAAACCATTCACTTACAGAATTAACTGCATGCAGTGATGGTCACTCCCTCGGGGGGCTAAAAAATGGAGGGCTAGCAAGTGTAAGAAGCTGCCTTACACCAAGGCGGACTCTTGATCCACCCAGCTCAGTGAAGGGATTGGGACCACGGACTCGCCAGAGCTCCTAACTAAATATGACATAATAGGCATCACTGAAACCTGGTGGGATAAGTCCCACGATTGGAATGTAATAATGGAGGGATACAATCTATTTCAGAGAAACAGACCAGACAAGAAAGGAGGAGGAGTGGCGTTATATGTCAGGGGTGTGTATACCTGTGAAGAGATCCAAGATTTAGAACCTCAAAGCCAAAGTGAGAGCATTTGGGTCAAAATTAAGGGAGAGAAGAATAACAGTGACCTCATTGTGGGAGTTTACTATAGATCCCCAAGCCAAACGGAGGACATAGATGATGCCTTCCTGGAACAGATGGCCAAGCATGCAAAAGGAAGGGAGATAGTAGTAATGGGGACTTCAATTACCCGGATATTTGTTGGATGTCAAACTCAGCCAAGAGCATAAGGTCAAACAGATTCCTCACTGGCCTTGCAGACAACTTCATTGTCCAGAAAGTGGGAGAAGCAACAAGAGGAACAGCCATTTTAGATCTGGTCCTAACCAATGTTGATGACCTGGTTAGTGGGGTAGAAGTGGAAGGATCATTAGGCGCGAGTGATCATGCTCTTCTGAAGTTTACTATACAGCGGAAAGGAGCAGCCAAGCATACTAGGACTCAATTTCTTGACTTTAAGAAAGCCGACTTCATAAAACTTAGGGAAGTGCTGGGTGAGATCCCATGGACAGTAATACTAAAAGGAAAGGGAGTTCATGATGGCTGGGAGTTTGTTAAGAGGGAGATAGTAAAAGCACAACGTCAGGCAATACCAATGAGACGGAAACATCGAAGGTGCCAAAAGAAGCCAGGGTCGCTATCTAAAGAACTTTTAACTGAGTTAAGATTAAAAAGGATGTGTACAAAAATGGAAAAGGGGGAAACCACCAAAGAGGAATTCAAACAAATAGCCAGCACGTGTAGACACAAAGTCAGAAAAGCTAAAGCACAGAATGAACTCAGGCTTGCTAGAGAGGTTAAAGGCAACAAAAAAGGCTTTTATGGGTATGTTCGTAGCAAAAGGAAGAACAAAGAAACAGTGGGGTCACTCAGAGGAGAAGATGGTGAAATGCAAACAGGGGACACAGAAAGGGCTGAACTCCTCAATGCCTTCTTTGCCTCAGTCTTCTCCGATAAAACAATGCCCGACCTGAAGAATTTGGAGCAAATGATTCAGCAGAGGAAACACAGCCCAGAATAACTAAGGAGATAATACAAGAATACTTGGCTAGTTTAGATGTATTCAAGTCTCCAGGGCCAGATGAACTGCATCCAAGAGTATTAAAAGAACTGGCAGATGTGATCTCAGAACCACTGGCAGTCATCTTTGAGAATTCCTGGAGAACAGGCGAAGTCCTGGCAGACTGGAGGAGGGCAAATGTTGTCCCTATTTTCAAAAAGGGGAAAAGAGAGGACCCAAATAACAACCGCCCAGTCAGTCTGACATCAATACCAGGGAAGATTCTGGAGCAGATCATTAAGCAAACAGTCTGTGAGCACCTAGAAAGGAATGCTGTGATCACCAATAGTCAGCATGGATTTCTGAAAAATAAGTCATGTCAGACTAACCTGATCTCGTTTTGTGACAGAATTACAAGCCTGGTAGATGAAGGGAACACAGTGGATGTAGCCTACCTTGATTTCAGCAAGGCATTTGACAAGGTGCCCCATGATATTCTTGTAAAGAAGCTGGTAACATGCGGTCTTGACTATGCTACCACTCAGTGGATTTGTAACTGGCTGACTGACCGAACCCAAAGGGTGCTCATCAATGGTTCCTCTTCATCCTGGAGAAGAGTGACTAGTGGGGTGCCACAGGGTTCTGTCTTGGGCCCGGTCTTATTCAACATCTTTATCAACGACTTGGATGATGGACTCAAGGGCATCCTGATCAAATTTGCAGATGACACCAAACTGGTAGGGGTGGTTAACACCCCAGAGGACAGGATCACACTTCAAAATGACCTTGACAGATTAGAGAACTGGGCAAAAACAAACAAGATGAATTTTAACAGGGAGAAATGTAAAGTATTGCACTTGGGCAAAAAAATGAGAGGCACAAATACAAGATGGGTGACACCTGGCTTGAGAGCAATACATGTGAAAAGGATCTAGGAGTCTTGGTTGACCACAAACTTGACATGAGCCAACAGTGTGACGCGGCAGCTAAAAAAGCCAATGCAATTCTGGGCCTCATCAATAGGAGTATAGCATCTAGATCAAGGGAAGTAATAGTGCCACTGTATTCTGCTCTGGTCAGACCTCACCTGGAGTACTGTGTCCAGTTCTGGGCACCACAGTTCAAGAAGGACACTGACAAACTGGAACGTGTCCAGAGGAGGGCAACCAAAATGGTCAAAGGCCTGGAAACGATGCCTTATGAGGAACGGCTAAGGGAGCTGGGCATGTTTAGCCTGGAGAAGAGGAGGTTAAGGGGTGATATGATAGCCATGTTCAAATAGATAAAAGGATGTCACATAGAGGAGGGAGAAAGGTTGTTTTCTGCTGCTCCAGAGAAGCGGACACGGAGCAATGGATCCAAACTACAAGAAAGAAGATTCCACCTAAACATTAGGAAGAACTTCCTGACAGTAAGAGCTGTTCGACAGTGGAATTTGCTGCCAAGGAGTGTGGTGGAGTCTTCTTCTTTGGAGGTCTTTAAGCAGAGGCTTGACAACCATATGTCAGGAGTGCTCTGATGGTGTTTCCTGCTTGGCAGGGGGTTGGACTCAATGGCTCTTGTGGTCTCTTCCAACTCTATGATTCTATGATTCCACACTTGATTTTGTGTTTTAATAAAACAAACATTTATATACTACATACTGTTTCCAAAAAACCTGCAATAGATCTTATGGGGCTCTTGTTTTGGTTGGTTGGTCTGGTTATTTCAGCTCATAGAACTTGAAAAGGTGTGCAGTGGGTGACCAAATGCATTGAGGGGATGAAGGTGAGCGCAGGGGCATCACAGCAGAGACCCATCAGATTATGCACAGTGGGCAGAAGGGCAACACGGTGGGGGTTTTCTTCCTCGTGATACTGGAACCCAAAGAGGGTCCTCCAGCAAAGCTGAATGGTGGGTTCAGGACGGTCAAAAGACAGTGCATAGTTAATCTGTGTGTCTTCTCTCAGATCCCAAACCAGGAAGAGGAGACCAGGCTTCTTCTGGGCCTGCCACCTGACAGAATTGGACACGGTACATTTCTTCATTCTTCATCATTGGCCTCAGGGGATCTTGTGCAGCTGGTTCGGCAAAATCGCACACCCCTAGGTAAGGAAAGGCGTTGAAGGAAAGATGGAGGTTCCCTGGGATTCACTTTCCTTTGCCATTTCACCCTTGGTTGGCAGAGCTCAACTGAGGTTAGCAAGAGAACTGTGGCTGCGGCAGCATTTTTTCAGGCCCGGTGGAGGCCAGTCCCTGGTGAGAGGAGGGGAGGAAGGTGGCTGGTGCTGAGCACCGTTGGTCCTCTTCTTCCTTCTTCACAACATCCACATCAAACATTCTGTTTCTAGCTTCACAAGGGGATTTGGGGGCACTTCCACTGGGAAAAGCTTTTCTTTAATGCAGGGCCAGTTTCCATGTGGAAGCCCCCTCAAGCCAGTGCTTCCTCCCAGGAGGTTTGAGGTGGGCTGTGCCACGTGCCACTACTGACACCATCTCATGTTGAGTCCGCAGACACAACCAGAGTAACGCCAAGGCCTTCACACTAGGGTCTGCGTCTTTGTGTTCACTGCTATACTTCCGCTGGAATGAGGCTTTGCTCGTGCGAGGTGACCACGTCCGCTTTAGGGCAAGTGCTTTGGCTGGCCTTCCCATGCTTGCTCTCCCCGTTTGACCCCTTCTGAACCAGACTTCTCTCGTCTTCCTCAGAACTCTGCCTGACGTCAAACCTCAAAAGCCAGACGGTGCCTTCTAGCGACCAACACCACTTCGGATTCTGGTACAACCTGGGTCATCCCATCGTGCTTTGCGTAAGGCACTCTGCGTTATCCAGACACACAAAGATGTCAGCGTGGAGAACCTCTTCAAAAACAATAGGGAAGGCATGTCCAAAGTCTGTCTCGGGGGCCTAATCCGGCCCCTGTGGCAGTTTATTTCCTGGGGTAAAAAAACCTCAACAACTTCAATCCTAAATAAAGCTCAAGGCCCTTCACTTCATCAAATCTGGCCCTCTTTGAAAAAAAGTTTGGACACCACTGCATAGGGAGGAGGCCCCCCCATTGACATGTTGTAATAGCCTTGCCAGATCAGGAGGAGCCATCTGTTGCAGCATTCTGATTTCCCACAATAGCCAATCAAATGATATTTATTTATTACACGTTTCCTCTCCAATAAGCTCAAGGTGGCATCCTCATTTTTACTCCGCACAACAACCCTGTGAGTTAGGCTAGGCTGAAAGGCCCAAGGTCACCCAGTGCGCTTCATGGCCGAGCGGGGATTCGAACCCTGGTCTCCCAGGTCCTAGCCCAAGACTCCAACCTTTACACCATGCTACCTCCAGGAAGTCCATGAACAGCCTTCCCTCTACTTTGTATCTAGCAAGCAGCATTCCCAGGTCTGCTGCCCCTGGGCATGGAAGTTCTGCTTCCCCTTGTGGTGGATGGCTGCTGGTTGAGCCATCTCATCATGGCCTTTCTGGCACCTCCCACACCCCACGCCCTTCCGGCCTCACAAGCGACAGCCCTCAGCAGGGACATCAGGAACAGAAAGTTTATATAAAAAGTATTTTTGGAAGGCAGTCTACATTGTTGGCTAGGAAAATATTCTGTGATGCAGTCCTTTAAGTGCCCAAAGCCTATAAAATTAACCCTTTTACCATTTTCTTTTACTGCCAGACGGACGACAAGGGGGTTTTTGCGACTGACCTGAGCCAGGAGTACCAGCTGCTTGCGGACACATTCCAACTGTCCAAAGCACAGATCTGGGAAATCTCCTACAATGCCATCAACTGCATTTTTGCTTCCAGTCATACAAAGACGAAACTGAAGGAGCAGTGGCATCAACTGAAAGCATCTGTGCTTGAATAGCCATATCAGACCACCAACAACTATGGCACTCACGCTGCATGCGCAGAGTGTTTTCTTTTTTTAAAAAAACGTATTTTTTATTAAAGATTTCTTGATTTACAAAAGTATGTGCAACATCTCTTTTTCCAAGTTACATTTTCTACAGATCAGTTTCATTTGTTGAGACATTAGTGTTACATTAGGAAGACAAGGGGGAAAGAGGTGGGGGGAACGGTAAGTGGGGTGGGGTCAGGTGGCGATGTTTCTATTTTACTTAATGTATGTGCGGGGTTTTGTGTCAGCGTCACTTGTGCAGGTAATAATAATAATAATAATAATAATAATAATTTATTATTTATACCCCGCCCATCTGGCTGGGTTTCCCCAGCCACTCTGGGCAGCTTCGAACAGAACACTAAAATACAATAACCTATTAAACATTAAAAGCTTCCCTAAACAGGGCTGCCTTCAGATGTCTTCTAACAGTTTGGTAGTTATTTTTCTCTTTGACATCTGGTGGGAGGGCGTTCCACAGGGCAGGTGCCACTACCGAGAAGGCCCTCTGCCTAGTTCCCTGTAACTTGGCTTCTTGTAGCGAGGGAACCACCAGAAGGCCCTCGGCACTAGACCTCAGTGTCCGGGCAGAATGATGGAGGTGGAGACACTCCTTCAGGTATATTGGACCGAGGCCGTTTAGGGCTTTAAAGGTCAACATCAACACTTTGAATTGTGCTCAGAAATGTACTGGGATCCAGTGTAGGTCTTTCAAGACGGCCACTCCCAGTCACCAGTCTAGCTGCCGCATTCTGGATTAGTTGTAGTTTCTGGGTCACCATCAAAGGTAGCCCCACGTAGAGCGCATTGCAGTAGTCCAAGCGAGAGATAACCAGAGCATGCAACACTTTGGCGAGGCAGTCCACAGACAAGTAGGGTCTCAGCCTGCTTACCAGATGGAGCTGGTAGACAGCTGCCCTGGACACAGAATTGACCTGCACCTCCATGGACAGCTGTGAGTCCAAAATAACTCCCAGGCTGCGCACCTGGTCCTTCAGGGGCCCAGTTACCCCATTCAGGACCAGGGAGTCCTCCACACCTGCCCACCTCCTGTCCCCCAAAAACAGTACTTCTGTCTTGTCAGGATTCAACCTCAATCTGTTAGCCACCATCCATCCTCCAACCGCCTCCAGACATTCACACAGGACCTTCACTGCCTTCACTGGTTCTGATTTGAAAGATAGGTACAGCTGGGTATCATCTGCATACTGATGAACATCCAGCCCAAACCCCCTGATGATCTCTCCCAGCAGCTGCATGTAGATGTTGAAAAGCAGGGCAGGAGGATGGAACTCTGAGGCACCGCACAAGTGAGAGCCCAGGGGTCTGAACACTCACTCATCCCCCACCACCACTTTCTGAACACGGCCTAGGAGGAAGGAGCGGAACCACTGTATGACAGTGCCCCCAGCTCCCAGCCCCTCAAGATGGTCCAGAAGGATGTTATGGTCGATGGTGTCAAAAGCTGCTGAGAGATGCAGCAGAACTAGGAAACAGCTCTCACCTTTGTCCCTAGCCCACCGGAGATCATCATCCAGTGCGACCAAGGCAGTTTCAGTCCCATGATGAGGCCTGAATCCCGACTGGAAGGGATCCAAATGGTCCGCTTCTTCCAGGCGTGCCTGGAGTTGTTCAGCAACCACTCGCTCAATCACCTTGCCCAAGAATGGAAGATTTGAGACTGGGCGATAGTTGGCCATCATGGCCGCATCTAAAGATGGTTTTTTAAGAAGCAGTTTGATAACCACCTCTTTCAGCGGGTCTGGGAAGGCTCCCTCACAGAGAGAAGCATTCACCACCCCACAAAGCCCATCGCCCAGCCCTTCCCGGCTAGCTTTTATAAGCCAGGATGGGCAAGGATCAAGGAGACAGGTGGTTGGTTTCACTCGTCCAAGCAGCCTGTCCACATCCTCTGAGGTAACAGATTGGAATTGATCCCACATAACTTGACTAGACAGGACTCTAGCACTCTCCCGCCCTGACTCTGCTTCTACGGTGGAGTCTGTCTCTCCCCGAATCTGAGCGACTTTATCTGCAAAAAAACTTTGCAAAATCCTTGCAGGGGATCTTGTGGCCCGTACTGGGCCCCGATGTAGGAAGTGGTTCCGCTAAATTGCGAACCACCTGAAAAAGTCTCTTCCTGCTGTTTTCCGCAGGTGCAACAGAGGCTGTGAAGAAAGTCTTCTTCGCCATCGCTACCGCCACTTGGTAGGCTCAACATTGAGCTCTAACCCGTGTCCGGTCAGCTTCAGAATGAGTTACCCGCCACCGGCGCTCTAGCCATCTCAATGATTGTTTCATTTACCCTCTTTACTATTCACTTGTGTTCCTTTGGTGGTGAGAGGTTGGGGTTGGCCTAGGGTGTGGTTGTTTGTGGTTGGCTGTGGTGGTCGTTGTTTCCATGTGTGAGTGGGGTGGCTGGGTGTTTTTGGATCAGGTTAGCCATATTGATTCATATGCTATTGGTGGATTCTTGTCATTGTCTTGTTGGGCTGTATATGTGATAAAAGGGAGCCACACCGGGGTGAGGCGTCTTCTTCTATTTGTCCCCGTGTCAGTTTCAGTTGATTGGTTAATTTTTCTCGTAAGGCTGTTTCCCATATTATTTGGTACCATTGGTCCATGCTTACTCCTGACAGGTTCCTCCAGTGTCTGGTTATGATGTTTCTGGCTGCTGAGAGTAGGTGGGTGATGAGTTCTTTGTGATGTGAGTGGGAATTATTGTCTTGGAAGATGTTTAGTAGGGCCAGTTCTGGGGTGATTTCTAATACTTGCTTGGTTATTTTACATATTTATCGTATGGTTGTTGTCCAGAATAGATGGATTTTGGGGCATTCCACCACATGTGGAGGTATGTGCCTGTGGAGGTGCACCCTCTCCAGCATTTTGATGAGGTTCGTTGGGTGTATTAGTGCTAATTTCCTCGGTGTTAGGTACCACCTGTAAGTGAGTTTCAGAGTGAGTTCTTTCCTTTTCGTTGATATGGATTTAAAGGGAGGTTTAGACCACATTCTGGTCCACTGAGTGGGGTTAATCTATGCCTATGTCGTCCTCCCATTGTTTTTTGATTACGTCTAGGGGGTTTGTGGGATTTTGGAGTAGTATTTTGTATACTGCGGATACCATCCCTTTGCCGTTTCCCTTTGTCGTTAGGAGGAGGTTTTCGAAGGTTGTCAGGGGCCTAGTTGCTGCTGATTTTACTACTGGATTGTTTACAAGGGCATGTAATTGGTGGCGTGTCAGCCAGGGCATTTGGGTGTCTTCTAGTTTGTCTTGTATTTCTTGTGTTGATAAGGGTTTGTTATTTTGATGGAAGTCTGTTAGGCGATATAAGCCTTTGGTTTGCCAGGTTTTTATCTGGAGGTTTTGTGCTGTGTGATGGAATAATGGGTGGTACGCCAAGGGAATTAGTGGGACTGGGGACAGTTTACCTTTCCATGCTTTAAGCATGGTCTGTGTGTACCTGTTTAGTGTTGTGGGAATTTTCCTCCGTTTGGGAGGAATGGGTATGCTGTGGTGCAGGTATTTTCAGTTGTGTCCCTCTCCAGGTGTATTCATTGTTTTGTCTCATCTTCTAATATATATGGGATTATGTGACGTACTTGGTTGGCATTATAACATGCTTCTATGTTGGGGATTTCCCATCGTCCTTCTGAGGGGAGGTGCAGGTATTTGGGGCTTATTCTTGGTTTTTTGTGTGAGAAAATAAATAAGTGTAGGTTTTTCTGCCATTTACGGAGTTGGGCTGGGGGAATCCAGGTTGGGAGGGTTTGGAATAGGTAAGTTAGTTTTGGGAGGGTGATCGTTTTGATCATGGCTATTTTGTCTGAGAGAGTGAAGTTCATGTTGTTCCATCTCTTTAGGTCTTTGTTAATTTGTTGTCACAAGGGGTTGTAGTTGTGGAGCTATAATTTATTGAGGTTTCTGGTTATTTGTACCCCTAGGTATCTGAACTTGGTGTGGCAAAGTTTTACCTTGGTGGCGTTAGCGCAGGCATAGGCCCTCCAGATGTTTTGGGACTACAACTCCCATCATCCCTGACCATGGGTCCTGTCAGCTAGGGATGATGGGAGTTGTAGTCCCAAAACATCTGGAAGGTCAAGTTTGGCTATGCCTGCATTAGCGAGTTCTTTTTGGATGTGAGGAGGGGTGCTGAAGCACATAGCTTCCAACTTTGCAAAATTCACCTGTTGGCCCGACACCGTTGCAAATGTAATGAGTTCTCTGATTAGGGACGTTGCTGTGTTTATGGGGTCTGGTGTTGACACCATTAGGTCATCTGCAAAGAGTGCAGAGTGTTTTCTGAGTCAGTTTATACATTCAGAAGGATTAGCTGGTGAAGCCGGTCTGTATGCAGCTAATGTCTTTGAATGGCCCAGATGTTAAAGCTCCCTGCCTCTAGAAAATGAATGTGTCAGGGGAAAAGTTGATATGCTAGTTTTGCATGACTGGAAAATTTAGCAGACCTTATCCTGGGATGGAATGTTCTTAAAGCAGGCAGAGGGTGGGTGAGGTTCCTTTCTGTTCTCTGCTATAGGGAGGGCAATGAGATCAGAAGCATGTTAAAAGTGTGAGCTGCCTCTGTCAGGTTGGAGATTTGTTATTTCTAGAGTGTCCCCACCCCCACCCCTCTTCCGAGCTTATTGTGCAAAATCCCAGTCCCAGATGCTAAAGAAGAGAAGTGTCAGCAAAGAGAGACGTCTAAGAGGCGCTTAAGCAGGTGGCATTAAAATGCAGGATAATACCTGTTGTGTAACAGTGAGGCCCAAAGGAAATAATGGGAGCTGTGAATGACCATTTTAAAGGCTGCAGTGGAAGCAGCCAGACTGATATGCAGATGGAAGGACCACCTTTGCCCTTTGTGGAGAGAAAGAAATTCATGGCATCCCACTCCCCTGGTGGCCCCTCCCTCCTAGAGTCATCATTTTCTGTCGAAAGGGTGGAGGAGAAGAAGCAGCAACAGCTTTTTTCTAAACAGAGAGGTTGTCTTTTCCATCCTATTGTAACCTTTTGCTTTTGTAAACTCAGCTTGTTGTAATAACCTTATGAGTGACATCTCCCTGAAAAGTGAATGAGTAAATGCCAGAGCAGAGAATATTCCAAAGAGCAAAGGCCCATTCAGGAATGCTTAAGAGGACTGCGTTTACGGTAAACATTGATCCACTCTTGTCAAATGACTGCTCTTGCTCTGGTTTGTTTTCATTTTACCACTTGCAGGTTCAAGCTTAACCCCAGCAAAACATTCTCATTTGGTGCTGGCAAGTTTAATAAAAGCACAAAGAGCTTAGAAGCCGTCTAGGTCTTTTCTTTCTTCCTTATCTTGCTTTCTTGCCTTTTAACTGGTCCAGAGCCAGAATCGGTCACACACTACAAAATACCAAAGAGAGTTGCAAATTGTATGAAATAATTCACAGCCAAAGCCCCAAGAGAAGATGGGCATCTTGCCTTCCCAGGTGGCAGATGTAGCAGGTGGAGCATCTCACAGTGCAAGGTATCCCTGGACAAAAGCTAGGGAGGCTTCTTACCTGACTTCATCCTTCCAGCAGAGGGTTGCAGGTGCACAGAAAGGGATACTGCTCCCAGCCCACTGTCATCTCTCTGGAAATAGCCATCAGCACTGCCAGTAGGCACTCAAGCAGCCTTTTATAAAGGCTTTGTTCAAGCTTAAAATTGGGGCAAGGAGGGCATACTGAGGACGTATGCAGCTGCCAGTTTCTTTGCCCTTCACTTAGGTCTGCAAGCTTTGCAAGGGTGTCATGCTAGATGGGGCCTTAGAAGTCATCTACTCCAACACCCCTGCAATAGTATTCCTAACAGCTTTTATTGATAGAATTTGCTTTCCAGATCCTTGTCCACCTTCACTCCCCTTCTCAGGGACATCTCCCCCCCCCCGCCCCCCACCATTCAGTCCTGATTGAAAGTAACCAAACACCAGGTAACGGAGATAGACCTATCTCTATCTCAGTCTCTGGAAAGCTGCTGCCAGTCAGAGTCAATAATACTGGGCTATGCAGCCAAAATAGCCTGATTTTGTATAAGGCAGCCCCCTCTGTTCCTATGAAATAGATCACATTTCATTCTTTGTTTTTCACACTTCTATCCCACCTGCCTGCAAGGAACTCAAGATGGTGCACATGTGGCTTATATCACTCTTTATCCTTGCAACAACCCTGTCAGGGGAGCGCATGACTTGCCCAAAGTCACCTAAGAAGAGGCTGCTGCCCAGGGGCCAACCAGATGCCTGGGGGAAACCCGCAAGCGAGGTCTGAGCACAAGAGCCTCCTCTCCTCTTGTGCTCTTCATGTGCTTGAACCCAGGCCTCCCTAGTCCAAGCTAGTCATGATCCTTCACGCGGAGGAAGTCCTGTGGCCACATTCGCACAGGCGGAGGCATTGCTTGAGTGTTGGGCATGCATGTGTGAACTGGCCCAAACCCACTCCAAGAACCTGCAGGTGGTATTCAGCTAATCCTACTCAAAGTAGCTCTGCTGAAATTAATAAAACCAAGCCAGTCACATCTTGAAGGGGGCTGTTTTGTGCAGGCAGAGCTAGCATTGAAAACCACACGCTGTGTCATCTGAAAGAAAGAAAAGAAGGTGAGAAAGGAGGAAGAGACCCAGGCACTGACCAAAGGGTTTGCCAGCTGCTCTCCAGGGCTTGACGGAGTTGACAACATTGACATAATTGATCCACTTTTGTTCCCACGTAAGGCCAGGTCCTGAAGAAAGGAAAGTGATGAGTTTAGCATAGTTTCCCACGTATGGAAGAAAAAATATTCTTCTTAGGAATGAATTGAGGGTGCTGCACTCTGATCTTCATAATACATGCCCCCCAATCTCCAAACAACAAGAGACTCCAAGGGTTGCAAGCGCTTTACTTGGAGTTCACTTTCCTTGGAATGAAGGTCAAGAGAGACCGCAGTGTCTTTAGGATAGATGGTTTTATTTATCCCTATGTGCAGCCTGAGCACAGGATGGAGGGGCTCGCAGAGTCAGCACCTGAGGACAGCTTGCTTCTCCATTAGTCGCAGCTTTGGGTCCCGCACAGAGCAGTACAGAAATTACTGCCTTATACAAGTGAGACCCAGGGGCAGCACTGCCCATCAGGACAGGGGCCTGCTTTCCAGGATTTCAAGCAGGGGACTCTCACAACCCTCTCTAGAGGTGCCAGGGGTGGAACCTGGGACCTTCTACTTGGCTGCAGCTCTTCCTCCAAAACAGTTAATCTCTCTTGCTGGATGTGGTGGAAACTGCGGTCAGAACCTGGGGAGACCTGTTACCTTGCCATTTGCCTGCCTCTACTCATGCACTGCCTGCATACTTGTCAACAAAGCAAATATCACACTGGCAACGCAAGCTGGTGCCAAAGGCATTGTTCTGCTTTCCTTGGGATCACATCATCGAGGCCAAGAGGGGATCTTGTCGTCTGGGCAGCCCAGAACCTCCCTACACACTGCTCAGGCTTGCGCCCCAGGGAGGTCACTAGTGCTGCTAATGCAGCAGCATGACTTCACCCCCGGAGGTGCACTCCATTGTCTCTTGAGACAGACAGATGCCAACAACAACAATTGGCTGCAGGTCAGTGGGAGAATGCCCTGTGTGCAGAAGGCTTCAGGTTCAATCCCTGGCCTCCCTGGGCTTGGAAAGACTCCATGTCTGAAAACTGGGAGAGCAGAATCAAGTATCTTTTATTACATTGGTCTTCAGACTCAGCAGCACAAAGCGAGAGAACAAAATTTAAGCTGACAGAATTCACATAAACTTGCATCATTAAAAATCACTACTCTTTAAAATGAGTAATTAAATCAGTAATTAAATCAGTAATTAGGGTTTTAAAAAACAGAACATATTCCTATTAGAGCATAATAAACATACATTACTTTGTTTAGCACAAAACACTATTAACTTATATCAAGGTGCATTATCCTGTTTTCAAATCTCCAGGGCAGTTTGTAGCGGAGAGTGAACTGTGTTTCCAGTTTCAATCCAAACAAACATGCCTCAAGTACAAGATGTTTGCAGAAACCTTGGCAAGGAGTTCGTGGGAATTGTATGCTATGGCTTTTGGGTGGCAGCAAGGGATGAAGGCACCTTCAAGACATCAGCTTAACCCTAATAAGGCTTTTACCTGTAGCCTCACTCAGATCAATGATCATGGCTCCCCGGTGTTTAATGCATTCTCTCATGAATCCACGGTAGTCTACAATCTTCAAGGAAACAATAAAATAAAATTAGGAATATAGGAAGCTGCCTTGTACCAAGTTGGCCCATCTGCCCATCTCCCCATCTAGCTCACTAATGTCTACACTGGCTGGCAGCAGCTCTCCAGGGTTTCAGGCAGGACTCTCTCCCGGCCTCCATGGTAATGCCAGGGATTGAACCAGGAACCTTCCACATGCATGGGGGGGCAGAAGCTCTGCCACTGAGCCACGGGCCTCCCCCAACTGCATTACCAACATGCTTTCCCCACACTCCTTCAGTAATAATCGTTTGTGTTGTTCTTTTTAACATGTAATTAATTTTCAAAAATTGCACTGCTGTGTTCATCATAATCACCTCCATTATGGAGAGGGTCTATAGCTACGTCAGTGGTAACAATTGACTTTGCACATAGAAGGTGTCAGGGTCAGTCCCCGCCAGCATCACCACCTAAATAGCTTCCCATTTCTGGAGAGCCACTGCCAGTCAGAGTAGACAATACTGTACTGAGGTGGGTGGATCAATGGCAGCTTTATATACAATCTTACTTTGAGGAAAACAGAATAAATTATCAGTACTTGTTGGGGTGAGAGAGAGAGAAAGAGCAAGAGAACAAACCAAGCTTATAAAAGATATCCAAGTTGATTACGCATCTTCAGGAAAACACACACTGAAGTTTGCAGTTATGCCAAGAGGTTCCTACATTGGAAGCTTGTCTTGCAAATTGGGTCCCGGCTGAGTCAGGAAAAACATTTCAAAGCCATTAGACTTGTAGACACAAGGAGACAGTCTCAGCTGTTCAAATAAATTGCAAATGGGGCACAGGGCAGGAACAGTCCTTTAAACATTCAGAGCCCCAAATCATAGAGCTGGCCATGTGAAGTGCAGTACGGGGGTTGAGTTCTGGGTTATCATATGTGTCACCAGCTCCATGTAAGCCCATTCCGCCCCCTTCTGGGGCCAAAAGAGCTGTGTGCATCAGCAGTTTCGCGTGTTTTGGTTGAGAGCAAGATGGTCATTCCCTGTATATGGCAGAGGGAAATAATCCCGACTTTCAGCCATGGGCAATGTGCACTTTTGGTCGCCCCACTCAGCCAGGAAACAGATTGTCTCCCAAACACTCTTCAAGGGCAGCCCTACATTGAGCTCATAATGCAGTTGTCTAGGCTTGGAGCTACACCAAGGCCAAGACAACAAACAAATAGGGGGAGGGGAATCCATACTTACAGGACTAGGAACGTAGAGGCAGGCGGGCCTGTGGATGTCATATTCTGGGGCGATGGCATAGGGAGGCAGGTAAGCTCTGTGAAAAAGGCATGACAGAGGACAAGCAGGGCTTAGCTTTCCTGTTCTTTTCTGACAAATGAATCCTACACCTACTACAATAGAAATCCAGAAAGGCTGTGCCCACCCAGCAGGGCAGTTTCCTCCACCTGCAGAGCCACCAACAGTAGAAGAGCCTGCTGCGGCGCTCCGATCAACGGGCGGGCTGTTCCCCAGACTCAACCCTCGGGCCCCGAACTCTTGGCCTGGTGCCCCTGAGAGCCCAGCACCCGGGTGTCCCGCACCTCTAGCACCTATGGGTAAGATGGCCCTGAGCCTCAGCCAGCGTGGCCAGTGGTCAGCAGGGATGGGAGCTGTCATCCTGCAACATCTGAATGACCCTGGCAGGTCCCCCACCCTGCTTTAGAGATCCTCTATCACAGTCCCAGAAGCAGGGAAGTGTGAGGGCAGTGTGAAGGCACCTCATCTGAGCAGATGACACTTACCTGTAGGGGAAAGCCATATTGTGTTCATCCCAGCACTTGGCTGGCCCTAGGTCTGATTATTATTATTATTAATACCACTATTACCCTACATACGTATTACCCATGATCTCACAATGGCTCCTGCCTGAAGCTGATTGGCCATTGTGCTGTGTGGCTTCACTGCCAGGCTGGACCCATGGGGTACCAAGACTTATTAGGAGGCTGGAGCAGAAGAAAAGCTGTTTATTCACAAGCAGCAGAACACAGAAGCCTGTGGGCCCAGACCTCACTATCTGCCCCCCCAGACCTTCCCTAAGCCCCCCTCCAGGCCACCCCCCTCACCAGCCCTGCCTCTCCCTTGCCTGGATGGAGAGGTGGGCACAGGAAAACCTCAGACGTAGCTGGAATGCAACTGGCCTTACCAATGGCTAAGAGCTGCATCTGTTGTTTTGCCCACTGTTGCCTCTGGCCCTGCTGCTCCTGGCATGTGGCCCCCAGAAGGCTTCCCATGAGGGAAGGTGGTCCTGGGCTGAAAAGGGCTCCCCTCCCTTGCTCTAGAATCAGAATGGGAAGGCATCTCAAAGGTCGCCTGCTCATGAGGTGAGGTGAGGCCGTTGCTGCAGGCGGCTGGCAGAGCCAGCCTTGTGGAGAGCCTCCTCTGCTTGCTGGCTTCTCTGCTGTGCGCTGATGGCAGCGGGCAGCGCTATTTTTCTAGAAAAAGAGGTGCCAGAATTCACCATGAACACCCTCCCTTGTTCTCTTAGAATGGCAATGGCACCCACCAGAGAGGTGCCGGAACTGAGTTCCAAATCCAGTGTGTTCCGGCTGGAAAAAAACCATTGGCAGTGGGTTCATGGCAGTAGAGGAGTTGGGGGTGGCAGGTGCACACACAAGAGCAGCGGGGGCAGCATTTTCTGCTTTGCCTCTAGCAGCAAAACTTCCTTGGCTGGCCCTGCCATCCATTCCGTAGTGGGGCAGGGTAGTTGTTTTTCCTCCATGGTGTCAGGGAGTGGACTGAAGAGGAATGGTGGGAGCCCCACCCCCTTCTCCTGAACCTTCCCAAGGGCAGGAGGACAGTATTGATGCAGAACAGTGGTTTGCAGAAGGGCATAGTCTAGAGAGGGGAAGCTGGGAAATAGTGGGTGAGGAGCAGCTAGAAGAGGAAACACCAGGAGAGAGACAGCTGGCAGATTCAGTGTCCTTGGACAGTATTCCTGATCCCCCTTCGCCTAAGACTAGACGGGCTTTGAGAGTGATAGAACAAAAAGCGCAACAGCAGCAAGCTCAGATTACCCGACGTAGGAGTGGCATAGATTAATGGAGACGGGGGGGGGGATGAACCTTCACTGGGAGCAACACCATTTTTTAGGGAGATATGCATTCCTTTGTCTCCTGCTGTGATTATTAAAGAAACTCTGATAAGAACGCTCATTTTCTTTGATCTTACAATCACTGCCACCGGGGAAGGGATCTAATTCCCCAAAGTCTGACACATAAGCATCTCACGTCCTGCAGTCTGCCACATCACTTTCCCCAACTGTATTTCCCAGTAACCTTTAGATTCCTCAGAACAAAATCTTATCAAGGATCATGAACAGCTTACCTGAATAAAAACAACCCCACTGTTGCTGGTTTCTCACTGAAATACACAACCATGCCCACTCAGAGGCATTCTCAGATTATGCAGGTGGGCGATGTCTAGGTCCAAATACAGTGGTGCCTCGCAAGACGAAAAGAATCCGTTCCGCGAGTCTCTTCGTCTTGCGGGTTTTTTCGTCTTGCGAAGCAAGCCCATTAGAGGTTTAGCGGCTTAGCGCTACAGTATTAGCGGCTTAGCCGGCTTAAAGATCAGCTGATAAGCGGCTAACGATCCGCTGATAAGCGGCTTAGCATCAGCTGTTAAGCGGCAAAGATCAGCTGATAGCGGCTTAGCATCAGCTGTTAAGCGGCTTAAAGATCAGCTGATAAGCGGCTTAGCATCAGCTGTTAAGCGGCTTAAAGATCAGCTGATAAGCGGCTTAGCCATCAGCTGTTAAGCGGCTTAAAGATCAGCTGATAAGCGGCTTAGCATCAGCTGTTAAGCGGCTTAAAGATCAGCTGATAAGCGGCTTAGCCATCAGCTGATAAGCGGTTTAGCGGCTTGGGAAAAAGGGGGGGGGAGGAAAAAAACCCCGCAGGAACTCGAAAGACATTTTCGTCTTGCGAAGCAAGCACATAGGAAATTCGTTTTGCGAAGCACCTCCAAAACGGAAAACCCTTTCGTCTAGCGGGTTTTCCGTCTTGCAAGGCATTCGTCTTGCGGGGCACCACTGTAACCGGGTGACCCCACACAAGCTAATGGCCTACCCTAGAATGTGCCACAGTGATCCAGTAACTTCTCCCACCTCCAACCTAGATGAATGTAGCAAATTTTGGTTCAAGTGTTTACAGATTCCCTCAGAATTTGTGTAAATATTTTCCATCATAGCAGGGCCCCAAAATTCACTTCATATTAGTTTTGCTGAACCCAGTATTCTTTGCAACACTCAAGGGTCCTGTGGGGCAGGAGAAGACAAAGCAAACCCATGTCTGAAAACAGTTTTATACATTCCACAATCCAATCCACACCTGCTTGGCTTGAAGCCTGATGAGCCAGGAGATAAAACATTTTTTAATGTTTGTGGCTTTTTATTCATACCAATACACTTTTTGTCTAAAAAAACACTCAGAATTGTCTTTTTGACAGTCAATGCTAGCAATATATCAGAAACTCCAGAGTTCCTTTCAAAGATTACATACAAGAGAGGCTTTGACATACTGTTAAAATAATGGGTACAACTCTGACCATTGCACACACTAAAATATATTTGCACTTTGCAAAATAAAAAGGTTTCCCCCCCTAAAATGTTTGGTTATTCCTGGTATAAAAAAGAGAAGTAAAATGCAGCATAGCTGAGATTTCAGCCAAAATAAAATAAAATGAAGACAACATATAGATTTAAGTGCGAATATAAACATACAAAGCTACACAGATAGAAAAGCTTTTTTTTTAAAAAAGGAAAATACTACAGCAATGCAAGTCCTTGAGGAGGACAGCACTGGAATAGTCCATCAGTTCAATGCACCACATGAAGCTTCTTCGTTCTTTGTGGGCCTGTTCCTTTCGTGGCAGTTATAGAATCCCTTCGTACCATCAGGGCCCCTGGGCAGACGCAGAACGCCAACGGGTAACCCAACTGCAGTCGGTATTTTGGGACTCTGCATTGGGCTGCCTACAGGACTTTTCTCTTGTGTCAGAGTCTGAGCTTGCCGCCGCCTCTGGACCCACGGGCTGCTGGAAGGAGTAACACTACTGTCCGATGAATAATCCATGCATCTCCTTGATGTCTCAGGGCTGGTGCTCAGGCTAAGCCTTCCTTCTCCAGCAAGTGGGGACATCCTGGACACTTTACGCAGTGCAGAAGGGCTGCTCCAAGGGCTGGATCTTGGAGACACGTTTGGGCTAAGATGATTGTTCTGGTAGGCAGAAAGACTCAATTTGTTGGAAGAGTTGCTTCTGCGCCCAGACATGGGTGATGCTGGGTTGCTCTCAGGCTCGGAGGAGCTGTTGGCTGAAGATTCATCACCAATGAACTGAAGTTCTTCAACCCTCTTGTTCACTGAACGCGTTTTGCTGAGAGCCTTGCTGGAGTCTTCTTCACGGTTCTTGTCTTTGAGGACCTTCTTTTTTGGAGGCTTCATTCCAATGAGGATAACCTTCATGGCAGTTTCGTTGTCCCTGATGGACATAGACTCGTGAGCTTTGATAGCAGCATCTACCTCTTCAAACTCGATGATCGCACATTCTTTGGTTCCCACTTGGCTGTATCGGCTGCTGAATCTCTTGATATCTGGTGGAAGATCCCGACCAGGCTTGAGGATGCGAACCGACGAGATGACACCAAACTTGACAAAGGCTTTGAGGAGATGCTCCATTATCTTCTCTTGAACACATCCATTCTCTTGTCCTCCATCTGGAGGATGGAGATCAGAAACCAAGCAGATGTCATAGACAAGCAGCATCTTGCTTGGGAGATTCTCGCTAGGGAAGACGGGGACAGGAGTGTTACGACGGACCTTCCTGTTGTCTTCATTCAGCTCCAAAACATCAGAATATTTCAGGGCATAAGATGTGGTTCTCCAGTCACGGGTCAAGTGCTTTACCTGTAAGGGAAAGGTAGCTCATTGAGAAAAGGCAAAAACATTCCTCTTCTCCCAGGCCTTTGGCTACTTGAACTATCTATGGTCTTTTAAACTGTTGAGGGTATTGTTTTCGTTTCTTTCTATGTTATGTCTTTTGTGGTTTTATATTGTAAACAGCCCTGTGATCCTCAGGTCAAGGGTACTATAGAAATTCAAACAAACAAGCAAACAAATAAACAAAACACCAGAATAGTATGACATAGCCATGAGTGAATGGGAGAAGCTTTCGTTCACTTGCATAATTTGCCATTAGCCTGGCAGACCAAGGGACACAGGCACACACAACCTACTTCAGGCTGCTGGAGGGAGCAGCAGGACACTCAGTGGCTCTGTGCTGGGCCAGCTGCATATCCTGCAAGACAGCCAGGACTGCATTCTTGCATTGCAGGGGGTTGGATTAGATGACCCTTGGGGTCCCCTTCCAACTCTATGATTCTATGACTGCCTCCTGCAGCTTTAGGCTGCCTGCATGGCCCATGTAATTGAAAGACAGCAAAGCTTTCTTATCGTGGAAATGCCCTCTGGTATCCAAGTTCTGGGCTGACACACAAGGGAAAAGGGACCGGAAGGGAAAACCATATGCATATAGGAGCCTGAATGGACTCTGCTGGCTCCTCTGGTTGAAGCAACACTTTGCAGCCACCATGCAACAAAGCTCACCTTTTTGAAAGATGTCAGGAGCTTGACACTGACGTATCCCATCTTGTTCCTCCGAACATGCTTCAGGAGAAAGGCATCTTTTTCAAGGTTTTCATCTGAGAAGTAATACTCAATCTGGGCCACCAGCTTCACGATCAGCTCCTGCTCCGGAGGTTTCCAGTTGTGGCCAAAGTCATCCCCGTCATTCTCACCACCACTAGGAAGAGAGAGAAAAGAAGACGATATTGCTCAACACACCTTGATGTCTTATTACAATTTTACACCTGCATTTCTGCTTCTTCCAAGGGAAATATTGCTGCAAGGTGGAATCATTCTTGCAAGGCTACTTTCAGAAGAGAGTCCTTCTGACCTACAGAAGCATTTCTTCTAATGGAATCACCTGAATAGGAAACTAAAATGATGGTTTCATGTGACACTTAATATGCAGCTATGCAACAATGGTCCTACTATGATGTTTCCTCAGAATTAAGCCTTGTTTAAGCAATGTTCTGAGAAATGTTAATTATTATTTTCCCATTTGTAGCTTCTATTTGCTGTTGCTTCCTGTTTAGTGTGACAGTGCTGTTACTGATTAATTGCTCCTTCGCCTGTCGGTTCCTGATCCAGATTAATTACTGGTTTTGTTTTTCTTTATCTTTACTGTGATATACTGTCTTTTTGCTATTCCAAAATAACTATTTCACAATAAAAAAATAAAAAATAAAAGTGGTAGGAGAGCAGCCATTATGACTCTCCTGCAGGGAACTAGAAGTGACTGATTTTGTACTTCTAAACCTTTGTACTTCTAAAAGCCACAAGCGGAAGCTTCTAATTCAAAGGCAATGCTAGCACTGAAAAGCTTCAATAGCACTTTGCTATTCTACACCCGTTTGAGTGGCGCTGCAACCATATTTTAAAATTAAAAGAAGAAAACAAGGCGCCATGAATCAGGCCCAAAGGAAAACAAAATCAATGAAATGTAATGGGTTGCCAAGAATAAAGTCTGTAAGAATCAAGTACGGTATGTAGAAAATTAATGAACAGTAGCAATTCTAGATGGTAACCAAAGTCTTATGAGGTTGTCCGTTTTCATTCACGTGTCACAATGTGACAGAGCAGGAAAGAAAGCATGTGAAATCCATGTATTAGAGGGAGAACTGGACATGATTGCCAGCCCTGGGAATGATTACGTACTGGTAATAATAATAAAATCTGTGCACTTCACAGGGTTGACAAGCTTGTTTGACTTACTGATGTCAGGCCCAGAAAAACACATTTTTACTTTGCTGAAATCCAAAGCCATGAAACACTAAATCCTGCAACTTATGTAGAACAATTTAAGGCACCAATTACCAATCCTATATAAGAACCCAATAAGAGCTCTAGGACTGGATTAGACCACAGGCCCATCTGTTCTCACAGTGAACAAGCCTCTCCCTTTGGAGAGCCACAGGCAGGACTTAAGAGGACCAGCCCTCTCCCCTCTTGTGCCCCTAAGCAGGCCCAAGACTGGAGGGGGCATACGGCCATCGGGGCTATTTTTGTGACTATTTATATACCTTTTAATCAACAAAAGTCTCTAAGTGCTTTACATAAAACAATATGAAATATTCCAAAGAAAATACTGATAAAATCCCCAGATACATGGAAGTGTGCTTTTAAAACAGGAGACATGTAGGTGTCTCCCCCCATATATATATAGAGAGGGAGAGAGACAGAGAGAGGGTGCTCAAAGTCAACCATTTAAAAACAAATACATATATATATATATATATGAATTACATGTCTGGGTAGGCTTGCCCAAACATAAAAGTTTTTAAGCAGGCATCAGAAACAGTGCAGAGAAAGCCCCTTCCTAATATTAACAGTACCCACTGACAGCCTTATCCATCACTACATCTTCTGCAAACAAAAACCACATGTTTTAGTCACCTCTCTCTAGTCCTCAAGGGCAGTAAAAACTACTTTGTTAAGTGATGGAATTATGCCAGGTCTTGATAAACGGATGGCCCACCAGAGATATGATTCATCAAGTGCTGTTGTCTTACAAGTGTCACTTGGTCTGGAAAAAAAGAGAGCAAAGATGCTGAATACTGCTCCCCCCCAATTTAAAAACATAGATTGTGTTTTTCGAATATATCACACTGAAGAGTGCAATATACTCTTCTGCCTCAGCAGCTTTGGAGAGGCAAAGAACATAGGATTAGCCTTGACGTGTGCCTGTGTTGGGATTGTCTGATGACTCACAGGCAGATGAGTCACAATCTAATGTGGTTGTTTTTCTGGCTCCTTGATCATTTCTTTTTTGGATTTCGCCGTCTCCATAATTTTGCACCCCTCCTCTTCCCTTACCACCCCCCACTGGATATTTCAAATGCAGATTGCTAGGCTCTGTGGAGGCATTGAGGGTTCTCCTTCTCCAGCTGCTCCACTGCTCACATACACACACGGATTCAATAGCAGATGATTCCTGCCATTTCAAAAGGGAGGCTCCATCAGCCACACTGGGCAGAAGCAGAATACAGAGGGGCTTGGGTTCCCTGGGAGCCCTTGTATCCCAGCTCTACGATGGAGATCTTCTGGAGGTTGTCCCCCATGTTACAGAGGCCCAGCTGGCTTCAACTAGAAGCTGGACATTCGGTGGCACTGGTCCCTTCCAACTGAGATTCAGAACAGGAATCCTCGCTTTTGATTCTGGAGACCCATAACTGATAATAACTGTCCAAACTAGGTTATCTTGGAATACTGCTATGTATACTCTCTAGAAAGATGGGGAGCACTTGGATCAAAACACATTAATAATACCTGAGATGCTATTGAAACATTTTCATCAATTTGAATAATATGGCAACACATGTCCCAAAAAATAATTTGACCTTTTCTCCCACACTAAAATGACTTTGTGGGGAGAGCAGACTCTAAAAATAGGGAAATAAATGGGGATATGGAAGAGCTGAATAAATTCGGCCATATTAACGTTAGGCCAATTGATAGACGAGAAGGATGAATTTTATGTATACTCTTTGTTAAGAGTTATGTTAAGGGTAATATGAATTACCCTTAAATGCTCAATGGCAATATGTTCAGATAAAGGATTGGCTAACTACCACTTATGGACCAGTAGCTTAAAACAGCTGATTAACTCTTATGTAACAAATACACCCCACTATCACCTTATACAAATGTTTTTTAGCAGCAAACCAGTTTGAAATACAGGTATTAAGGGAGGAAGTGTAAGAAAGAACTTGAAGTCTCAATCTCAACCAAGCAATGGGAAACTGTATTCTCTAACAGGGGTGTCTCTAGACCTTAAACTAAGACTCATACAACAAAAAAATAATATTTAGAATTTACTGGATTCCATTACATTTGTTCATGAAAGTGTTATCTAAGACATTGAGCTGCTGGAGATGTAACAAGGACAATGCTTCTTTAAAATATATGTTCTTACAATGTTCTACATTGGCAGAGCGTAATAGAAAGGATTAATGTGACTGTATGGAAAACTCTTAGATTTGCAGAAGAAAATATCATTTTGAATTATATACCAAATACATGGAACCTAACAAAGGGACAATATGAATGGACTCTCTGCACCCTTACTATGGCAAAAATACAGGTATTGATGAACTGGAAGAAAAAAATGAGGTTCCCTTCAACGAATGGAAAAAAATCTATGTACGGTATAAACTTGCAACACATGAACAAGTTGCGTACAAACATAGACTTACCATGGACAAATTTAATGATATTTGGAAATCATTTTTATACACTGTATTAGGTTAGGTTTAGGATAAGTGAAATAACGATCTTGTAATGTTTACGTTTTCTTCTTCTTTTCCTCTTTTGTCTTTTTAAAAATTCTTTTTATTCTTTTATCATTTTTACACGGGTGTATCTTAACAATTGTTATTTTTTCATGTCTTGTATTACCTTGTGCACTTATAATATTATACTGGGTGCAACTATTCTTTTTATTTTTCATATATGTATAACCTGCCCAATCCAGTGAAGAAACAGCTGAGTGAGCTGTTACGCCTGGACTTCAAAAGAATGGAAACCTTTAATGCCATGGACTCTCAAGGCCTGCTTCACTGCCTTGTTTCTTAAAGAGGTGCCATTAGCATAACTGCCCCCACATTTCAGGAGGGCAAATCGTGGCACCCCCCTCCATTGCCCCCCTCCAGCTGCCGGCTCCTTCACCCACTTGCTCCTTCGCTGCCACTGCCACCCCACCGCCACCCTTCCTTCCCCCACACCTTCACCTGCAACCTCCTCCTCTGTGGCCTCCTCTTCCTCCTCCAAGGCCTTGACCAAAGTTGCGTCAACTGGCACCCAAGGGAGAAGCTGCTACCCTCCCGCGCTCCTCACTCTGGTGTGAGCCAACTGACTCACACCACAGGGCAGGACAAAAAAACGCCTGTCTTTGGGTCCCACACGCTGGTGTGGCCAGAGCACAGGAGTCAAAATGGGACATCCAGGATTGGGCGGCTTCTGTCCATCTGGGATGTCCCACCTAAAACGGAACACTTGTGCGCTATGCACTAGGAAGTTGCCTCTTGCCAGTTTAGCCTGTTTTTCTAGCCTGGGATTTTCCACTCTGATTGACAGCTGACTTTCCTGGGGGTGAGGAAGAAACAGCCCTCTCTCATCACCAGCTGCCTGGCCCTTTCAAGTTGCGGAGCTTCTTGAGATTGAACCAGAAGCTGTCTGGCGCTCTGCCATTGAGTCACTAGGATTCCTTCTCAACTTTTGTTTAAAGGGTTTGAGACAATTTTGTTTGCCTCAGCCAATGAGAGAGAAACACACACACACTTCAACTTTATATCAGTAGTTGCGTACTCATTTCTAAAACAGCCAAAATATAATTTGGGAATTAACAGCTGCATTTTGCAAATGACAGCTCTGCAAGGGTGGCAGCCGGAAGGGAAAGCAACACCTTGACCTGGTAAAGGAGGTTAGAAACAGCTGTTATTTTACTTTTCAAGAGAGGGAAGTGCAGACCACACGTGTATAACACTTCCCTGCTCAACTGGGCTGGAAACACTGGTGTCATGTCCTTCTCCAAAGCACATGTAAAAGTCGCAAGCATTTCCTTTTTCCTTCCAAGAGTGGAAAGAGACACAGGAGGGTCTTAAGGGATCAGGGTAAAGGAGCAAGAAAAATGTTCTCTAGTTGTCGTTCCTTTCAGCAGTGGAATTTTTTATGTGTGTATGGCTTTTTTTCAGCAGGAACTCGCATTCATTGTGAGTTCTGGCACCTTTTCTTCTAGAAATAGATATAGATAGTGACGTGCGTGGCGCTGTGGTCTAAACCACTGAGCCTCTTGGGCTTGCTGATCGGAAGGTTGGTAGTTCGAATCCCTGTGACGGAGTGAGCTCCCTTTGCTCTGTCCCAGCTCCTGCCAACCTAGCAGTTTGAAAGCACACCAGTGCAAGTAGATAAATAGGTACTGCTGGGGCGGAAAGGTAAATAGCGTTTCCGTGTGCTCTGGCACTTGGCACAGTGTTCTGTTGAGCCAGAAGCGGTTTAGTCCTGCTGGCCACACGACCTGGAAAGCTTTCTGTGGAAAAACACCGGCTCCCTTGGCCTGAAAGCGAGATGAGAGCCACAACCCCATAGTCGCCCTTGACTGGTCTTAACCATCCAGGGGCCCTTTACCTTTGATATAGATATAGATATAGATATAGATGATATAGATGTTGTTTTATAGTTTGCTGATTATTCACTAATTTGTGGTTGTAATTTAGCTAACATGACCCACTCTGGGACCTTAGGGTGAAGGGTGGGTAAGAAATACCAAAAATAAAATAAGTTAATGAAATCCCATTAGCGGCCAGGTTCACAAAGTTACCACGATGGTACCCAAGCCTAGTTTCTACACACATGCAACACACACCAGTATAGCTTATTTACTGAATTAAGCAGAATTCAGGATAGAAAATGTTGCATGTAGTTTCCTGCAGGCACTAAGGTGGTCATGGGGTGGTGAGGTCGATGGGGCATCCAATCTCACCCTGTTAGCATGCTATTTTTGCACTTGCCAGAAACGAGGAAGGATATAGAGGGTATGTGTGTACGGAGAGTCTAAGACGGGCCATAATCTCCTTAGTACCCCTGAAAATCTCTTTGTTCTGAGTCATACTTTCCAACAAGGAGATGGTACTGCTTCAGGACAACCCTCTGCATGTCTACTCAGAAGTAAGCCCCTTGCAGTCCAAGTGCATCAAGGACTTCCACCCAGCAAGGGAATACTGTCACAGGGGAACAGCAGCTATTTCTTACAAATGCAGAGAGCTGTCTGCAAGTCAGCATAGTGTAGCAAAAAGCCACCTTAAAAAAGGGAAATTCTTCTGCTGGTGTCTGCATTGGGCAGGGGTAGTGTTTAGGGTTTTTTATTGATATAAAATTTTTGTATGTGTAAATTGTTGGATTTGTTTGTGTGTTTTGTTGATGTTTTATTTATTCCTTATGACTACTTTTGTTATGTTGTAACTACATATATATTTTTCATGCTGAAAGCCACCTTGAGCATGGTTTGAACTCTGGAAAAGGAGGGACTCTCTTGGGTGGGAGAGCCACTGTGTGGAGGCTCCTCTTTATTTTCTAAGCAAACATGATTTGGATGCTGGTGGGACAAGAATGAGAGAGACCCTTTCTTCTGGCACCCCCTCGCAACAATTCTGTAGCCTACCAGAAAGTTTTTCAGGTCACACACACCATTTTGATTTGGGTTACGGCTATCAGTTAGTTCTATGCTGGGCCATGTTAGCAAGCCCAGGTGGGACTTCTGGATGTGCTTCCTACTTACTGAGCAAAAGCTCTTCTGCTTCGGACCACAGAGTCCTGGTTACTGGGTAAACATTATCCAGAGTTCATTTAGATCTCTCCCTGTCCCTCCCCCCGCAATACTACACACCCTCCAAATGTATGCGTGATTGAAACCTATTCAAAAGTCAAGTGAAACCAGTAGTAGGGGAAGAAGGGAGAGACAGGCACAGAATGCTGCAGAGCTACTATTCTACGCCACTGCTATGGGGGATGCCCAGCGTCAGCTCATTAAGCCAAGATTATGCCTAGGATCTTCCAGATCCATTTATTTCTAGGTGACTCCTTGCAAGCAGCCAGTAGTGCGTCACAGTCCAGAGGGAGACTTCAACAAGCCAATCACACTAATTAACAGCAGCTTCCTAACAGGCCGTCCTGCCCTATTTCACTAATCTCTGAGTGATGCAGCCACCCTAATCTTTTTTCCTTCACCATGAAAACAACCACCTGCCCACTGCTCCAGAGTCTTGATGGAAACAGGTGCCCAGCAGGTCACTCATTCATATGCGTGCGTGCCTGCCTGCATAAGACTGCAACACACACCCATACATCCAGCACAGCCAAAACACCCCCATTCTCCAAGTGTCATTTGGAGATAGCAAGCAGAGACTCATACACTCCCTGAAATGAAAGTCATAGCCACATTGATGTGAGTTTCAGTTAAAGAACCCATGGTCTGAAGTGGATTTGTAAAGTGTAGTCCGGTGCAATCTCCAGTTAAAGGGTGTGGAAGGTGACAGGTCTTGGTGTCCCCAGTGGTGCAGTTAGGTGATTTTACAATTTGGACTTAATGGTTTCAGTCTCTCTCCCTCCCCCCCTCCCCCACTTCAAAATGTGATAAGCTGGTCCTACTGCCCTTGGGAGTCCTCCTGCTCATTTGGACAGGTGGGGCACTGTGCATCTGCCCCCAAGTCCTGCCCTGGCACCACTGCCCATTCCTCTCTTGCACAGGAGAATCATAAATTCACTTCTCAAGATTAATGACCCTGAACTGAATTTGCAATAGAATTAGAAGTGGTTGTGTCTGCTGTTTGTTATGTACTTTAGATCACCTTGTTATGACACAATTTCCCTAAATCTATGACTTTCCTTTCTTGATTCATTCATCTTACTGTATTTCTTCCATAACATTTCATCAAGGAAGCTACTTTCTCTTAGGAAAAGGTTTCTGTGTTCACTGTTCCAAGCAGTGGTGCTGGCTATTAGCTTAGATAGCTTTAAAAGTGAATCAGGCAAATTCAGGGAGGAGTGGAACCTGCACATCTAGCAAGGGAAGATAAAGTGCTAGGAAGTAACAGAGGGGTTCACTCTGGGGCCCAATTGTGGGCTTCCTAGAGGCATTTGGTTTGGCACCATGGTAAGCAGGATGCTGGGCTAGACCAGATGGGCCACAGGGTTCCTGGTCCAGAGGGGTTCCTGGAAGCAAAGCCTTACAAGGAATGGGCATATCTAACCTGGAGAAGAGAACATTAAGGGCACAGAGGATAAGCTGACTTCAAACATCTGACTTCAAACATCTGTTATGTAGACAATACAGATATGTTCAGTGTATGGGAAAGGCAGAGAACCAAATCTGGGCTCAACGTGAGGCAGAGCATCTCAGTGGTGATGTTTGAGAGTGGGGCAAACTCCCTTCACTAGAAGTATTTAATCCCCCCCCCCCAATTTTTAAAATAAATTTTCCAAATTTATAAGAAACATAAAAGAAAAACATTACAATATAAAAAAGACAAATGAACAAACATATATCCTAACTGTTAACATCCCACTTTAATTATCATTACTGGATGACTTCCTCAAGTCTCCCTAGCTGAGTTTCCATATAACTCATTGTAGCAGTTTTCCAATAACTAATTTCGAATAAAATTAACTTATTCAAATAACATCTGTCTCTCTCTTCATAGTGTTCTCTATCCATAATGTTATACAATTTAACATATTTAACTCCTAGGCCAATTTGGTACTTACAAATAATTCTACTTATGTTATCTTAGAATATCTAACCAGATAGTTCACTGGAGGTATTTAAGCAGAGGCGGGAGGTTCATCTGTCAGGGAGGCTGTAACTGTGGATCCTGCATTGAGCAGCTGGTAGGACTAAAGGATCTCCAAGCCCCCCCCCTTTCACGTTCTTCATGAAAGCAGAAACTTTATGGGTGGTGGAGAAAAACCCATTTGGCACATCCTTAGCTGGCGGCATTAACCGCCCCCCCCTTGGAGGACAACATCGGTAATAAGGCTGGCGAAGGTGCAGCCCTCCAGATGTTGCTGAATATCAACCCTCCTCACCGGAGAGTTCAAGCCCCGCACCATCTGGAGGGGCCACCGGCTGCCCACCCCGAACTTGTAAGCGCTTCCGAAGGTGGCTTGCTGACACCCTCCCAGCGCCCCAGGGAGCAGAGCCAGACGGATTTCGCGGGATGGAAAAGTAACGGAGGTCACCTCCTTCTGCTCCTCCGCTCCTCCTCGGGGGCATCAGATTACAGCGCAGTGCCAGGTCAGCAGGAGATCCCTTCCTCTCCCCTGGGGCGGGGTGGGGGGAACCTCGTCTCCCAGGCTCCCGGCCAAAGGCGACTTTGCAGCATCGCATGGGCTGGACCGGAGGAGGAGGAGGACAGGGCGAGCGGCGCTTGGTGCAACATCCGGCTCCAGTTGCGCCCAGCTTCCTGCAGGATTTGGGAGCCTCTTGGGTCGCGTCACGCGGCGCCTGCGTCAGCTACTGCGCTAGGATCCCCTTGAGGATGCGGGGCACCCGCCCGCTCCTTGCCGGGGGAGAAGCTAGCCCGCGTGCCCCTTGGCAGGGGAGCCTCTGCGTTGTTTATGGAAGGGGGTGTTTTAACAGCATCTATAGCAGGAGCGAATATGGAGCAATAGCAAAACATCAGGCAAGGGAAGGCGGGCCCGACGGGGGGGGGGCGCGGGGAGGAGGATGTTATTCTCTCTTCCAGATCCTGCAACACTCTGAGGCTGTGCACACATGGCCTGCTTAAAACGCGAGGTCGTACTTTCCCTCAATTCGAATCAAAGCTGCTTTGGGAAGGAAACACATCAAAGCAGAGCACAAGGGTGCATAAGGATTGTGGCAAAAGCTACGTGCGCACCGCTTCCCCAACTGCATGCAGAGTCAAGGGAACTGTGGGGGCGGCCCTCTGCCCACCACCCCTGACAATTGGCCAGGCTGGGTGGGATGTCAGTGGGAGGGGGAGTCCCGCAACATCTCGACAGTCACGGATTCCCCATCGCTGACAGAACGGGTTCTGAACTAAGGGCTGAGATTCTGTTCCTTCCTTGGTGGTGGAAGGCAGGTGGCAGCAGTTTTGCCAATGTGAACAGTTCCAGTGTTGGCTAAACAGTTGTTTTCTGCACAGCAGAGGGAAGGGAATGCTGGGAGTTCCCAGACTGCGCAATTGGAGAGGGGCAAATGTGAGGGGACAGGACAGGGAGGAATTGGGGTAGAAACGTTTTCACGGAAAGGGCGCCCCATGCCCAATGGGCAGCTATAAGGAGGACTGGGTTTTGGGTTTTTTATGGACCTCATTCTCTTCACATCTTGGCAGAGCCAAACTGGATGTGACACCAAATGCATCTTTAGCAATCATGGTGGAGTTTGTCAGGAGGTCTCGGGTTGAAGCCCCTAAGTAAGGAGCTAGGGGGACTTGGTTTTATAAGACAGTTTCCTATGGTCATGGATAGATACCGTAGATAGATAGATAGACAGACAGTAGCAGGTGAGCAAATTTTGACACTTCGAGTTGGGGGTGGGGGGTTCATGGAAGGGGAGGAAAGACTTAAGCCTGCTCTCTTGATATTCTGTGGACCTGATGGACACACGCACACACCTGCCACCATTTTTTTAAAAGAATCCTGATACCACTCAGCATCGCATCTCTTTGGTCCTAGTTACTGTGTGGATGGAATATGAGCTGAAGTGCATTATAGCAAATGCAATCACAGACACACGGCCACGCGTGCCTAAAAGGGTGACTGCGCACGTTACCTGGTCACTCTGAGCTGGATCCAAACTGCCTCCTTGTAGCTAACACAGGTCGGGAGGCTTAGCCAGCGGCTCCACCGATTCACCCGCCTGCTCTCCGGGGCGAGCTCCCCTCCATCATAGATGGAAACCGCTGAACTTCCTATGGAAGCTCGTGGGGGGGAAACTTCTATCTTTCTTTGCCTCCTCGCCCACTTTCTGTAAAGGAGAGTTTGCGACTTTCCCCTTGCCATCGGGCTTTTTCTTTTGCAAAAGCCCATCACAAGGGCTGACACCTCTCCATTCCCCAAATGCAGAAATCCTAGACTTCGAGTCCTACCTCCCGGGAGACTTCGCGGGTGGATTGTGAGCCTTATTCACTAATAGCGCCGTTTGGATCATCCACCAAATACCGCGAGTCAAGCCTCGCTAAACGGCTTCACGAAAGAAGAAGAAAAGAACCGCGTTGCTCTAGCCCAGCCAAACCCCACCTCTGCCCGGGGCTGCAGGGGGAAGGACCCGGAGCAGGTTTAGGAGCGGACTCCCGCCTGGCACCACACGCCGCTCGCTCTGCACTTGCCAAATAGCAGCCTTGCAGCGAGGCAGCCCGCCTGGGAGCGAGCGAGCGAGGGGACCTTTTCAGCTCCGGGACGCGCAGCTCACTTCCAGCCCCGCTGAACGCGGAGTCAAGCCAGGCCAAGCCAGCCCCGAGGCGGGAGATGGATGGCGAAGGGCGCCGAGGAAGCCAGGCTCCCCCTACCTGGACCTCCCGCCGCCGAAGCCGCCGTCCCGCCCGGCCTCGTCGTCGCTGCAGCTGCCGCTGCCCGCGGGCTCGAGACTCAGGCGCGCGTCCTCGCCGTCGAGCCGGGCATCAGGCGCCGCGGCCACGCGGATCTCCACGGGGCCAGCGCCCCCGGCCCGCCGCCCGCCCGCCTCCGCCATGCCGCGCCCGGAGCCTCCGCCCGCCAGCTGAGCCGGGAGGCGCCGCGTCCCCCGCCGCCTCTTCGCCGCCGGAGGAGCCGCCCTCCTGCCGCCGCCGCTGCCCGCCTCCTCCAGCCGCGCAAAGCCGGGCGCGTCCGAGGCAGCCGCGCGAGGTCGCTCCGCTGGCCTGGAGCCCAGGGCTCTCCCCGCTCCTCGGCTTTAATCCCCGCAACCACCCGGCGGGGCCGGGACTGGAGCCAGGTCCCCAAGGCAGCTTCAGGGCCAAGTGGAGAGGCGGCTCCTGGTCTCTCTCACGTCCCAGTCTAAGCCCTACACCACACCGGGCTGACCAGGGATGGAACAAGCAAGGGTGGCTCTAGGGGCAGGCAGATGGTCAGGTCCCCACAATTCAGCCCCCCTCCAAACCCCACCGGTCTCCTTTATAGTCAGCTGGTCTATCTGAAGCAAGTCTCAGGAACCTAGTCCAGGTGTTTGAGGGCATCAACCAGCATACAGACAGCTGTGATCTGGTTGACATAGTGTCCTTGGACTTTCAATAAGCTTTCACTGATGCGTAAGATTAGCAGTAACCATGGAATAAGAGGAAAGGTCCTCTTGCGGATCAGGAATTGGTTAAGAAGCTGGAAGCAGGAACAGTTTGTCAGATATTGGAATGGAGAGAGCTTTGGGGTGAGCAGTGAGGTGGCCAAGTCTTCAATACTAAAATGTTCAGGTTGAAACAAAAAGATATTGTGAAGAACTCCAAAATGATCTATCCAAATGGCAGTAAAATGGTGATGTGATTCAATCTAAACCAGTGTCAAGTGATAACATATCGGGGCAAAGCCCCTCAACTTCATATAAATGCTCAAGGGTTTGAACTGGCAGCCACTGACAGGAATGAGCCCTTAGGGTCATAGTGGACATCTGAAGATGTTGACCTAGCTGTGAGAAAGGCAAATTCCATGCTATCATAGGAAAGGAACGGAAAATGCAACTGCTGATGGAATGCTATTACACAAGTTGATTGTACAGTCGCATTTGGATATTGTAGAGCTGGTAAACGTGGTTCAGAAAAGGGCAGTGAAAATGATCAAGTGGGACATTTTTGTTCAGAGAAAAGACAAGAAAGAGGTGACATGATAGAAGTTTATAAAATTATGCCTGGCAGGAAGACCAGGGATGGAGAAAAGTTTTTCTGCCTCTCATAGCGCTACAACTTCGGTACCTACTTATCTACTCGCGATGGTATGCTTTTGAACTGCTAGGCTGGCAGGAGTTGGGACAAAGCCACAGGAGCTCACCTCATTGTGTGGATTTGAATTGCTGACCTTAGGATCATCAAGCTCAAGAGGCTTGATGGTTTTGATGACTTGGAAAGCTGTCTGCAGACGGATGCCGGAGATGAGCGCTGTACCCCATAGTCAAATTTGACTAAACTGTCCAGGGGTCCTTTACCTTTACCTACAACTTGTGGACTTTCAATTAAGTTGAATGTTGAAAGATTCAGGACTGATAAAAGATAGTACTTTTTCATATAGTGCATATTTAAACTATGGAACTCCCTCCCAGAAAAGGCAGTGATGGTCACCAACTTGGAAAGGCCTGGACCAATTCATGGAGGAGAGGTCTATCCATGGTTGGTAGCAGCGATGGCTGTGCTCTGCCTCCAAAACTGAAGGAAGCAATGCTTCTGAGTACTCCTTGCTGGAAACTACAGGAGGGGAAGCAGTTCTTGTGCTCAGGTCCTCCTTGTTATTTCCCACAGGCATCTGGTCAGCTACTGGGAGAAGAGGATGCTGGACTAGATAATAGAATAGTAGAGTTGGAAGGGACTCCAAAGCTCATCTAGTTCAACCTCTTGCAGTGCAGGAATCTCAACTAAATCCAGCAGATTCTTCCAATGTCCTTAAATAATGCAATGGCATCTTCTCCAGATGCTGCTGAAGCCCAGCTCTCCCATCCCTGAGTATTGGCCACGGAGGCCAGGGCCTGATAGGAATCCGGCAACATCTGGCAGGCCACATGTTCCCCAGCCCTCGCCATAGGGGTGGAGCAAGGCAGGTGCCTCATGCAACCCACACCTCCAGCTTCCATGTGAATGTTGCTAAAAGGGTAGTCAGGAGGTAGTGAGGTGTCACCTCACTCCCTTTGTGACTTAGCTGGTTGCACCTGACATTTGGCTGCAGGAGCAATGCCCCGACCTCTTCCACATGCGCTACATCAGGAAGATTCTGGGCATCACATGGCAGGACAGAACTACAAACAAAGATGTGCTTTTCCAGGCTCATGTTACCAGCATGCTTGCACTTCTGTCTCAGAGACATCTATGCTGGGTTGGTCATGACCGCAGAATGGAAGATGGCAGGATCCTCCAGGACCCGTTCTGGGAGGGGAGAAGGCTTCAGGCAAAGATGTCTGCCAACATGACAAGAGGGCAGGCAGCATTAACCCTGTCATGTGGGAATCCCTGGCAGCACCTGGAGACAGACATGTTGTGACCACAGGAGGAATGACCACTGAGAGGAGTGTAGAGAGAAGCAATTCCCTGGTGCATCTGCAGCGGCACAAGCGGATACCTTCATCTGCCCCAGCTGCAACAAAACATGTCTCTCCTGTATCGGTCTCCCCAGTCAAAGCTGGTGCTGTAACCTTCCAAGTGCACTCCTCCTTTATCTCCTGAGACAGATGGATGCCAACAACAACAATTTATTAGTTTAATGGCCTCTTTCTCTTGCAGCGGGCAACAAAACTGCTAGCATATTTTCCAAGCTAAGCAGGGTGCAGCATGCTTTTGAATTAGATGGGAGACTGGCACGCGTCAGTATTCCTGCATTGCAGGGGGTTGGACTAGATGACCCTCGGGATCTCCTCCAACTCTGCGAGTCTATGATTCTCGGGGCGCCTCGACAAAACCGAAAGAAAGCCCTGCGCTCCCACTGAGAGCGTCCCCGTGAAGGCCGATGTCTTTAAAGGCGGCGGGTAGCACTCCAGGACGGTGATGGACTCCAACTCCCATCAGCCTCAGCCAAGCGCTGCCGGTGCCGAGGGCTGATGGGAGTTGGAGTCCAGGAAAGTCGAGCGGCCCCGCCCCGGCAAGTTCGCTTCGAAGCCTCGAGAGAAAGGCGGGAGCGGGAGGGCGGGGCCTTGTCCGGAAGCGCCGCGGTTGCTATGGCGACTGCCGGGTGGCTTCCGGCCGAAGGGGGGCGGGAGGAGGCGTCCGTCGCCCGGAGGGGTTTGGGCGCCGCCGCCGCCGCGGGAGGAGGAGGAGGAGGAGGAGGAGGAGCCCGTTGCCATGGTGCCCAGCAAATGCCGGCCGGCCGTCGCCGGGGCCCGACCGGGACACGCCGTCTCGGTAAGCGGGGGGCGGGGGGGCGCCTCCCTCTCCAGAGCCCCTCTGAGGAGACACAAAGGGAGAGGCAGAGCCTCACGGGCCCTCCTGCGTTTGTGTATTTAACGCTTCTGAATCCATATATTTAATAGTCATCTACCTATATAACGTTTTCTCATCCTTATTTATATGGATGCAAAAACAAGTAAGGTGCTGGAAAAAGGCAGGATATAAATAGAATAATAATAATAATAATAATAATAATAATAATAATGCAAATGAATGTAATAGTAAATACACATACATCTATATTTATTGTTATTATGTGTGCACTAGTGGTCAAAATTGTGGAAACCTTTTGGGAAAAGTGTATTTCCGAGGTTTGATGGCATATAACACCACTTATTTTTGGAGTAACACCATAAAATTATATATCAATGGAAAGATAATTTAATGAAGAATGTAATGCAATAACTTTTATGAAGGATTATTTATTACAACAGCAGTCATAAAAAAGAAATGTGAAACACATAGAAAAAATGAGATATACAAAATTTTTCACCATGTCAGTTAATATTTAGTTTGGTAACCTTTAGCTTTAATTACGGCCTTACAATGCCTTCCCATGCAGTGAATCAAGTTTTTTAGTTCTGCAGCTGTAATAATGTTAAACCAAGATTGAATTATTGCCTGTATTAATTGGGTTTTATTGCTGGGTTGGATCTGACTAACAAGTTTCTTTAGTCGGCTCCATAGATTTTCAGTTGGGTTAAGGACTGGGCCATGTATTTCTGGGCATTTACATTCCCATTAATGATGCAAATTCTGCCCACACCTTTTGCTGTCCTACAACCCCAGATCATAATGTTAACTGAGTGTTTCACGGTAGATGTAATGCAAGTAGGATGTAAATCTTCTCCAATTCTTCTCCTCACATATTTCATGCCATCACTACCAAGCAAGGAGATTTGGGTCTTATCATTCCAAATAACACTGTCCCATTGTTCCGCTGTCCAGTTAACATGCCCAGTTTCCTCTTTTGAACCTTTGTTTGAGAGATAACGATGACCTTTTCCTTGGAATTCTAGCATTTAGACAATATTCCTGCAGTCTGTGTTGAACAGTCCTTGCACTCAACTTCACATTACCTTGCACCATGTCATCTTGTATACCCCCAGATGATTTTCTTCTGTCACATAGGCACAGTCTCTCATTTCTTCTAACATCACTTGCTGCTGTGCACCTTTTCCTGCCTTCCTGATTTTGTAGTGGCTGAGTCTCCTGATACCTCTTCATAAATTTAGAAATGCCACCTTTGGTTAAGTTTCCACCAATTTTTCTTCTAATTTCTTCATAACTGTAGCCTTGTTCACTTAATAGTACTATTTCACATGGCTTTCTGGGTGACCAGTCAACTCTTTGTGCCATTTCTTTAATTTTATTACGTTTTACAAGCTCACTAAATGGAAGAACACAAAAGAATCAACCAACTGAAAATGTCCTCCTCTCATCTCCAGTACATAGCATCAGTAGCTGAATCCTACTCTGACATTGATTGAATCATTGCCAAAACAAGATGACACCTGATTGGCTCTCTAAACCCTCCTGCTCATTGGCTACATTCAAATGAAGGAAAGCTACTGCATATCAACCTAAGCAAGTTGTGCTTCCTTTTTTCTGGTTACTTGGCTATAACTTTTGATAGAATACAGAAAATTGAACAAACTTTGTTGCATTACATTCTTCATTAAATTATCTTTCCATTGATTATATAATTTTATGGTATTACTCCAAAAATATGTGGTGTTATGAGCCATTAAACCTTGGAAATACACTTTTCCCAAAAGATTTCCACAATTTTGACCACTAGTGTATGTTATCACCTTCATCTGTAATTATTATTATTATTATTATTATTACTGTATTATTATTATTAGTATATCCCACCTTTTTTCCTAATAGGGACTCAAGCCAGCTTACAACTAAAATAGAAACGTATTTTTAAAAAATCATTAAAAACAATTAAACAGTAAAATTCATATAGTGACCACATACAGATCATTATTTATGTTCCAATTTTTATTTCCATTGCTTTTAAATTCATACATATCTATATGAGGTTTTAATCTTTCTTTAGCATACATTGGAATGTTTGTTATATGACATGTGGTCAAAAACTGGTCACTGGATGTGGTGGCAGATTCATTAGCGATCTTCCATCTCTTATTTCAGATTATTAGATTATACAGTGTATCTGATTTTCTAGCATTCTTCACCTTCTGTTATTTAAATTATATATTCCTGAAAGTTATTAATACCTCTTCAATTTCCAGGCCAACAATTATGGGCTTCAGCTGGTTCTCCAGAGTACATCAGCAGCAGAAAGAACCAAGCCTGTGAGACCTGATTTTTTATTATTGAAATACAGCTGTACACAGTTGTCCAGTGTATTTGATGTTTTGTGTCATCAAATGATAGAGTACAATGCTTTCAATGAAATTTCCCATATGATTTGTAACTGTGCATATGATCTAATGTAGCCTTTGTCAATCTAGTGTCCTCCAGATGTTTTGGACTACAACAATCATTAGCCCCAGCAAGTTTGGCAGTAGTGATTGGAGCTGATGAGTATTGTAGCCCAAAACATCTGGAGGGCTCCAGGTTGACAATGGCTGATCAAATGTTTGATGTTTTATTGTGTTTTATATATTTTGTTGTCACCCTGTGAGTTACCCTGAGTGGCTGGGGCAGTCCAGTCAGATGGGCAGCATATAAATATAATAATAGTAATAGTAATAATAATAGTGATCCAGGACATGAAAACACACGTATCTATATACGCTACATCACTGGTGAGAATAGCCAGCAGCACTTCACCTGGCTACTGATTTTTATTGCCTTGGTAGGTGATCCAGGCAGGGCACATTGCTGCCAACTCCTTTTTCAATTTCTTTACTGGCACCACTTGGTTGTCTTTTAAATGTATACTGTATCTATGAGTACACAGCCTCATATTAACCGTGTGCTCCAGTAAATCACTCCTTTCTTTCAGTTACCTATCTGGGAACAGCTTAATAGATATTATTAAGATATCCTGTCTGCATGTCTTTAAAAAGAAGCATTCAAACGCAATGCACTAATGGTCTATCTGAGCAGCATGAGGCATAGCATTAAAGCAGCTGTTTAATATACAGTGGGCCTACAACTTATGTGGGGGTTCGATTCTAGGGGTCTGTGCTGAATTGCAAAATTGCTCAAATTCAGGAAACCCAGGAACTGCCCCCCAGAACTGGCAGCATCCCAGAACCCTTGCGTCTCCTTCCCAAAGCCCAGTAGGTGAGGTGCCACCTTGCTTCCCAGCCTCTGGGAAGGAGGTGCAAGGGTTCTGGGAGCTTCCCAGGGCCCTGCCATGATCTCCCCAAAGCATGGTAAGCAAGGGAAATCCTCTGGGTGTACATGTGTGTCTGTGGAAATAAATAAACAAAGAGACTCTGCTCTCTGTTGTTTATTTATTCCCTCCAGATAATGTTGCGATTGCGCATGTAAAGTAAAGCAAATTGCAGATTTACTGTACATCTCCTTCTCTGTCCCAAACTGTAAGGGAATCCCACATGCACAGTGAGGCATTGACTGCCCCCTGTTGTGAATATTATGAAATGTGATACTGACATAGAAGTGTACATTGGTATTCTACATCATACACATGGTTGGTTATATGTGTGGTGAGGGGAAGGGGTACAACTTAATGGAACTATGGATAGGACAGTAGGAAGCTGAAACAGATTGGTCCACTTATATTGTCTTTGTGTGTATTGTCTACATCAGGCACGTCCAACAGGTAGATCGTGATCTACCGGTAGATCACTGGACGTCTGTGGTAGATCACTGGTAGATCAGTGGCTCCCCCCAAAGAAGCTCAACAAGTTTGGTTCCCCTGAAAAAAGCTCAGCATTCTTGACCTGAACCCCTTAAAAACTGGGCTTTCCTCCTCCCTAAGAAAAGTTCAACAACTTTGACCTGAACCCCCCAAAAGGGGGTAGATCACTGCCAGTTTTTAACTCTATGAGTAGATTGCAGTCTCTTGGGAGTTGGCCACCCCTGGTCTACATAGACCACCACCAGCGGCTCTCCAGGATCTCATTCAGGGGACTTTTCCACCCCTCCCTGGGTTGAACCTGGGGCATTTGGCTGAAAAGCTCTACCACTGAGTGATGGCCCTTCCACATATGGAAGTAGTTCTCTGTATCCAGTTTCCTGTGCCTGGACTGAACTTCCCAACCACACCAACATATCATTGGGCTGTTATATGAAATTTCCAGTCTACATCTGAAACCAAGGTCACAGTGCAATCCTATCTATACCTGTATGTTCAGAAGTAAGTCCTACTGAGTTAAGTGGAACTTATTTCCAGAAAAATGTGTGTATGATTGCAGCCTTATTACAGTCCCAATACATGCAGATCCACGTTTTTCTTACTTTCTCATTTGTTTGCATTGACGTATAATGGTTTGTTGTAATAATTTCTGTTGCAGCTTGAGTTCAGATTACACAAAGAGCAGCCGTATCTTCATAACAGATTCTTGCAGCATGATCTTGAAAAGAACTATCCAGGAAAACAAGGTAACATTGTGAGACTGACTCCTCTTTCTTAAAGTTTGCATGCCAACCATGAAAAGAATAAATGTTTTTACAGCTGTAACATATTTTCATTATTTGTAATTTAATTTCTCACTGTTTCTTGAAATAGGTAGCAAAGCTGTCTGCAGGCAAACCATAGATTTTTTTCTAGTTTAGGACCACTTTGAGATCCACACGGCAGATACAGTTACTGTGAATTTACTGCTGTTGCATTGATGTTGTCTGCAGCAAACACATAAAAGGGTGGCTGACACACCCAGTGGGGATGTGTTGGGAGCCCCAGTCCAAACAGGTTCTTAAAACTTTTGCAGGGGCTTCCAAAGTCACAGGTCATCCACATTTGACATGCATGTTCTAGGAAATACTGGTGTTTTATTATTTTGGTGTTGTGTTAAGCGTTTGTATTTGTATATACGTTTTACATATGTATGCCGCTTTGAGTCACTGGATGTAGTAAGCAGTGAATAACTGTAATAATAATAATGATCTGCTTGATGAGGGGGATAGGAGATGATCATTCTAGCTCTGCCCCTGACTGCAGTCTCTGTTTCTTTCCACGAGTTGGAGGGGTAACTTCCATACTGTGGAGCCTTTTCTACTCATGTAGGCTCTCTCCTATGCATGTAGAAGTTGAGTCTATAACACATGGAGGGAGACTGTGGTCATGGCAAGTATGATAGTTTGTGAAATTCTCATGTATAGCTGATAAATTATAGCATACCTGCTGATTTCAAAGGGACTTCATCCCAAGGAGTGGGATGTGCCAAGGAGTGCAAAGGACTGCAACTGTAGTTCTGTATTTTGATGAGCAGCACTGTCATAACCCTTATATATATATTTTCCCCCCAGCCGATGGAAGATTAAGTCCTTTATCACGCAGTAAAAAGTTGTATGTCCCTGTAGCACCAAATTTTGCAGATATTCCCGGCATGGAGGTGAAATATGGTGCAGGCTCTCTGGCAACATTTGGAGATTCCTCCTTTCCCAACCCTTCAAAATACAGACTTCAACAGGGCTGTCATAATGCTAGTCCAAATATTTCAGGTAAGTGATGAGCACTGATGTGGTGGATAAAGCAGGCCTCCAAACATTTGGCATCTGTTGAAAGACAGGTAAAGGAGGACATGATAGAGGTGAGCATGATGTGGCTGATATGGAGAAACAGAAATGTTTCTATGTTTCATAGAACTAAAACCCAGTAGAACTAGAACCCAGTATGGGGCATCCAGTGAAAGTGAATGGTGGTAAATTTAGGCTGGACAGAAGGAATTTTGCTATTGCAAGACGTTGTGAGGGTGACCAATTTGGATGCCATTAAAAGGGGATTAGACAAATACATGGATGGTAAGGCTGTCATTGGTAACTAGCCACGATACCTGTGTACTACCTTCATTATCTGAGGCAGTAACTAATAAGTACAATTATTAGTTGTATCCCACTACCTTTGGATCTTCTGATAAATTGAATGAATGAATAAACAAACAAACAAACAAATAATAATACAATTATTATTGCTAGGTTTCATGCTAGGTATGAAGCTGGGTTGAACGTTGGGCATCTGTGTAAAGATCTCAGCCCTGTTCTGTGCCTCTGCTCCTCTTCACATAACGGGCACTGCATCTTCCTTTCCACCTTTCTCATATCTTCCAATGCTTGTTTATTCCAGTTCATATAATATTTATATTCATCAGTATTATATTTAATTATTATAGTTAAGTAATATATTCAAGTCTTCCATGGATCTCTCCACCCCAGTCATGCTTTATCCTTAGAACAATCCCATGATGCAGGTTAGACTGATAAATTGTGATTGGTCAGTAAGATTCATGACCAAGCAGGGATTTGAACCTGCAGCTCCCCAGTCTGGCACTCTTAATCCAGCCTTCCCTAACTTGTAGTCTGAAACATTAAGAAGGCACAAACTCCCATTAGCCCAGGCATAGGCAAACTTGGCCCTCCAGATGTGTTGGGACTACAGCTCCCACTGTCCCTAGCCAACAGGACCAGTGGTCAGGGATGGTGGGAATTGTAATCTCAAAACATCTGGATGGTTGAGTTTGCCTATGCTTGCATTAGCCCCAGCCAGTGTCACCAGTGACCAGGGATAATGGAAACTATAGTGCAAAACATCCTAAGGTTGGGGAAGGCTATGGAGTTATACCATGCTGGATCACATTATTATTATTTTTATCATCATCATCATCATCAATGTTTTTATTTAATGTTATGCTGGAAACACAACCCCACATATCATAAATGTAACATACATACCCTCACAGTTATTAATTTCATGGTTGCTTTGGCCAGTGCCTATAAGCCTTCAAATGCCTGGGGAGTGAGACAGACAGATGCGCCTCACCAGGGAGGGTATTCCACAGATGGAACCACCACCAAGAAGGCCCTGTCATGGGTCCATGTGAGCTGGGCAGCAGTTAGAGGCAGAACTACCAAGAGGGCCTACTTGCTGATTGTAGCTATACACTTAGATGCATAGTTTGCCCTGCCCAACAAGAGGAATAATATTTCCACAATAACCCTGACTTCTCTTTCCTGTATAGTCATGGCTAATTTGGACCTTATAAGCATAGATATGAAATTAGAATATACATACTTGCCTTCCATGTGCCATATTGCCATGTCACTTACAAGCATTTCCCAACAAAACTGCTTCCGACTGGCGCATAAGGAGCACATCCCCTTCCTTAACTCTGGCATTGCAACCTTGGCATCAAGTCTCTCATGTTTGTTGCTAGAGCTAGTTAGGCACGTGCATCATTGGACAGTAAAATGGTAATATGTGTGTTTTTTAAAAGTTAAATTCCTTTAAATGTTCATTTTTCTATTAGATAATATCATTTATGGGAACACTGCTTTTCCCCTAGTGCACCGAACTGCAGAAGAGAAAATGCAGCATTCTGACAGGCTGACCCTTGAAAGGTAAAAATAGAATTGGTGGGTGATGCTTTTCACAGTAATGTACATGTTTACATAGAAGGTGTTATGATATCATATCACACATACTCATAGGATTGCAGCCTTAGGCCACAGTCATAATCCCATTTACCTGGGAGTAAGCCCCATTTGAATTCAGTGGTACTTATTTCTGACTAGAATAGAATTGCACTGTTAGTCTGTCTGGGAAAATCATGAGCAGTGGCTAGTATTAAGAACTTCAATGGTTTTATTCCTATGTACATAAAAAGGTAAGGCTGCACAACCCCCATAGGAGGATTTGTAGTGCCATATCACAATCCTGGATTTCCATGAAGTCGGGGTGGTGGAGGGAAACAAAAGAGAAGGAAGGTTGCACAACAGCAGTGGACACGGCATGGGAGTGAGAAGGGAGAAACATCGAGGGGTGGGGAAAAGTGGTGGTTAAAATAACCCCAAAAGGTTGAATAAAGCAGGGATGGAGAAAGCTGATAGAAAAATCATGGATTTAAACAACAGCGGAAGTTTGAATAAAGTACTATGGAATATTTGAGGGCAAAATGTTCCCTCAGAACGGGAGTTTACCTGTTTGGGAAATCAGGTCCTTTGCATTGCCACTTCCCCCTGGTTTTCTGGTTTTTTCTTTTAATGGGTACTCATGGCTACAGTGCATGCTCTGTCCTCATTGCAATCTTTTTGAATTCCTGATATTTTTGTGGTTTTGAAAACCTTGGACTTCCCCTGAGTATGCTGATACCTCTACCTTTTTTCTCACTGCTTCAGTCATGCCAACACTTTGCTTGAGTTTGCTTTTAGAAGTGATTCCCTGTGTTTGTTGTCACCTGTACTAAACATTTCTTAAAACTTTCCCCCTCCTAGACAAAAGCTGACTGTTTGCCCAATTATTGATGGAGAAGAGCACCTTCGTCTACTGAGCTTCCAGCATAACTGCATAACACGGATCCAGAATATCTCTAATTTGCAGCATCTTGTTTTCTTAGATCTGTATGATAATCAGATAGAGGAAATCAGCGGCCTTACTACACTAAGGTCCCTCCGTGTCCTTTTGTTAGGAAATAACAGGTAAAAAAGGGAGGGGACCTTGACATACTTAAAAAAACACTTTTCTAGTGTTCTCTGTGAAACTTGCATAGGGTGTGTTCACTGTAATGTCAAATAAGTCCCCCTACGGTTGGCAGAGACGGAATGCAGCATAATCTACTTCTTATTGTTTGGTAATCACGACTTACCTAGCTGTCTGCTTGCAAAGTCAAAGCCAGCCCTGACTAATTTGGACATGTGACAATACAGAGGTGACTGTGGTATCAAACTAAGGTACAGAATTTGTGGATATGAGAAAAAGAATAGCAGTTTTGCCAATTTGTTCCCCAAGCAAGAACACAACCTGGGGTGAATGCAGACTGTAGATTTTGAAATCTCCATAGGTGTACCTTGAAACGAACCCTCAAAAGTCACTACCTCAGCTGCCAAAATATTATGGTATGTTTATTAACCTTTCAACTTCTCAGAAGCATACAAAGCCCAGGGCAAGTGGGAACATGGGCTGCCAGTGGGAAGGAGTGTAGAAGCAAATGGAGTAGACTGAATTGGTCGGCTATTAGACAGAGACCGTTAATGTTGGGCCAAATTATGTAATTATACACACACAGGCATGCTTTGCCCAAATTCAGTGCATGACCTGTGCTATCAAAAGTCTTGGCTACTTCTACAGTACAGTGAAGTGTAAACTGACAACATGGGTGAAACTGAACCTATAAATTATCGTATTTTTCGCTCTATAGGGTGCACCTGACACCTGACCATAGGTGCACCTAGTTTTCAGAGGGGAAAATCAAGGGAAAAAATATGATTCTTCCCCCCCCCCCAGCTCTGGGAGCAGCGGACAGGCTGCACGCAGCCTGTGCCCTTCTCCCAGACCTCCTCCCTGCTATTGCGGGAGGTGGGGGAATTCCCCTATCTCCCGCAAAAGCCCAGAGGAGGGAGAAGGGACTGACTTGGCCAGTCAGTCCCTTCTTCCTCCTTGGGGAAAAGCCCCCAAGAGCGGCGCACTCTTTAAAGGCTGCGCAGCTCCTGCGGGCTTTTCTACGAGGTGGGGGAATTCCCCTGCTTTCCCCCACCGCCAGCCTCAAAGACCAGGCTCTCCTGGCTTCAGCAAAAGCAACGCGAAGCCTCCGGAGCGCAGGCTTCAGAGGCTTCGCGCTGCTATCGCTGAAGCCAAGGAGCCTGCATTTGCTCCATAGGACGCAAACACACTTCCCCTTAATTTTTGGAGTGGAAAAAGAGTGTCCTATAGAGCGAAAAATACGGTAAGTCTCTTTGCAGACCCCATAAACACAGCAACCTCCCTAATCAGAGAACTCATTACATTTCCAATGGTGTTGGGCCAACAGGTGAATTTTGCAAAGTTGGAAGCTATGTGCTTCAGCACCGCTCCTCACATCCAAAAAGAACTCGCTAACGCAGGCATAGTCAAACTTGGCCTTCCAGATGTTTTGGGACTACAACTCCCATCATCCCTAGCTAACAGGACTCGTGGTCAGGGATGATGGGAGCTGTAGTCCCAAAACTTCTGGAGGGCCGAGTTTGCCTATGCCTGCGCTAACGTCACCAAGGTAAAACTTTGCCACACCAAGTTCAGATACCTAGGGGTACAAATAACCAGAAACCTCAATAAATTATAGCTCCACAACTACAACCTCTTGTGGTGACAAATTAACAAAGACCTAAAGAGATGGAACAACATGAACTTCACTCTCTCAGACAAAATAGCCATAATCAAAACGATCACCCTCCCAAAACTAACCTACCTATTCCAAACCCTCCCAACCTGAATTCCCCCAGCCCAACTCCATAAATGGCCCCAAATACCTGCACCTCCCCTCCTCAGAAGGACGATGGGAAATCCCCAACATCGAAGCATATTATATTGCCAACCAAGTATGTCACATAATCCCATATATACTAGAAGATGAGACAAAACAATGAATACACCTGGAGAGGGACACAACTGAAAATACCTGCACCACAGCATACCCATTCCTCCCAAACGGAGGAAAATTCCCACAACACTAAACAGGTGTACACAGACCATGCTTAAAGCATGGAAAGGTAAACTGTCCCCAGCCCCAGCCCCACTAATTCCCCTGGCGTACCACCCATTATTCCATCACACAGCACAAAACCTCCAGATAAAAACCTGGCAAACCAAAGGCTTATATCACCTAACAGACTTCTATCAAAATAACAAACCCTTATCAACACAAGAAATACAAGACAAACTAGAAGACACCCAAATGCCCTGGCTGACACGCCACCAATTACATGCCCTTGTAAACAATCCAGTAGTAAAATCAGCAGCAACTAGGCCCCTGACAACCTTCGAAAACCTCCTCCTAACGACAAAGGGAAACGGCAAAGGGATGGTATCCGCAATATACAAAATACTACTAGAAAATCCCACAAACCCCCTAGACGTAATCAAAAAACAATGGGAAGACGACATAGGCTATGAGATTAACCCCAGTCAGTGGACCAGAATTTGGTCTAAACCTTTCTTTAAATCCATATCAACGAAAAGGAAAGAACTCACTCTGAAACTCACAGGTGGTACCTAACACTGAGGAAATTAGCACTAATACACCCAGGAACCTCATCAAAATGCTGGAGAGAGTGCACCTCCACAGGCACATACCTCCACATGTGGTGGGAATGCCCCCAAATCCAACTATTCTGGACAACAGCCATATGAGTAATATGCAAAATAACTAAGCAAGTATTAGAAATCACCCCAGAACTGGCCCTACTAAACATCTTCCAAGACAGTAATTCCCACTCACATCACAAAGAACTCATCACCCACCTACTCTCAGCAGCCAGAAACATCATAACCAGACACTGGAGGAACCTGTCAGGAGTAAGCATGGACCAATGGTACCAAATAATATGGGAAACAGCCTTACGAGAAAAATTAACCAATCAACTCAAACTGACCCGGGGACAAATAAAAGAAGACGCCTCACCCCGGTGTGGCTCCCTTTTATCACATATACAGCCCAACAAGACAATGACAAGAATCCACCAATAGCATATGAATCAATATGGCTAACCTGATCCAAAAACACCCAGCCACCCCACTCACACATGGAAACAACGACCACCACAGCCAACCACAAACAACCACACCCTAGGCCAACCCCAACCTCTCACCACCAAAGGAACACAAGTGAATAGTAAAGAGGACCAGCACAAGCGACGCTGACACAAAACCCCACATACATTAAGTAAAATAGAAGCATCACCACCTGACCCCACCCCACTTACCGTTCTACCCACCTCTTTCCCCCTTTTCTTCCTAATGTAACACTAATGTCTCAACAAATGAAACTGATCTGTAGAAAATGTAACTTGGAAAAAGAGATATTGGACATACTTTTGTAAACCAATAAATCTTTAATAAAAAAATACATTTTTTTAAAAAATGGTGAAATCGACAGCATGCATATTTCAAGACCCTAATAAGCTCTGCAAATTTTTTTTCCAGTTGATGGCAGAAATGTACATATTGGCTTTGAATAATAAAAAATAATAAGCGTAAGATTATTACTATTAATATCCCTCTGGGTGGCATATAGAATATAGTGGTACTTCGGTTTACAAACGTAATCCGTTCTGGAAGTCTGTTCTTAAACCAAAGCCGTTCTTAAAGTGAGGCGCGCTTTACCTAATGAGGCCTCCCGCTGCTGGTGCCCTTCTACCATTCGGCTTCTGTTCGTAGACCGAGATAAAGTTTGCTAACCGGAACACTACTTCCGATTTTGCAGAATTTGTATACCGAATAGTTCGTAAACAGAGCTGTTCTTAAACCGAGGTACCACTGTATATAAAAACATCATAAAACATTGAACAAGTAGAAAAACAGAGTATCTTATACCAGCTTGCACTCTGCTAGAGAGCAAGCCAAACTATACATGATAAAGACTCCGTACTATCTGAGAATATCGGGGCTGGGATAGCCTAGGAGCAGGAGCTAACCTCAGAAAGAGTCCCAACTTTGCCCTGCCAGGTTTTCCCTGTCTTGTGTGAGGGGAGCCTGAGGAAATCGTCCTCCTTCTGTGAGGCTCCCTCCCCCAGCACTGCAGAATGGCACACCACCTCCCTAGGAGTGAGCAGCTCCTGCAAATCCCAACATTTTCCTCTGAGACTCTTTCCAAGCTTTACTCACCACTCCTGCTGGTCTCAACCGGGAACCGGGTGAGAGTGGAGGAGAAATGCAAGATCCTCTTCCACACACTCAAGATGCCTCAAACTCGGAGGGGAGGTTGTTCAGTTGCGGCTATTAATGCAAGTCTGAATATGGGACAAACCACAAGTAACTATGAATTAAGTGGGGCTTTCTTTATTTACTTCTAACCACCCTTGGATTGGAGGAGGGTGAGTTCCTGGTGCCAGTCAGGAACAGATTGCTAGGAGATTCATAATTTCACTCTCCTTTATTGGAATGCTTAATACTGCAAGAAGTCTCAGAAGCTGCTGTTTTCCCAAGTTTGCTGTTGCATCTTGTCCTGTATCCACCTTCTTGCTAAGCACTCCACTTCCAGAATCCATACAATTTCAAGCTGGTGTATGGAGGTCTTCCCTTTTTTTCTGCCTCTGTTCAGCATGTTGGCTTTACCATTTACGTTAGCAGCAGGGGTAGATCTGTGGTTGAATCCCACTGTCCTTGCCTTCACATTGGGGACCTGTGTATGCTGGAGGTTCTGGGATGCACTGGCATTCTGCTTGGGATTAGATCCTCAGGTGGTTGGTTATGCTGGACAGAAGCCCATAGTAGATTAAAGCCTGGGCAGGGGTCAAATGGGAATAAATTTCCCCTCCTTGAAATAAAAATACTTCTTGAATTTCTTGAATGTTTCAGAATAAGGAGAATATCAAACCTGGATAACCTTGTAAGCCTTGATGTCTTGGACCTTCATGGAAATCAGGTATAATGTGATAAATGCTTTTTCAGTTTGTACCATGGGGTACCTGTTGCTGTCTTTTTAGGTGTAGTGCTGCTTTGCATCTCCCCTTTGTTTTCATGAGACTTGCTAAATTGAAGGAACTTAACTTTGCATAGTTTTTCAGAATCTTACATTGAGTTAATTATGCCATCAGCCTGTGGAGTCTAGTGTATCATTCATTTCGTTAGGGCTGTCAGATGACTAGATAACCATCTGCTCCTTCACTATATTGAAGAGTTAAAGTGTTTGGGGGCTTTTTATTTCGAAAAAGACATCCAGTGGGTTGGGGGAGCACACCTAATGTTTACAAAATCAGATGCCATCTTATTAGGACGTCCATCCGACCTTGTAGAATCTGGGCCTTTAGTGTGGTGGGACATTCTCCCCGAAGTATCCTTCCATTACTCTTCAGGTGCCATCTCTCTTTTCTGTGCCTATCAAAGACCCTCCCTTTTCAACAAGCCTTGTAAGGGGAAAATCTATCTAATCTGCGACTGTATTGGATTTGAAACTGTTCTGACATATAAAATTGGTTTGACATAGGGAATTTTTGTAATTACCTTTATTGATATTTTCACTATGGAATCACTTCAAGTTATTTTTTGAGAAACGATTATTTAGTGGAATCAAATAAATGAAATAACTGATCTCTCCTGTAGGTGACATATTAATAATGTTATCATGTTGATTCATTATATTTGTACAGTTCTGTGCTTTTTAGCCAAGATTGTTGTGATCCACTAAATGAATCAGTTAAATCAGTCATTTTGGTTATTTGGTCTACAGACATTGAACATCAAACATATGTTATCAAGACAACCACAGAAGAGAGAAAATGCATATATGTGCACACAAATTGTGCCTTTTAAAATAATAAAATGTGTGAACAGTCAGAAATAGTTTAAAATACATAAAATTTTGATTGACCACTTTTTCCATTTAGTAACTAACCTGGTTTTGATGGCTATGGTGAGGAACATGGCTATATTTTCTGTGACCTTATGATTAGAGTCTGCCATTAAAATTGCAACAGAACCCACCTGACTACCAAAAAGTGTTAGTCAGTTCATGTACAGGGCTGGCATCAAGGATCAGCAGAGTTGAGCACCTGCTAAGGGCCCATAGGAGGCTGATGGAGAAGAGTTCCCTCCTGGACCTGTTGCAACAAGCAGGCTCACTTGCTGAGGGACAGGGTGAAGGCGAAGCATGGAAGGTGTCTTGCTCAAGAGCCCTCCCCAGGAAGTATTGGGAGCAGCAGTGAACCCTGGGCCTGGCAGAAATGGCAGCCCACCAAAACATGCAAAACTGCCCATCAATTTATTCAAAACAATAGGGAACGATTAGATTTCTCTTGTGTCATCATACAACAAGGCCAGCCAAAGAAATTGATTTCTAGTAGGATCAGGGTAGAGAGAAGAAGATCCCTCTTCACACAATACATAATTAATTTATGGAATTTGCTGTCTTAAACTGTATTGATGGTCACTGGCTTAGATAGCTTCAAAACGGATTAACATTCATGGTGCTTTTTACTAAAAGGAATTCATGTGTACAGAGGGGAGTATCCTGAGTATTAGTTGTTGGGGAAGGATGAGTGAGAAGGATAAGCTGAGAAAATCATGCTTAATCTTGTGTGTGCTCAAACCGTACTGTAATATTTGAGCTCTGTTTCATCTAATGCTTTGTTTCTACTTTAGTTAACATAATTTTATAAAACCATATATGTGTGTGTGTCTGTGTGTGTAGATCTATAGATAGTTTGTGTGTGTTTTAAAAAGGAAAGAAGGAAAGCTGTGATAGGAAGGAATTCCATTAACACTGACAGAAGAAGTTCATAAATAACATCTCTATGAATTCTTCATGAATCCCAGATTTCTGCTGTTCTGATAAATGCTTCTGCTCTTTTGAAAGGAGGCACTGCAGGGACTCCTAGCAAGAGTTCCAGTCTTCATTCTTAGCCACTTGTTCCTGTTCTCCATTTCTGTGTGATGTCAGCTGTACTGCTTGCTAACCCTATTATTTCAGTTATTTGCTTCTTAAGTAGTTGGTGCTCTACAATTAACTTATCCTTTGCATGGTTGCTTGGAAGTAAGTCCTACAGTGCTTAGTGGAGCTTACTCCCATGTAAGTGTGCATAGGGGTGTGAACATAAACATTTCACTTTTTTACCTCCGTAAGATCCGGAGGCACAGTTCAGGCTTAGAAGAGAAGCTGCTTGTTTAATGGTGTCATTCTTAGAGGGGGGAAAGAAGAGTTGGGATCAACTGATACAATCCTCATTCTTCCTCATCTTCTCTTTTACAGATTGCTATCATAGAAAATCTCCACCATTTAAGTGACCTCAGAGTGCTGAATCTTGCCCGGAATTGCTTAACATACATTGAAAACCTGAACGGACTAGATTCACTGACGGAACTTAATCTTAGATATAATCAGATCAGAATTGTGGTAAGTGAACTGAATCCATTTGCTCTAGAAAAAAATGCTATAATTTGAATGAACTATATTGCTTTTGGAATTTTAAAACAAATTTGATTAAAAAAAAATCAGTTTGTTTTGGTGGATTTTTTTTGGGGTATCAATGTATATTGTCATGTATAGTCTTCAGTTGAAGAGAGAGCCTTTGAATACATATTTTGCAGGAGATCTATAAAGTGATATACCTAAGGGATGTTTGAATTGCTGCAAGCCTTGGAATCTTAAGGTCATGGAAAGTCAGGGCAGACAGAAGGTGTCTGACGGCCATTGTCTGAGCTGTATTGTTCTTGAGTAAGAAGAGGGAAAGCTGAAGGTTCTAGGCAAGGAAGAGAAGCAGAGGTTAGATATCCATACACCAAGGAAAGGAAGAGGTTTTGGGAAAGGAGGATTGCAGAAGAGCATGGCTCAGAGAAAAGGGGTGGTGGTCTGAGTTGGACAGCAGGGAAAGGCGAGAGAGAGAGACCCCCCCAATAGTTAAAAAATTGTTTAATTAGCCAAAGACCTGGGAGAAGGGGAGTGTTTTCGCCTGGCGCCTAAAGATATGTAGCAAAGGCTCCAGGCAAGCCTCCCTGGGGAGAGCATTCCACAAGTGGGGAGCCACCACAGAAAAGGCCTGTTCTTGTGTTGCCACCCTCTGTACCTCTCACGGAGGAGGCCCATGAAGAAGGGTCTCAGATGATGATTGCAGGGTCTGGATTGGTTCATATGGAGAGATGTGGTCCATGAAGTCCATTAGAGTAGAAAATCAGCACATCAGAGAGGGACAAAATTGTCCAGGCCATTCATTGTTGTGATAGTTTTCTCCTTGCTGGCAGTGTTTGTTTTTCCTCTACACTACAGTGTTCTAAGCTGGTCCTGAGGATCTTATAACATTAAGAATTTGGTATTAGAGTTTGCCCGTTTTCTTCTTCCCCTCTTTGACCCTTTTCCCTTTAATATCACAGCTTTTTAGATTATAAGCCTGAGGGCAAGAACTTTTTTTATTTGTAAGACACTCTGGGAGTTTATCCAGCTAGAGAGTTGGGGGTATAAATAGATTGAAATTGCTGCATTGTCTGTTAGAATCTACCTTTTGCTACATTAGCCATCTAGACTGTGCACGCAGGACAATTGTTTAAGAAGCAACTAATCCTTGTTATCTTGAGCATAGACCTTGTGGTGGTGAGAATGAAACATCTGCATGACAAAATGAGTCTTGCTTTTCACATTGTGTAGGGAAGGGGTTTTTGTGTCTTCCAGAAAATCAGCAATCTTGCCTATCATGATGTGGGTGAGAAACACCATGGACTGGTCCATATCATGACCCACATATTTGTCCCGCTCCTGAAAGCCAAGGAGACCCCTTGGTTATTGTTTTTGTATGTTACTATGTTATACATTTTTGTGTTTTTATATTGTAAACTGCCCTGTGATCCTTGGATGAAGGGTGGTATAGAAATTTAATAAATCATCGTTATCATTATCAACATTATCTTGGTGTATTTGTATCCACTCATTGCAAGTTGGAGAGTTGCCTCACCCACTGAACTAATCAGTTTGGTGGTGGCAATGGCAAAAATTAACGTCTCTGACTCATGGAAGAATTGGATGGATTGTTAAAGTGATATTGTTGTTGTTGTTGTTGTTGTTAATAGTAATAATAATACAGTGGTACCTTGGGTTAAGTACTTAATTCATTCTGGAGGTCTGTTCTTAACCTGAAACTGTTCTTGACCTGAAGCACCACTTTAGCTAATGGGGCCTCCTGCTGCCGTTGCGCCGCTGGAGCACGATTTCTGTTCTCATCCTGAAGCAAAGTTCTTAACCCGAGGTAATATTTCCGGGTTAGCAGAGTCTGTAACCTGAAGCGTATGTAACCTGAAGTGTATGTAACCCGAGGTACCACTGTAATAATAATAATATATACCTTCCCTGTGTTCCCACAAAGGCTGTGCATTACAAACTGATAACCATTTTGTGAGATCTGGAGTGCATTTCTGTGTTGTCTGTGGTGGGACTCCAACTCGTTAAGCTACTTGAGGAAGCAGGGAAATGTCTGCAGAGCACATTTCAGTATTGCTTGCTGCTGGTTGGACAGCTGCATGCATGAGTTAGCACTTTGATGCTTTAGACAACAGCATGACTACAAAATTGGATTTTATTTTGCTTGCCGTTTCATAGCGGTCTGCTTTCCCCTGCAGCTGAAACCCTGAGTCAGCACCTCAGTTCCTTTTTTGAGAAGCCTGCTCAAAAAGAGGCCAGCATCTACTGCCGCTGCGTCTCCCCTCTCTTTTGCTCAACACTTTCTGTTGCAAGCAGTCCAGCTTATTTTCCAAGAGGATCTATGCACCACAGAGGGATGGAGCCGCGTGTTCGACATCAGTTGGCACTGCAGCAAGGTTACAGTAAATTGCAGTAGGCATGTTTCATCCTCCAGAGAAGCAAGAGCGTTTAGAGCATGCTGTCCTTCAGCTGCTGAATTTGGTGTTTTCTCTCTCTCTCTCTCGTTCTAGAAAGATGTGGATACTTTGCCCTGCCTCCAACGTCTCTTCCTCAGCTTTAACAATATATCTCGGTAAGCAGAAACTGCTGGTGGGCGGGGAGAGAATCTGTTTGCTCTCTCAGTGCCTCACTTATTACCACTATCCATTTAAAATTAAATATTTGCCAGTGGTTACTTTTGTCTGACTGCTAGACAAATGATACAGTATATGGAGAAAGAGAACAACTATGAACCCAAAATTTAGCAAAACATTTAATCTTTTTTTCTAAGTGCACAGAGAAGAAATGTTTCTCTTCTGTTTTAAAATATGTCATTACCATACTTAAGTAGAAAGCCCAGAGTCAAAGTTAATCTGAATTAGTTTGTGAATCACTATTATTCTCATTATTTTAAAAATGCCCTAACTGGGTTTAGATTATACAGCCTGTTATATTTGCTCCAGAGTGTCATGTAAACTGATGTCTCTTTAATTGAAGTTACAGGCTTCCATTTGTGCAGGTCATTGAGCATCCTTTTTTTAGTTACTAAGATGCAGCTTGTTCCTTTCTATGCTATGCTTCAACCTAGTTATGAAATCAAGAGTAAAACACCTTTTTTTAAAATAAGAGCTGCATTTTCTGAATCTTATTCTCCCCACCCCCTCCTTTATTCTGTTTTTATATAATTTTGGCTGCAGCATTTAATTAAGCCTGTTTTCAAAATTAGCGAATGTATTCTTTCCTGGATGCACTTCCCCCTTGATCACAATTTAGTATGTCTAACATCCTTTCTCAGAGGCAATTACGCGTTGCAGTGATTCCTCACTGCAGGATATTCAGCCTGGGATTGCAGCAATTACTCACACATTGGGAGGTTGGGGGAGGCAGGCAAGGGGTTTTAATTGCTCTCAGTGGAATTTAACCACGTGGAACTACTGCTGTTTGTTTTATTGTGCTTATGTTCTGGAGAAGTGGAATGGGGAAGTGAACTAATTGAAATAAGTGAAAATGGTAACTCTTTTGTTGTGAAAGTGTTGCTTGTTGGCTGCAGTTTAAACTGTGGAAGGATATGTGCCACTTGCTGGGTAGAGTTTTCAGTACTTAAGAGCTTATGTATTGCAACAGTGCTGAGAACCTGAACTTCACATTCAGTGTATATCCTTCCATAGATTGGATTTGGCAGCATTATTTAGACATGAACACAGCCATCTACCAACCCTCCAGCTTAATCTGCCCCGCCCTCCTTTATGGTTTGGATTGTTTCGCTTTGAATGACACATAAATCCTACCCTGATTTAACTTTTTTGGAGGGGGGTGGAGTGTTTGGCTGGGCTCAGCAGTTGAAAGACTGCAGAGGTATATTGCTCTGCCTTTAGGATGTAAACCCTGCAGTCAGTGAGAATTACTTTCTGCTCAGTGTAACTGAACATCCTTTTTCCAGTGTCCCAGTTTCTCTCAAGCAAAGTTCCGCTGTGGTGGTGGTAGTTCTGTACTTGGGGAAGGGAGACTGTGAATTAGAAAAAAGAAAACTGCAATGTCTAGACTGGGGCTGAACTTAAATGGCCCTTTCCTGAGTTTGCTAACTGTTTCTTGTGCTGTGAAGTTGGAGGGGTCATTCTCCTGTGATGTCACGCTGGACTCAGGAGGGTTTAGCTCTTCCAAATGCTCTAAGGCAGGGATGCAGTCACCTCACAGGAAACTGTTTCATCAGCTCTGTTCACGGAAGTAACCCAAGTTATGTTCTTGCTGTTTGCTTGCCATTCTGTTGTCACATGCAAAACTTAACGTATTTTTCGCTCTATAGGACGCACCCGACCATAGGACGCACCTTGTTTTAGAGGGGGAGAACAAGAAAAAAAAATTCTCCCCCTCTCTGCTCAGTGCCCCTTCAGCGAAGCAACAGGAGAAACGGAACCCCTTCCATTTCTCCTCCCACGTCGCTGAAGGGGTGCTGTGCAGCTCTCCCTCTCTGCTGAAGCCAGGAGAGCAAGACTCTCCCGGCTTCAGCGAAAGGAACCCGAAGCCTCCAGAACGCAGCGGGAACTCGCGCTGCACTCCAAAGGCTTCAGGCGGCTATCCCTGCAGCCTGGAGAGCGAGAGGGGTCGGTGCCCACCGACCCCTCTCGCTCTCCAGGCTTCAGCGAAAGCAACGCAAAGTCTCCGGAGCGCAGAGGGAGCACTCCCTCTGTGCTTCGGAGGCTTCGCGTTGCTATTGCTGAAGCCAAGGAGCCTGCATTCGCTCCATAGGACGCACACACATTTCCCCTTAATTTTTGGAGGGGAAAAAGTGCGTCCTATAGAGCGAAAAATATGGTACTTTCTAGGTGAATCATTTTTGAGATAGCCATGATGTTTATCACTCTTAGTGCTTAAATAAAAAGTGATGGTTCATTAATATTATGTTTTTCTTTAAAGTAGAAGCTTAAGTTCTTGACACTTCAAATAGAGATGTAATAATTGAGGGTGTGTGTATGAGGGAAGAGGAGTTGTACCTCTGGCCATGCTCCTTTTGGGTTAGTTTGTCCAGGTAAATGTGTACATCAGAGAGAGGGAATCTTCTTTCCAACAGAGGTCGTCCCCCCATCTTTCCTTCTCTGTGACTAGCCCTCTCTTGTATTCCTTCAGTATTCCCCGTTGGTATTTCCCCCATTTATCTTTGTTTCTATCTCTCTGTATCTCTAGGCTTTCATGAGTTATTTCTCCTCCTACTTGTGAGCCTATGTACCGCAGGAGAGCACCTGAAGTAGTGAAGGTTCCACCTCAGGCTGCACAATTGCTGTCACTTATGCCATTGTTTTTGTGTATAAAGCAGTATTTTTAAAGCAGGGATTATGCACTAAGAATGGCAGCATTTTTAAAGATATGTTGCAGACCTGCTTAAGTTGAAACCCCAGGGCAGGCACAACCAGGGGTGACTGCCCTCTGCCCCAGCCTTGGGTACCTTGCGAGGGCAGCCCTGCCTCTTCCTGCTCACCTGGTGAAGCCAGGGGAGGCCAGCCAGGCTGCTGCTAGAACAGTGTCAGAAGGGGAAAGGAAGGTGCAGGTGAAAGAGGTAATCCCTACTGAGGCAGTAGAAAAAGAACAGAAAGTGAGCTGGGGGGCTCCTCCCCCATCAGCATGAAGAGGAAGGGGGGCAGAGGCAAGAGTGGGGTCACAGCCCTCTCTCCACTTATGGGGGGAAATCACAGGAAGGTCTAGGATCCCTCAGGGAAGATGTAGCAGGTGTTTAATACACTCAACCCTAGCTTTTAAGGTCAAGTGTATTCATTTATATTAGATTAATATTTTATTTCTCTGCAAAAGTTAATCTAGCACAACAGAGGAGAAAAAAGCATTTATATTTTGTGTAGCTGAGAGAGATCCAGAAAAGTTGCTTCTTCTAAAGAGCTATTGTATTTTTATGTTGTGAACCGCCCTGAGATCGGTAGATGAAGGGCAGCATACAAATTTCAGCAACAACAACAATTAATATAAATTATTGATAAAAGTAACTGAAGGTCATTTCTACTGTTACTTCTATATATTTCATAAATTTTATACACTGATTGTAAAAACAACAACCCTCAAAGCGGTTTTCAAAAAAATAATAAAATCATCAGTAAAAAGAACTGACAATAATTTTAAAAGTTCAAGAAAATTAAAATCAACAATAAACTAAAAACAGATAGAAACCTATAACTAAAAACTGATGTGTGTTTTAAATACCTTATTTTTGTCTCTGCCAGCTGGCCATCTGTTTGGGGAAATTAGATAGAGGATTTGCACTGGAATTTGATGCCCGGGAGCAGTAAATAATGGACTTCATCCCCAATTTACCATTTGGCATTGGGCCTCATCCCCTGAGCCACTGCACCTGGAGGACCTCTGGGTTCCCGCTTAAATCATCAACAACAGCCGCCATTCCTGCATGCCTGAGGGTGTGTCCCCCTCCCTTGCCACAGTGGGACCAGCAAACAGGCCAGAAGGTTTGCAGTTAAATCCCCTCTGAATCAGTGGTCTCACATACGTATCTCTTTGGCCATTGCACCCTCCTGCCATTATCTGAGCCCCCGCCTTTACTTGCGCTCGTTCACTGTTGAGACTTTGTATTTTGTTCAGTTCAGGATCCTATTGCATGGGAGAGCCCTGTGCTACCCCCTGCCCCCCCCCCCCCGCTGCATTGGTGTTGTTGGGCAAATTTGACATTGGGAGAATGGGAAAGACAAGCTTGCGGGTCCAGGAGAAAGAAGCAGAGGTGCAGAGGAAACATGTAAACTTTTTGATATATTTCCTTTTTTAAAAAAAGGGCAACTGAAACAGCCAGCCCTCTCCTGAGCATATTTCATTCCCAACTGCATTGGTGCTTTGTTTATTGGTCACTCAGCCATGATAAACATTTGAGTGATTGAAACCATGACAGTGATAGATGTAACTGATATGACATCCCTCAGGAGCAGATCTGGATATAACCCAATTCACACATTTCAAACCTTTACAACAGAAAACCAGTGGATATTGTGAAAGTTAACTGAAACATCCCATTAAGTTTGAAAGTCACATAAAACCAAATATGTCAAAAAACCTTGACCAGTTATTGCAAAAATTCACCTTTCTCTATTTGATGGGGGGAATAGTATTGTTACTGCTTACTTTTAATTAGTGGAATGATATCAATAATGGTTATTTTAAGGTTAATAGTCATAGAAATTGATGATTGTATGTTTGAGATCCGTGACTTGTGTTCCATTCCTTTTTCTTTTCACCTAGTTTTGATGACATCTTGTGCCTTGCCGATTCTGCATCCCTTTCAGACATCACCCTAGATGGCAACCCGATAGCGCAAGAGGCGTTTTACAAGCATACTGTTCTCCACCATATGATGCAGCTCCGACAGCTGGATATGAAGAAGATCACAGTAAGAGAAACTCTGTGGAGAAAACTCTGTGATGGGTTAAACCTTGAAATAAGGAAGGAGTTTTATTTAACCAGACTATTCACAGTGCCAGCAGGTTTTGTGTTTTTTATTATTTTTAAAAAACTTACTACAGTTACTAAGAATATTTTTACTATTTTCTATATACAAAATGCTTAGCAATCTCCTCTGGTTTGTCTTATTGACAACCCCATAAGGAGTGAGGTCTACACTCATTGAATTTATGTTTGGGATAAGACAGCAGAAGGACTGTCTGTGTCAGTATGAGTTTCCCATTCCATAAGATCATTCTCTGAGGCTCTTCTCTGGGTATTGGCTCATTCAGAATTTAGGCAGGTAGAGCTGGAGAGAGCGGTCTCCCCCTCCCAAATTATGGAATCCCCTTCCCATAAATAAGCACTGGGAACTTTAGTTAAGATGCATCTGCTCTTCACTGTTGTTAAGTTTGCATTTTATATTCAGCATTTTAATTTTACTGGTATTTTTGTTGAAAGCCACTCTGAAGTAGAAAGCCAACATATAACATACAGATATTATAAATGAGCACAAGCAGCAGTCCCAATTGCATGGTAAGCTGTTTTTGAAACCAGCCTTTGTGTACAGTAAACCCACAACTTACACACATTTAACTTGTGCTCATTCAGCTTAACACATATGGCAAAAAATATAAATATATAAATATAAAAAAATAGAAAGGGGCTGAGTTCTGGGGGAAATGGTGTTGGCAATCCCACCCGCCATTGAACCCAATCCCTGTTTAAATTGTGAGCTTATTGTACTGCATAAAGACACAAGAATACAAATAGCCCCCACAGAAAGAGACAAACAAATGAAAGAAAAACACTCTCCCATGTCAAGAATATAAACGCCTCACCATTAAGGCATTAAGAGAGAGAGACAGCCTGTTCTCCTGGACTGGAATTAATATAAGAGGAAGGAACTAGTCTTCCTAGAACCCATCACTTCTTATTTCACTTTGGGTTAGGCTACATCATTGGGTAAGTTTACAGAGAAAGCTTCCTGTCATACCACCTTTGGAGGGGCAGATTGTTGATCACTTTTCCAGAGGAAGGTTATCTCCATTCGCTCAGCTGTGAGAAGATGGATCATTAACCATTTGGAGAGGATGGCTTTATTTGCTCCCCAGAAGAGAAATAATAGGTCCAGTTCAACTTTACAGTGAAAGAAATGACTCTGAAACTTAGTAGCTGTCTTACATTCCCTCCAAAGATGTTTGTATGAACCTTGCACCAAACAATTCCTCCATCCCAAAGGTATGATGCAGCTAAACAGGCTTTACTTTGAAACAATGGCTCTTTTAGCAGCCTATTTAACAGCTTAGTTAAAAATGTTGGACATGCCAACATTACTATAATTACCATCTCTCAACAGGCATCCTTACAACTGTTGCAAATAAATAAATAGAATGAAAATGTCAGAATAGGTATGTCCTGAATAAATTTGACAGCAAGGATTTTCTTTTTTAAACAAACCACCTGCTGAATACTCTCATTGCATTTAATATGCAGGGTCTATCCGGCCTGTCAGGGAACTGCCATCAGTGCCGGAGGGAGAGAGAGAGCTCCAGAGGGATCCCAGAGAGCGTCACGGGATTGGGAGAGGCAGCCCATCTTCTGGGGAAGGGAATCAGCTCAGCTCCAGTGGAGAAGGGGGGCAGATGGGGGAATCTGAGAGGGAGTCACATGACTCCTTGCCTGGGACCAGCGGGGGAGGAAGGGTCCTCCGCTGCCTACGCCTTCCTTGCGCAGAAGGCTTCCGCGCAGGGAAAGTAGGAGGCGGCTGGGTGTGAAAGAACTTCTATGCTGGAAGAAGTTAAGAAACGCCCACTGACAGATTCTGCCAGCGATTGAGACAGCCACGGGGGAGTGGCTGTCCGGACAGAAAAGGTTCACTTAGGCAACCCAGCCAGGTGTGGGCACCGGCTTACGCACGAGCAACCCCTTGAACCACTACAGCAATCCGTCAGTCCTTGACGTTGCTTGTGCGCAGTACCGGAGAGGCAGCACGCTGAGCCAAACAGAGCCGGCCGGAGGAACAGAGCAAGAAGCCTTGATGCGAGGTCTAGTAGAGAGGAACCGAGAATTGGAGGCGCATGTTGCTACCCTGACGGCGCGGCTGGAGGAGAGACGGGCTCAGGATGCACAGGTCAGAGCCACCCCGATAGGGAGGAAGGTTCAGGGGCTGGTACACAAATTTGGTGGAAAGCCCCAGGACTACAATGCATTCCGAACGGAAATCCAGTACGCTTTGGAACTGTAGAAGGATGACTTTGCCATTGACGGGGAGAGGGTGGCTTACATTGTGGGACATCTGCAGGATGGGGCGCGTGAATGGATCAGGCCCCTAATGGCAACGCAGAATGATGCATTGAAAGATCTCAAGAAATTCTATCAGGCGATGGACGTGATGTACTCCAGCGAGGTTGAGCAAAGCGTGACGCGCCGGGAGCTGATGGGGTGCAAGCAGGGGAGCCTGTCCGTCAGAAACTACTGGTCGCGGTTCGCGATGTTAGTCCACAAACTTGGGTGGGATCTCAGCTCTGAACCTATGCAAATGTTGTTCGAGGGGGGTTTATCCCCTGAAGTGAAGGATGAATTGTCCTGAGCGCCCCGCCCGCGGTCGATGGATGAACTCACAAGGACTGTGCTTGCGATCGGGGTACGCCAGGAAGCGCGGGCTCAGGAGAAGCGGGAGATAAGGGTGGAACGTTTTCATGACAACCGCATTCCTGAAATGCCGAGGGAGCCTTCCCAGGTGGCAGAGCAGATGGAAATTGATGCAGCGCCCGCACGCGAAGTTTCAAACGCCGGTGAAAGGAGGAAAAGGGCGGGAAAGAAGTATTTCCTCTGTCAGCGACCGGGACATTTTGCAAAGGTCTGCCCTCAACGAAAGGCCTGGCAAGGCATGATGGGGGCTGCAGGCCACGACGAGAAGGGGGAGGAGGGGCAGGCGCAGGGAAACGCCAACGCCTGGCTGCCAACCAGCAGGGCCAGCAGCCAGGTCAGCAACCAATAGAAGTGCCCCAGCCTGACCCCCCCAAGGCAGCGGTAGCCATAGAGGTGGTGCTGGAACTCCCAAAAGGGCACCCCGTCAAGGTGGAGGGAGATGCAGGAGCTGCGGCAGTTTATTGACAAGAACCTGAAGAGAGGTTTCATAAGGGAATCTAAGGCAGTGGGGGGCAGTCCAGTGTTCTTTGTGGACAAGAAAGAGACTAATCAGCCTAGATTAATCGTGGATTACCGGGCCCTAAACCTGGTGTCAGAACCCGTGACTTTCCCAATGCCCAGGATTGACGATATTTTGACACGGGTGAGGCAGGGAAAGATTTTTACCAAGCTGGACCTCAGGGGAGCATACAATCTGATCAGGATAAGGGAGGGGGACGAATGGAAAACGACCATGTTCACCCCCCTGGGGGCTTTTGAGTACTTAGTGATGCCATTTGGATTACAATCGGGCTCAGCCTGCTTTCAAGCCTTCATGCACCATGTGTTGGGGCCCCTGCTGTACAAGAATTGCGTAGCCTTTTTGGATGACGTCTTAATCTATTTGGACGATGAAAGGGAACACGTCAGAGACGTCAGGGCGGTGCTACAGAGATTGAAGAAGCATCAGTTGTGGGTCAAGCTGGAAAAATGCCAATTCCACGCCAGAGAGGTCGAGTTCCTGGGATACAGGCTGTCAGACAAGGGACTAGCCATGGATCCGGGCAAAGGTAAAGGCAGTGCTGGAATGGAAAGCCCCCCAAAACAGAAAGGATGTGCAAAGGTTCCTAGGCTTCAGCAACTTCTATAGGAAGTTCATAAGGAACTTCGCTCACTTGACAGCGCCCATAACGGATTGTCTTAGTAGCAAAAAGAAGTTTGCGTGGACAGAGGGAGTGCAGCAATCCTTTGAAAGACTGAAGAGGGCGTTTGCCTCGGAAGAACAGCTCCTGCACGTGGATCCGGATAAGCCCATGAGGCTGGAGACTGACGCGTCCGACCGCGCCATTGGAGCGGTCGTTTTGCAGCCCGGGGACAAGCAGAACTGGATGCCGTGTGCCTTTTTCTCAAGGAAGCTGAGCAAGTCAGAACAAAACTACACCGTGTATGACCGCGAGCTGCTTGCCATCTATGCGGCATTTCGGCAATGGAGACATCTATTGATAGGGGCGCGGCACAAGATCCAGGTCAGAACGGACCACAAGAACTTGGAATACTGGCGGACCGCGCGAGTGCTCAACCAGAGACAGATCAGATGGTCCCAGGAGTTCGCCAAGTTTTTCTTTGAGATCCAATATGTGCCGGGAGAGGAAAACGTAAGGGCAGATGCTCTCTCCCGGAAACCGGAGTACATGGAAGGAGAGGGGCCCCCAGAGACCAGGCACGTGTTCCCCGAGGATAGGTGTGTGTGGGGGGGAGCGTTGGTTGGGAAACGGGAACTGGCAGGGCTCACCAGGCATGATGAGTTTGCTCAGGTGAAAATCAGGGAACTCAGGGACGGAAGGGAAGTCAATGGAGGGTTCGAGGAAAAGGAAGGTCTATTGTACTATAAGGGGGCGCTGTATGTACCGGGGGAGACTTTGAGGGGGGAGGTACTTAAACAACTCCACGACAACCCAACAGCTGGGCACTTTGGACAGCACAAGACCATGTTACTTGTCACCAGGCAGTTCTGGTGGCCAAAGGTGAGGGAAGACGTAAGAGAATATGTACGGGGGTGCGACCGATGCCAGAGGGCAAAGGGGGAAAGGGCTGCCCCTGCGGGGTTACTGGAACCCTTACCCACACCGGAAAGGCCCTGGGAGGTGGTGTCCATTGATTTTATGACAGATCTGCCCAAGTCAAGGGGAAAGACAGCGGTCATGGTAGTAGTCGATCTACTGACAAAAATGTGCCATTTCGTAGCGTGCTCACATGCAGCAACGGCAGAGGAGACAGCCAGACTGTTTGTGGATCACATTTTCAGACTGCATGGGGCTCCATTGAGGGTAATCTCGGATCGCGGGAAACAATTTACTTCCCGGTTCCGGCGGAAACTCATGAGCTCGCTACAGGTCGAGGTGAGCTTCTCGACGGCGAGGCACCCGGAAACCAACGGACAAGCCGAAAGAGCGAACGGCGTGCTCCAGCAATACCTACTCTGCTATGTCAGCGAGAGACAGAACGATTGGGTAGAGAAATTAGCTTTGGCTGAATTTGCGTACAACAACACTGAACATGTGTCCACGGGAATGAGCCCTTTCATGGCCAATTACGGGTGTCACCCCAGGGCATACCCGGGGCGTGGGGAGGAAGGATGGAGCGTACCTGCGGTTGAGCAATTTGTGGAGGAAATGGAGGCCTTACACCAGCAACTCAGGCTGAACTTAGAGCGGGCCAAGGAAGTTTACAAGAGGCAGGCGGACAGGCACCGTCGGGAGGGGGAGGCTATACAGGTGGGAGACAGGGTGTGGTTGTCATCCCAAAGGTTGCCCCTAAAGGGAGGGTGCAAGAAGTTGCAGCCTAGGCGGCTGGGGCCTTTTGAGGTAACGCAGCAGGTGAACCCAGTGGCATTTAAACTCAAGTTGCCTGACAGCATGAAGATACATCCGGTGTTCCACAGGTTCCTACTTTCACCGTACAGGGAGGGGCGGGAATTCCCGGGACGGGAGCAAGGGGTCACCGCCCACCCGCGGGTCGAAGAGAGGGAACCCTGTAACGAAGCCACGGAAATACTTGATTCAAGGTGGCGAGGTCGCCAGGTAGAGTACTTGGTAGCCTGGGAGGGGGAACCCCGGTCGGAAAACACGTGGGTCCCAGCTGAATCAATCACTGATGAGTATCTGGTGGAAGAATTCCACAGTTTGTTCCCGGATAAGCCCAAACCATTAGCCAGATTTTGGGAGGAAGAATTTGGACCCACAGACGACGAAGGGGACTTTGTGGGTTTTCCTGCCTCAGAAGAGGAGGGAGAGGAGGTGTCTGAGGGAGAAGAATCAGACGGGGAAGTTCAACCAGTGGGAAGAGATCCCAGCGGATGGGAGGCTGGTGTTGAATCCTCAGAAGAGGATGATAGCTCTTTCAGGGGGTTCCCCGCATCGTCGGCCGAGGAGAGAGAGGAGGTTGTGTCGGAAAAGGGGGCCGGGGGTGGGAGGGGTCCTGAGGAGGAGGTGGATGTCAGGGAACTGCCATCAGTGCCGGAGGGAGAGAGAGAGCTCCAGAGGGATCCCAGAGAGCGTCACGGGATTGGGAGAGGCAGCCCATCTTCTGGGGAAGGGAATCAGCTCAGCTCCAGTGGAGAAGGGGGGCAGATGGGGGAATCTGAGAGGGAGTCACATGACTCCTTGCCTGGGACCAGCGGGGGGAGGAAGGGTCCTCCGCTGCCTACGCCTTCCTTGCGCAGAAGGCTTCCGCGCAGGGAAAGTAGGAGGCGACTGGGTGTGAAAGAACTTCTATGCTGGAAGAAGTTTAAGAAACGCCCACTGACGGATTCTGCCAGCGATTGAGACAGCCACGGGGGAGTGGCTGTCCGGACAGAAAAGGTTCACTTAGGCAACCCAGCCAGGTGTGGGCACCGGCTTACGCATGAGCAACCCCTTGAACCATTACACGGCCATACAGATTTTCTTCTTTCTAGAACTTTCTCTTAATAAAAATATATTTTGCAGCTTTTTATTAAACATCCAAGATGTATATAAATGAATAAAATAAATCTAAAATTAAGAGTCACAAGATACTTGCATTGGAGAACCTTTTAATATATTTTATGGTAACATAATTTTTATTCATTCATGGTTGCATTGAGATATATATATTTCTGAATGTATTAACAAAGTTGTGTCAAAGTGTATATACCAAAACTTACAATTATTACAGATATGAAATTATGTACAGTATTGTCTAATGCTTAGATTGGTGACCGTAAGTAAAAGGTACTTTGTATCAATAACAATTAGAATTTATAAAAATTTATAGGGAGGGGGAAGGTGGAAAATTGAAATATGCCCTTCATGCGTGCACAACTGTGCTGTAAACTATTAGTACTGTTCTACCATAACTGTCACACCAGACTGCATTAAAATTGTCAGGTTTCTTTTGGCCTCTTGCTACTTCCAATTTTTGTGTCAGTTTTTCCAATAATGGAAGATGGTCGATGATCTCGGTAGACGAGGAACAGAGGGAAAAGCTGTTTCCTAGTTCTGCTGGATCTCTCAGTTCTTTTGATACCGTGGCTTTTGATACCATTGACCATGGTATTCTTCTGGGGAAGCCAGCTGGGGGCAATGTTATGCCGTGGTTCCACTCCTTCCTCCTGGGCTGTGTCCAGAAAGTGGTGTTGCGGGATGAGTCTTCAGACCCCTCGGCTCTTACATGGGGTGCCTCAGAATTCTGTCCTGCCGCCCCCTGCTTTTTAACATCTATATGAAGCCTCTGAGAGAGATCATCAGGGCGTTTGGGCTGGGTGTTCATCTGTATACGGATGATACCCAGCTCTACCTTTCATTTAAATCGGAACCTGTTAAGGCAGTAAACATCCTGTGTGAGCGTCTGGAGGCTGTTGGAAGTTGGGTTGCAGTCAGTGGATTGAGGTTGCATCCTGACAAGACAGAAGTACTGTTTCTGGGGGACACGGAGCAGGCAGGTGTGGGGGACTCTCTGGTCCTGAATGGGGTAACTGTGCCACTGAAGGACCAGGTGCGCAGCCTGGGAGTCATTTTGGACTCACAGCTGCCCATGGAGGCACAGGTCAGTTCTATATCCAGGGCAGCTGTCTACCAGCTCCATCTGGTACGCAGGCTAAGACCCTACCTGCCTGCGCACTGTCTTGCGAGAGTGGTGCATGCTCTAGTTATCTCTTGCTTGGACTACTGCAATGCGCTCTGCGTGGGGCTACCTTTGAAGATGACCTGGAAACTACAACTAATCCAGAATGCGGCAGCTAGTCTGGTGACTGGGAGTGGCTGCCTAGACCATATAACACTGGTCCTAAAGGATCTTTGCTGGCTCCCAATACATTTCTTAGCACCATTCAAAGCATTGGTGCTGACATTTAAAGCCCTAAACGGTCTTGGCCCAGTATCCCTGAAGGAGCGTCTCCACCCCCATCGCTCAGCCTGGACACGGAGGCCCAGCTCCAAGGGCCTTCTGGTGGTTCCCTCACTATGTAGTGAGATAGTGGCACCCTCCCAGTGGAATGCCCCCCTATCAGTTGTCAAGGAGATAAGTAACTATACAACCTTTAGAAGGCATCTGAAGGCAGCCATGTATAGGGAAGTTTTTAATGTTTAATGTTTTATTATGTTTTTATATATTCTGGAATCTGCCCAGAGTGGCTGGGGCAATCCTGTCAGATGGGCAGGGTATACATATTTTTATTATTGTTATTAAGAACCTTTTAATATTTGATTTCATTGTGAGCATTGCTTTGTTACTTGGAAAATATGGGAATGCTTGGACTTCTTCTAATTGAATTACACAGTCTACCCAGTAGGGATACTTTGGGTTTGTTTCTTTGTTTTTTGCTTAGCAGCTGGACACACTGTTCTGTGGAACTTGAAAGCTTGTTCATGACTTCAGTGTTTTTACAAAATCCAGTATGACTTCCCTGTTACCTTTAGATCCCCTACCCTGCTATGGACTGACTCCTTGCAAAGTTTGACTAGTACCATCGTGAGTCTCACCGCAAAGTGTTCTGTTTTATTTTAACCCAGGAAGAAGAAAGGCGCATGGCATCTGTTGCCTTACGAAAAGAGGAAGAGAAGAGGCGTGAAAGCCACAAGCAGACCTTACTGAAGGTACCAAGCGGTGGCCTTCGTGTGATGCAAATGGAAGAGAACCGGGCCCTTCCCTCCCTTCACTTATCCCACCCCCCTGGTAGCTGCGTCTCCTTGTTATGGCTGCTCCTTCCCTGCTGGAAACAAACTACATGGCATCCTCCATCGCAGGGGAAGAATGATCAGTGGTGAAGCACCTGCTCTTCTTGCAGAAGGTCCCAGGTTCAATCCACTGCATCTCTAGGTTGGGCTGGGAGAGAATCCTGTCTGAAATCCTGGAGAGGTACTTCCAGCACTGAGCTCGATGGACCAGTGATCTGACTCCATATAAGGCAGCTTCCTATGTTCCTAAAAAGTGTTCCTATGTTCCCTCTTGGAAGGCCGCATAACCCACCCAGGCACATACCTGTCAAAGGCATGGGACATCCTGTTTTTGGGTTCCATGCTCTTGTGCAGGTCGTGTGACTCATGTGAGAGCATGGCCTGGAAGACGCGGCCTGGCTTTGCTCTGGGACATGGTGGAGGGTATGGCGGAACCAGTCACATAACAGAAATGACCACAGAGATATCAACATTTGAAAATGTAGGGGGTCCATGGCTTGGCTTTTGAAAAACGGGTTCCACAGAACTTGGCCAACTGGGAACTCCTGCTATAGAGTATTTGATCTAGTCTGCCCATGCTTCCTACTGTCTTACCCATAAGAACACAAGAGCCTCTCTGGAACAGGCCATGGCATCCTACTTCTCACAGGCCTATTGGGAGCCCACAAACTACCCAGCAACTGTCATTGAGGGTCTAGCAGCCTCTGATTGTAGGGGGTCTATCTTAGTTAAAAGCCACCAATGGAATAATCGGTGTTGAGAGCAAACAGATAGCCAACTGAAATCAACATAATTTTCTGATTGCTGTAATTCCATTTCTTTGATCTTAGTTTCCAGAATGCCGTTTTGTTTTACTTTAGCAAACTCTTTTCTCAAACTGTATATTTGTATCTCATTTCAGGAAAAGAAACGATTAACCATTAGCAATATTGCCCATCAGTGGGAGAGCCAACAGAACCGCTCTGCCCACCTGCCTTCCAGCCAAGAAAACAACGAAGACAACGAATCTTCTCAGAACAGCAGGAGTACTCCATATGTATTTCCTGAGGAAACCAGGTATGGAGGCCTTGTTTTCCTGGCCAACAAGGGCTACGCAGCCTCTTAGAGCCGCCCAGGCAGGAAGTTCCTCCCTCCTCCTCCTCTTCCTCTCTGTGTTTCCCTAATTTCATTTCCTGCCATCCCAAACAGACAGCTTGCTATTCATTCTCTTTACGGTCTGATTTTTCCCTTGTCTCACTCATAGCTTCTGAATCGCTCTCTTCCCTGCTATTATATTCACCTTCTGAAAAGAAAAGAAATCAACAAATAAAAATCCTTCACTTTAATTCTCTTGCTTCCGCTGCCCCGCTACCTCCTCCCCTTTTTCAGCTCTAGCAGCCAAAATCAAACAGTCAGCTGGACTTCAGTGTCTTCTTGGGGGAAGAATCCAGAAAATCCACAATGAAGTGGGAAAGGCTACAGCCCAACAGCAGCCTCAGTCATGAGGCATGGGATCTTGTACTGGGGAGAGGGGACAACAAACAAGCCAAAATTGGAGGTGAAACTCTTGCTTAGAGTTTAATCCTGCCCCCCTCTCCTGCAGATTGCCCTGTGGAGATGGAGCAGAGAGGGAATCAAGAGTCACATGCTTCCCTCCCCATGTTACCATGGGAGATGGTCTTTCTCTATTACTGAAGTGGGATGTGATTCTGCCATTGGCCACTAGAGGCCCTCAGAGAACCACATGTGGAACCTTGGTTTCTGGTTCCTGGCTGGAGGAAGTTTGGTAATCATCTCTCTCTCTCTCTCTCTCTAAATATTATTACATGCCCTATTACTCCCTCTAAATTTTGTCATTCAACATTAATTATGGAATGTGGGATAAAAGTACTGCCTGAGGCATTATGCAACTGGATGGTCAAATTCCTCTTAAAATGAATGGAGAAGATTTGTTAGCAGTGGGGAGGGTGGGTGGGAGCACTAGTTTTGTCAAAGACTTTGCCCCCCAGCAGAAAGTTTCCATTACACTGATGTATATTACAGAGTGGTGTTCTGTGTGTGTAATTTGGGCTGTTTCATCAGTTTGAAACATCTTTCAAAGGTTTAGGCAACATTAATGTGTGTCTTTGTGCATTAGTGATCCTTTGGAATTGGAGTTTAGGCTTTTTGTGACTCTTTGATTCAGCTTGTTTTGGATATCCCCATCTTTCTGTTGTTTATAAAGGTAGTGACGGAATTTAAATAATCAGAGGTCCACAAAAAGTATGAGGAGAAGTATACACCTTTGGTCTTTTGCTAAAGTAAACCAGGGAATTCTCTATAAGTGTTCAGAGTACCAGGAATTTTAGGGTATTTTTCATTTGCTGTTCTATGTTTGTGCATTTTAAAATTCCATTTGCAATAGGAATTAAAGGGTTAAGCTATTGTAATGTATCAAGAATTTTCTTCTTCTTTATTTAGGGAAAGTTATATTGTCTTCTGGTGTGAAGTCCTCAAGGTGGCTCACTTTCTCCCCCCCTCCTTCTCTATAAACTACACTAAAATAAACACACAGACCCCAAAATAAATCTGCAATAAAACCCTAAAAATAGGAACAGCAAATGACAGCTAGGAAAAGGAGCTTATAATTATAAGATAAAATTGAGTAAAATGATCTTGTGATTAAGAGAATAGCTGAAGGCTATACCGTCCAACTTGCCACAGTCTTCCACCATTCCACACACCTGCAGTCTCTCCCCAAATTCATCCACACAATTCAAAAGCACTGTCTGCTATAAGCAGTGATTTGTGTTTAATTGCATGCCATAGAGTAGGGGTCGACAAACTACGGCCCGGGGGCTGGATGCGGCCCACCAGGCTCGTAAATCCGGTCCCCAGACCCTGCCGCCTGTTCGGTCAGTCCCTGCCCTGAGCTAAACCGGCATGGCATTTCCTTGAAAATAAGCCGCGGGCGCCTCGCCGCGCGTGGACTGACTTCCACAACACTGGCATGGCTTCAGTTTGGCTCCAGGAAGCTCCTGCAGCCAATCCAAAGCCACGGACGCCTCTGGGCAGGAGGTGAGGCTGGTGCGGTTTCAGATTGGCTGCAGGAAGTTCCTTGTTGTCCATGTGCTGAGGTAAACCTGGCACGGCCATGGGCGGAGAGGCTGGCGGGTGGGCAGCGGGTCTGGGCCGCACCATGGGCATTGTGACAGGTGCTTCGCGAGGCTTTAGCCAGAGCTTGGCGCCCAGTTCAGCGCTGCTGCCTGGCGCTCCGCGTGCGTAGCCTGCCCGCCGTCCTGGCCTTGGACGATGGGCCTCAGTGCGTGGTGCACGCTGCCTGGGAGCTCTGTGGTGACAGCCGATGGAGCAGCTGCTGCTCGTCAACAACACTGGAAAAGAGAGGACTGAGAGGAGATAGGATAGCCATCTTCAAATATCTCAAGGGCTGTCACATAGAAGAGGGAACAAGCTTGTTTTCTCCTTTTCTGGAGGATAGGATCCTAACCAATGGATTCTGACTAAACATTCGGAAGAGCTTTCTGACTGTTTGACAGTGGAACGGTCTCCCTCGGGAGGTTGTGGATTTCCTTCCTTGGAGATGTTGAAGGAGAGGTTGGACGGCCATCTGTCATGGATGCTTTAGCTGAAATTCCTGCATTGCAGGGGGTTGGACTAGATGTCCCTTGGGGATCCCTTCCAGCTCTTCAGTTCCTTGATTTTATACTTTCATAGATGGTAGGAATTCATCTTCAGAAATACCAGTGAAGTTCTGCTGAAAGTGTTCCCTTGATCCATCCAGCAGCCACCTGGATGTTGCTGGACCCCAGCTCCCTTCATCCCTGGCCATTGGCGTTGCTTCCTGGGGTGATGGGGGTTGTGAGCCCACCAACATCTGGAGGGAAGCTGCAAGAGAGTGTAAGTGTGCTGTATTTTAAATTTGTGATTTTAGTATTTGGCTTTAAAAAGTATTACAGTGGTACCTCGGGTTATAGACACTTCAGGTTACAGACTCCTCTAACCCTGAAATAGTGCTTCAGGTTAAGAACTTTGCTTCAGGATAAGAACAGAAATCGTGTTCCGGCGGCGCGGCAGCAGCGGGAGGCCCCATTAGCTAAAGTGGTACCTCAGGTTAAGAACAGTTTCAGGTTAAGAGCGGACCTCCAGAACGAATTAAGTTCTTAACCCGAAGTACCACTGTAATAGTTAGAGGAGTATATGATCCCCCAGTCTTCCAAAATACTGCTTTTTCATTGGTATTTAAGTCCAGATTTTTCCCCTCTCTCCCTTCCCCATTGGCAGCATGTTTTCAAAATATACAGTGAGTTTAATAAGATCAAACAAACAAACGGATAATGCAAAATCAGCTGAATGAAGCTGTTAATTCTTTGTGCATGAATAGACTTCATAAACACAGGCTCCTCTGAACAGCTCTCCACAAATTGAACCGTCTGCTTCCCTGGTTGACGCCTGCACCTGTGTTATTTTAACAGAAACTGTTCTTTAACTGTTACTTTGTTGATGATTCATAAGATAATTTCTGGAATTATTTTGGGTTATTTTTCTCATATAGCTTTGAGTATGCCTGCCAAAGCCAATAATTGTAATTTATTTAAGCTTAAAAGAAAAAAACATGAGACAAAAAATCTTTGAACTAATGGCACCAGTGCTTCTTTTAGGATTCTTAAATGGAAACTTTGTGAGACTGGAATTCTTGTTGACATAAAGGTGAGGCAGAAATGTCTGAACTCCTTTCCATAAGTTCATACCTGGGAATGGCAAGATCCTCCTTGCGGGACAGCGCAAATGCAATGCTGGCTCCGTCTTAGTCCTGGCTGAGAAACGGGGGACCCGTCTTGATGATGTGCCCTGCCTTGCTGCAGAACATGAGAAAAGCAGGGCGGGGTAGTGGTGAGAGTGTCGGACTCGGACCTTGGAGACAGGGGTTCCAATCCCCACTTGGCCATGCAGCCCACTGGGTTACCTTGGGCCAGTCCCTGCCTCTCAGCCTAACCTACTTCATAGGGTTGTTGTGGGGATTAAACTAGGAGGGGGAGAACTATGTACGCCACCTTGAGCTCATGGGTGGAAAAAGTGAGCTAGAAATGCAAATAAATAAAAAAGAACATAAGAAGCGTCCACAGGATCAGACCACGAATGCATCTTTTCCAGCAGCCTACTTGACAGGGTCCACAGCTTTATGTTGGCAGGAAATCTGCAAGCAGGTATTCAATGGCACCCTGCCTCTGAAAGATGGCAAAATGCCGTTTTGCTATGGCATTATGAGAGTTGATGTTCTACTTTTTGGCTGTTTTTGTATCTGTCTGGAATAGCTTTATTCATCCTCCCCATTATGCCCTGCCCTAACATCTGTTGGATGAAGGGTGCTCTAGAAATGTTTCAAATGAGTATCTTAAAGAAAAGCACTTTGTGCATTCAGATGAATTCAAACCCCCTTTCCCCAGGCTCAGCTGTCAGAGTGGAGGTGAGCTGACCTAAGTGGGGAAGCCTCCACAGTGGAATTCAGGGAGGAAAGGCAGGTGGGGAAGTGACAGAGCCCCACTTTATACTGGATCAGGGCAGAAATGTGAATAAATCCCAGCATGCCTTGCTTTGACTCCCCCTCCCATATGCATATTTAATTCTAACATTAAGTTTCTTTAGACTTTGCAACAAAATGGAACAAATTATCCTGAATATATTTTATAGTGGCCTTTTTTCAGTATCTGTCATCTGTATGAAGTTTTATTTTGTAAAAACATTGCATCCTACAGTAGCATCTATTAATGTTAATAATTCCACCCCTTTCCTTTCCCCAAGAACTCTGCATTAGTGTAGTATTAAGAGATTTCCCCCTCTATCCAGTTAAAGCAAAGTTCTTTGTGTAAAGTTTTCTTTTACTTACTTTCGGACGGGCTGTGAAGCTGGTTTATTCTTAGTAATTTCCTGATTGTGAACGCTGTGGTTCTTTAGCCAAGCTGTCTATAATAAAATGTAACATGTAAAATAAGTTTCCACGTTCTTTCTGGAAGCTGTAATTTTCTTTTATAGGAGAAGATGTTGGAAGAATCACTCTGCCTTTTCCCCTCTCAAAATAAAGGGGCAAAAATACTACTTTTATTACAAAATTAGCTGAACTATTTGCTGGGCTACAGTCTTGCAGAGTTTACAATGATCCTGGGCATTTTCCAGGCAGCGAGTTTTTAAATAGTTCCCTCTCTTTGGTAAGTGGGCCTGCAGTTCATGGCACCATTTACTCTGAAGGAAGACTATTAAAGGCAGCCTGTGTTAGAGTAACCAACTTTGGGGGGGCTGTCAGGGCTTGTCTCCTCTCCACAACTTGAGGCCTTTGTCAGGGCGTTGTCTCACATTTCTTAATCTCTGTAGAATTTCTATAAATCAGAATTCTGTAGGTAATAGAATAACAGATCATCCCCTTTATATTAAACTGCTGAGCACATACAGGTAGAAGCTGTTGCTTTAAGTAAGTGCCAGGATTTGAGCCTGTTGTGGCCCCCAGAAACTGGGACTAAGGAAAGATAAGCAGAGATTCTCACCTTTTGCTGGCCAAAGGAGGGACCTACAGGAGTCTACTATAAAAGTCCCTCCCTGCCCGTGATAATCTGCCCTTGCCTTCACTTTGCACCTCTCCCCCTGAGGGACTGGGGTAGGAGATAACTGCTCCCTCCAGACACCATTCTCACTCCCTACTGTGCCCAAGAGAGAGTTTCGGTACCCCATATTCTTTCCAAAGAACAAAGATAATCCCTTGAGTTTTGGGAAGGGGGTGAACAACTAGAATCTATGATACAGCAAGCATGTGTCTAATCTCATATTAATTCAGAAACAGACAGATTTTTAGTAGCATTAGTGTAATGGAGTCAAGATGCACGGGAGGGTCTGTAGTTCATGGGAAGACACTGAGAAGGTCCCAGGTGTTGACATGGATCATGCGTAGATTAGGAAAGACCATGCGACACTTTCCTCCAATATGCTAAGTAGCACAGCAGACTGAAACATAAAATAAAATTTCAGTCACTCCCCCACCATAACTTTACACTTATGGTGGCAGCCTTTGCCAATGGGGTGTCCTCCATGCTGGTTGGGGCTGATAGAAACCGTAGTCTAAAACATCTGGAGGGCCCCCTGTTGGCAAAGACTGTGTCATGGTATAATAGGTCAAGTTCCGAGAGGCGATGCTTGATTTTTTAATTATAAAAGTCAACACAACCAAACTTATTTTCAATATCATTGTTCTACTGTTCTCTGGAATTGCTTTTTTTAAAAAAGCTCTGTACGTGATAAATTTGAGGAACTGAGCCAGTACAAGGAAAGTAAACTTAATGCACAATGAACATTCTCTGAGTGGTGCCTAGATTCCTTTAGATTTCTATAAATATGCCCAATTGATGTTGATGCCAATTTTTTTTTTTTATGTTGGCACAAAGGTTGGATTCTTCCAGTAAGTGCTTAGACATATTGTACATTACGATACTCCCAAATATTTGACAGGGAAAATTAGATAAAAATGTTTTATGTTAAATAAGCAAGAACTTCAGAACTGGGTAGTGAGCAAGCTTAATAAGACTATTCCTAATACAACATCTGTGAAGCATATTACTGTTGGAAGTATTTCATATATATTCTCTCAAAAGCCGTGTAAGATATATCCGTATTATACCTCCAAGTAGATGCATACAACCAAGTGTTGAAGTGCATCCCCAGCTATTAACAGAAGTGTTTCTGCATAGGGTTCCATCCAGCCTAGAACAGGACACTTGGATTGCTGTTCACGGTTTGGGGGTGAGTTCACAGGATTGGTGGTGAGGATGAACAATGACTCCCCCTTTCCCATCTTCCTGAAACCACCCCCTACTGGGTTCGGGGCTGGATTCCAATCCATTTTTTAAAAAATAATATTTTTATTATGATTTTTCAACAAGTTTTAACATATTCAAAAATTCAAATTGCTTTTTACAATTTCAGTTCACCCCTCCCCCCCCCCCAGACTTCCCCCAGCTTCCCTTTCTGGTTTATAACATATTTGTTTGTTCTGCTTATAATTTTATATACCTTATATACTAAAATTAAAATAGTATTCTTAATCTATTCTTAACATTTTTACCTCATATTTGTGTTTTCTATTTATATTTGTCCATTGTAAGTGTTTTACTCAAATCCTGCAAGTGAGTTCATTTCAATGCATTATTTCTGTATATACATCATTGTTGTTTAGTCATTTAGTCGTGTCCAACTCTTCGTGACCCCATGGACCCGAGCACGCCAGGCACTCCTGTCTTCCACTGCCTCCCGCAGTTTGGTCAAACTCATGCTAGTAGCTTCGAGAACACAACCATCTCGTCCTCTATCGTCCCCTTCTCCTTGTGCCCTCCATCTTTCCCAACATCAGGGTCTTTTCCAGGGAGTCTTCTCTTCTCATGAGGTGGCCAAAGTATTGGAGCCTCAACTTCAGGATCTGTCCTTCCAGTGATTTCCTTCAGAATGGATAGGTTTGATCTTCTTGCAGTCCATGGGACTCTCAAGAGTCTCCTCCAGCACCATAATTCAAAAGCACCCATTCTTCGGCGACCAGCCTTCTTTATGGTCCAGCTCTCACTTCCATACATCACTACTGGGAAAACTATAGCTTTAACTATACGGACCTTTGTTGGCAAGGTGATATCTCTGCTTTTTAAGATGCTGTCTAGGTTTGTCATTGCTTTTCTCCCAAGAAGCAGGCGTCTTTTAATTTCGTGGCTGCTGTCACCATCTGCAGTGATCATGGAGCCCAAGAAAGTAAAATCTCTCACTGCCTCCATTTCTTCCCCTTCTGCTTGCCAGGAGGTAGTGGGACCAGTGGCCATGACCTTCGTTTTTTTGATGTTGAGCTTCAGACCATATTTTGCGCTCTCCTCTTTCACCCTCATTAAAAGGTTCTTTAATTCCTCCTCACTTTCTGCCATCAAAGTTGTGTCATCCACATATCTGAGGTTGTTGATATTTCTTCCGGCGATCTTAATTCCGGCTTGGGATTCATCCAGTCCAGCCTTTTGCATGATGAATTCTGCATATAAGTTAAATAAGCAGGGAGACAATATACAGCCTTGTCATACTCCTTTCCCAATTTTGAACCAATCAGTTGTTCCATATCCAGTTCTACCTGTAGCTTCTTGTCCCCCATAGAGATGTCTCAGGAGACAGATGAGGTGATCAGGCACTCCCATTTCTTTAAGATCTTGCCATAGTTTACTGTGGTTGAGACATGCTGTGGTTGACACAGTCAAAGGCTTTTGCGTAGTCAATGAAGCAGAAGTAGATGTCTTTCTGGAACTCTCTAGCTTTCTCCATAATCCAGCGCATGTTTGCAATTTGTTCTCTGGTTCCTCTGCCCCCTCTGCCCCTTCGAAATCCAGCTTACACTTCTGGGAGTTCTCGGTCCACATACTGCTTAAGCCTGCCTTGTAGAATTTTAAGCATAACCTTGCTAGCGTGTGAAATGAGTGCAATTGTGCGGTAGTTGGAGTATTCTTTGGCACTGCCCTTCTTTGGGATTGGGATGTAGACTGATCTTCTCCAGTCCTCTAGCCACTGCTGAGATTTCCAAACTTGCTGGCATATTGAGTGTAGCACCTTAACAGCATCATCTTTTAAAATTTTAAATAGTTCAGCTGGAATGTCATCACTCTCACTGGCCTTTCTAAGTGCTTTCTAAGGCCCATTTGACTTCATTCTCCAGGATGTCTGGCTCAAGGTCAGCAACCACACTACCTGGGGTGTACGAGACATCCATATCTTTCTGGTATAATTCCTCTGTGTATTCTTGCCACCTCTTCTTGATGTCTTCTGTTTCTGTTAGGTCCTTACCACTTTTTGTCCTTTATTATGGTAATCTTTGCACAAAATGTTCCTTTCATATCTCCAATTTTCTTGGAACAGATATCTGGTTTTTCCCATTCTATTGTTTTCCTCTATATCTTTGCATTGCTCTTGTCTCTCTCGCATTTTGCTTGCCTTCTCTCCCCCGCTGTTTGTATGGCCTCATTGGACAGCCACTTTGCTTTCTTGCATTTCCTTTTCATTGGGATGGTTTTCGTTGCTGCCTCCTGTATAATGTTGCGAGCCTCCATCCATAGTTCTTCAGGCACTGTCCACCAAATCTAAATCCTTAAACCTGTTCCTTATTTCCACTGTTTATACATAAGGGATTTGATTTAGATTGTATCTTACAGGCCCAGTGATTTTCTCTACTTTCTTCAAATTAGGCTTGCTATAAGAAGCTGATGATCTGAGCCACAGTCAGCTCCAGGTCTTGTTTTTGCTGACTGTATAGAGCTTCTCCATCTTTGGCTGCAGAGAATATAATCAATCTGATTTCGATGCTGCCCATCTGGTGATGTCCATGTGTAGAGTCGTCTCTTGTGTTGTTGGAAAAGAGTGTTTGTGATGACCAGCTTGTTCTCTTGACAGGCCTTTGCCCTGCTTCGTTTTGAACTCCAAGGCCAAATGTGCCAGTTATTTCTTTTATCTCTTGACTCCCTACTTTAGCATTCCAATCCCCTATAATGGGGAGAACATCCTTCTTTGGTGTCATTTCTAGAAGGTGTTGTAAGGCTTCATAGAATTGGTCAATTTCAGTTTCTTCAGCATAAACTTGGTTCATAAACTTGGATTACTGTGATGTTAAAAGGTCTGCCTTGGATTCGTATCAAGATTATTCTGTCATTATTGAGATTGCATCCCAGTACAGCTTTTGCCACTCTTTTGTTGACTATGTGGGACACTCCATTTCTTCTATGGGAGTCTTGCCCACAGTAGTAGATATGATGATCATCCAATCATCATATCTACTACTGTGGGCAAGACTCCCATAGAAGAAACTGAATTCGCCCATTCCCGTCCATTTTAGTTCACTGATGACCAGGATATCAGTATTTATTCTTGCTATCTCATTTTTGACCACATCCAGCTTACCGTGGTTCATAGATCTTACATTCCAGGTTCCTATGCAATATTTTTCTTTACAGCATTGGACTTTCTTTTCGCTTCCAGGCATATCCGCAACTGAGCGTCCTTTCGGCTTTGGCCCAGCCGCTTCATCAGCTCTGAATCTACTTGTACTTGTCCTCCGCTCTTCCCCAGTAGCATGTTGGACGCCTTCCGACCTGAGGGGCTCATCTTCCAGCGTCATAACTTTTATATGCCTGTTGCCTTTGTCCATGGAGTTTTCTTGGCAGGAATACTGGAGTGGCTTGCCGGTTCCTGCTCCAGGTGGATTACGTTTAGTCAAAACTCTTCACTATGACCTGTCCATATTGGGTGGCCCTGCACGGCATAGCTCATAGCTTCTCCGAGTTATTCAAGCCCCTTCGCCACGACAAGGCTGAGGCAGGGTGCATTGCCTAGTGAGTTTATGTCAGAAGAGGAGAGATTTGAAAAGAAGACTTCCTGGTTAGCATGACCCCCTCTCTCAGCAGTTACGCTACTTGCGTAGGGCTTGTGGGCACCGCTTTCCAAAGAATAGATTGCAAGCTGATACCGCCCTACTGCCAAGGAAGCACATTTCTATATTCAGTTCTTTTGCTTTGCATTGTTAAGAGATAAGGGGGCGGCAGGGGGTGCTGGAGGTGTAAATGACTATCAGGCTTGAAAAGCTGGTATCACAGCATCAAGTTCATCCATTTTGTTGAATAAATTAAACCAAATGGTTTTAATTGGATTTTGAATTAATGTGCAATTAATTTTTATTGTTTTGAATTTTATTGTATTATCTTCCAAAGTGGGTTGTGCAAACTGTTATTCTGAACAGTGCCTTTTATAGGGTAGGGTAGGGGGCACTGGGGATGAGTTTATGGAACCCAGGAGGCAGTGGCCTGGAAAAGTTTGGGAACAACTAATGTAGACAATACTGAATTAGATAGTTGATCTGACTATCTCTCACTGCTAAAATAATCTGCCTTGGCATTCCTTGATGGGTTGTCTAAATGTAATTGTTTTATTGCATGCTTTGGATGTTTGTATTTTAAACATTTTGTAATGGGGTTTTATACTTTGTGAGCCACTTAGGATCCCATTTTGGCATTAAGTGGTGTATAAATAAATAAACAAACTGTAATGTTAAATATCTATTCTAAATGCCATGGACTGGAAGTGTTACTGAGCCACATGCTAGTTGTCAATCGGTAGGTTGTTGTTGTTGTTTAGTCATTTAGTCGTGTCCGACTCTTTGTCCGACCCCATGGACCAGAGCACGCCAGGCACTCCTGTCTTCCACTGCCTCAATTGGTAGGGCTTGCCTTTAAAAGACTGTTTTATTTCTCCTTGCAGGTCTCTTGATTCACTTTTGAACAAAGGCACGCAAGGGCTGCCTGTCCTCGATTCACACTTGGTAGAGATAGAAGGTGACACCGTGTACTTATATGGCTCTGGAGCTCTGGAATCCCTTGATCGAAATTGGAGTGTACAGACGGCTGGGAGCATCACCACAATCTCCTTTAATTTCATAGACTTTGATGAAATTGTTCCAGTGTTGCCAAAACTGAGGATCAGATTTCCCAATTCTCTAGTAAGAAGTTTTGTTCTTGATCTTTTAGCAATCTGGGACAAGAGGCAGGATGCCCAAATGTCTAATTTGGTTCAGAAAAGAATCTACAAGATGCCCTTCTGGATCAGGCCAAGACTCCATTTGGTTCAGCCTTCTGTTTCCCACAGTGGACATCAAGATTCCTCTGGAAAAGCCCACAAGCAGAACATGAGGGCAATAACACTCTCCCTTCAGTACTCCCCAGTATCTGCCTCTAATTGTGGAATGTGGAACCAGGGTTTAGTAGTTTGACCATTTGACTCAGGCTGAGGAGACCCATGGCCATGAGGCTCACTTGGTGACTTTGGCCAGCCACATTCTCTCAGCCTGACAGGCTTGCTGTGAGGGAGGGAGCACCCTGTACACTACTTAGAGCTTCTTGGAGGTGGGATAAAGAGATAAATTCTGTTTAGCCATCATGGCTAACAGTGATGAACAGATCTCCTTCTCCATGAAGTAGTATAATTCCCCTTTAAAACTTTCTGATTTATGACCGGTGCCACGTCTTGTGGCAAGGCAAGAAGTACTTTTCTTTTGCTTGTCCTGAACCCACAGCCAACCAGTTTTACCTTCTACCTTTTGTGGATGTCATTTGACTTAGCTTGTCTGTCTCTCTTATTTGTGTGGCATACCACATGCAGCAGATAATTTACCATACAACCCATGGATGGCAGACATTCACATTGTAGCAGAAAATGTGTGAATGTTCTCAGGTGGCCTCCTGAGACATTATGTGGCAAGTAGTTGTGCTCAAGATTGGGCAAACTTGTAAAAGCAGAATTTGGCAATTGCTGATGACTGCTATGATGGAATGACTGAAGTTTGCTCTTCTCGGCCATAGAAAATAATTAAGTGAAGAGCAGATTACATCACTGCATAGATAAATTGGCACCCAGACTACACCCACGCACCCTCAAGCACATAGTCATGTGTGTTTAAGTAGAAGTTTGCGCGCTAACTTGGGCAAACAAGCATGGAAATATCCAGAAACAAGCCATTGTAGCCTTCTAGCCATCTAGTCTGTACCACCACTGCTCCTTTTGCATGCCTAGAAGAGAGAGACAAGGTGAGTAGAGGAAGCTCTACCTCCTTGCTTGTATTTGTACATGTGTGCTTGGAGAGAGCAGGTGAACAGCAAAGAAGAGGAGGAGGTCCAGGGGTGAGTAGTAGTAGTAGTAGTAGTAATATATTTGTTCCCCCGTCCATCTGGCTGGGTTTTCCCAGCCACTCTGGGCAGCTCCCAACAGAATAATAATAATAATAATAATAATGGAGCAACAAAACATCAAACATTAAAAACTTCCCTAAACGGCTGCCTTCAGATGTCTTCTAAAAGTCAGATAGTTGTTTCTTTTCTTGATGGGAGGGCATTCTACAGGGCGGGCACCACTACCGAGAAGGTCCTCTGCCTGGTTCCCTGTAGCTTCACTTCTCACAGCGAGGGAACCGCCAGAAGGCCCTTGGAGCTGGACCTCAGTGTCCGGGCTGAGCAATGGGGGTGGAGATGCTCCTTCAGGTATACTGGGCCGAGGCCGTTTAGTGGGCTCCCTGCTTGGATGTGGGTGTCAGCATGTGCTGAGTGATTCCAGGGTCTAATAAAGGTCCTGTCCAGCTCATGAATACTCACTGCAAGAGTCCCAGGACCTTGGTTTACTGCCAGGTCCAGCTCAAGATGATTTGCTGTCTGAGGCAAAGGATAAGATGACATATCCACTCCTTATACAGAAGCTGCCTTGGCTGGCAGTTAAATCTTCACCACTGGCAATGGGAGAGCATCCCCCATTGCACTTGACGGCAGCAGGATGTGTGGTACCCGGCTATGTCTGCTCCACATCCCTCAGCATCTGGCTAATGGTTGGCTGGTCTTGGCTATTGCCCTATTAGGTACGTTGTGCTGGGTCTCAGTGCAAAGGCCTAATGTCAAAGCGAGTAGAGACCTTTGACTAGCACAGCCAATCTGGGGCTGTCTGATATTTCTCAAAATGGCCACCCAGCCCCTTGCAATCATTGTATCTTCCACTAAATGTCTAATGCTGCCTGCCTTCTTGTTTTGCTTGTTTCTTTACAGCACTTGAAATTTAAGGAGAACAACCTTGCTGTGTTGAAACAGTTCAATGCCTTAGCCCAACTTCGCCGCCTTGAGCAGCTAACAGTTGATGCTCAAGGAAATCCAGTTGTCACCTTCACCCTGTGGAAGTATTACGTGATGTTTAGACTGGGCCATTTCAACCTGCAAAAAATAAATGGAATGGAGGTAAGAATAGGCAGCATTTTCAAGGGGGGGCATTCAGACACCTTAGAGCTGGTTCAGTTGGTCTTATCACTGACTCACTTCTGCAAGAGAAATTGCTTGTGTGAGAGGTCTACTCACAGTGTAAAACAATCTCAGTATGATTGCAGGAGTCCCACAACAGGGCTGTCTCATCTCCAAGGAGCCCCAGTTACAGAGGACGTGCAAGAGTTTTTCCTGCCTCTTTTGCATTGCTTACATGAATTGGTTGTTTATCTGAGCCATTTTTCTGGTGTTTCACAAGGCGACAGATCTGTCTGTTGAGCCAGCTGTCATTCCAACAGCAAAAAAAGAAAGAATGAAGTCATTATAGAAGCTAAGCAAGAAATCCGGAGGTCAGGAAGCAAAAAATAAATAAATTAGGATCTGTGCTGCAATTTTTGTTTTGTTTTTGTTTTGCAAAACTATTCTATCTTTTGTTAAGTTCAGTATGTTTAATTGGTTATATTGGTCATACAGGAAAGCCTTAAATTAACTGATAATTGGAAACCATTGTTTATAATTTGTTACAAACTGAGCTTATATTAGATAACTAATGAAATATATACCTAGGAGTACAAATGACAAGATTTACTTTCCAATTCTTTTCTGGCATGCATTAACCATGGAGTGGGGGGGGGGGGATCACTAAACTCAACTGAAACCTCCCAGAGGGAGGAGAAAGAAAGCCAGGGAATAGTTACCCTATAGTAACTCAGGACCTTATAAAGCAGAACATGCCATAAAATTTCTAATACCTCAGTTTGGACATTTTTCTTAGCTAAGCATAACTTATATTTATGAGAAATTGTAGAGCCATCTTGTACTATCAAGCAAAATGAATGCCTCCCTTTTCAGTCTGTCTTACCCTTCACACTGTCCAGCCTGGTCAGCAGCAGGGCCAGAGGATGGGCTGCTTTGTAACCCAGCAGCATACGGATAGCCAGCCAGGTTCCCTACCCCTGTTCTGTGGAAACAAGCCAGTGTTAAGCCTTGGCTTATGGAGCTGGCTTGTTTCAGCAATTCAGATTTAAGATTTACCATGCAATGGATAAATGCAGTTGGGTTAAATTGTAGTGAATCTAAAATGGAAGTGGAAGCTTCCACTCTCTTCCTTGCAGCCATATTGGAGGAGGGAGAAGAAAATATGTGAGCTGGAGGATCCCTGCAGCTAAGTCTGCAATATGAGGGGGGAGAATAATGGCTCTGCAGAGAGAGTGTGTAGGTAATGGGCTTTTGAAAGATATTATAAAGGCTATGGCACCATATGAATGAGTGTCTCCGTCCCCATCGTTCAACCCAGACCCTGAAGTCCAGCTCTGCGGGCCTTCTGGCGGTTCCCTCACTGCGAGAAGCAAAGTTACAGGGAACCAGGCAGAGGGCCTTCTCGGTAGTGGTGCCCGCCCTGTGGAACGCCCTCCCACCAGATGCCAAGGCAATAAACAACTATCTTGACGTTTAGAGGACATCTCAAGGCAGCCCTGTTTAGGGAAGTTTTTAATGACTGATGTTTTAATGTATTTTTAATCCTTTGTTGGAAGCCTCCCAGAGTGGCTGGGGAAACCTAGCCAGAGGGACGGGGTATAAATAAATTAACAACAACAACAACAACAGCAACAATTTATTTTTATTATTTATTTATTTATTTATTTATTTTGGGGGAGGATGCTCCATAGGTGGATCTATGAGTAATGCAGTGAGCTCATAGAATCAGGCCCAAGTCCCAGCCACTCTATCTGGAGGTGATAAAAAATTCTACTCTACCTTATGGTTGTTGTAAGAATGATTGTGTGAAATGCTTTGAAACACTATGTATTATTATTTGCAATAATTGCCAGTTTGGTTGCAGTCTTGCTGTGCAGCGTCAGGCAAAATGATAGTCAGTTTTAGTTCTTTGTCTATAAAATGGAGGTAATTATGCCCTGTATGCCATGGCGGTTGTGAAAGGAGGAAGCTTGCAAAGTACTTGTGCATGCTGCAGCACAGACTCGTTAATGCTAAGTAAGAATGGGCACAGGCCATGCAAAAGAAAGCAGGTTTCAAATCATAGAATTGTGGAGTTGGGAGGGGCCCATAGGGTCAACTAGCCCCACCCCCTGCAATGCATCTATAGAAGTGGGAGACATTTTACTGAGTTATTAAACCAGGGAGCCCACAAATACAGTATCCAGTGGCAACCTTTCATTTTAATTTTGGTGTAAAATTCTGCAGTAAAATTCTCTAACCAACGTAATCTACTATAGCAGAAAAGGCCACCAGCAATACAAGGAGGCCTCTGTCAAAATGGCACCAGGATGTTAGGCTCTTGTTATGAGCTGGAGGGAAGGTGGGGGAACAGGCACACACAGAGGTGACCAGCTGCTCCCCCCCGCAAAACTGCACACTCAGCTGTGGGTACAGAAGGGACCTGCTTGCTTGCCTTTGCAGGTGTGGATACTGAGGTGCTGACCTTCATTGGCTACCAGAAACCATGACTGCCAAACCCAGTCATTTTTGGAAACTTGTGCAAAACCTTTCTGGTGAAATATAATAATAATAATAATAATAATAATAATAATAATAATAATAATTTATTATTTGTACCCCGCCCATCTGGCTGGGTTTCCCCAGCCACTCTGGGCGGCTTCCATAGAAACAAAAATACAGTAAAATATCACAGATTAAAAGCTTCCCTGAACAGGGCTGCCTTAAGATGCCTTCTAAATGTCAGGTAGTTATTTATTGCTTTGACATCTGATGGGAGGGCGTTCCACAGGGCGGGCGCCACTACCGAGAAGGCCCTCTGCCTGGTTCCCTGTAGCTTTGCTTCTCGCAATGAGGGAACCGCCAGAAGGCCCTCGGCGCTGGACCTCAGCGTCCGGGCAGAACAATGGGGGTGGAGACGCTCCTTCAGGTATACTGGGCCGAGGCCGTTTAGGGCTTTAAAGGTCAACACCAACACTTTGAATTGTGCTCGGAAACGTACTGGGAGCCAATGTAGGTCTTTCAAGACCGGTGTTATGTGGTCTCGGCGGCTGCCCCCAGTCACCAGTCTAGCTGCCGCATTCTGGATTAATTGTAGTTTCCGGGTCACCTTCAAAGGTAGCCCCACGTAGAGCGCATTGCAGTAGTCCAAGCGGGAGATAACCAGAGCATGCACCACTCTGGCGAGACAGTCCGCGGGCAGGTAGGGTCTCAGCCTGCGTACCAGGTGGAGTTGGTAGACAGCTGCCCTGGATACAGAATTGACCTGTGCCTCCATGGACAGCTGTGAGTCCAAAATGACTCCCAGGCTGCGCACCTGGTCCTTCAGGGGCACAGTTACCCTATTCAGGACCAGGGAGTCCTCCACACCAGCCCGCCCCCTGTCCCCCAAAAACAATACTTCTGTCTTGTCAGGATTCAACTTCAATCCATTAGCCGCCATCCATCCTCCAACCGCCTCCAGGCACCCACACAGGACCTTCACCGCCTTCACTGGTTCTGATTTGAAAGAGAGGTAGAGCTGGGTATCATCTGCATATTGATGGACACCCAGTCCAAATCCCCTGATGATCTCTCCCAGCGGCTTCATATAGATGTTAAAAAGCATGGGGAGAGGACGGAACCCTGAGGCACCCCACAAGTGAGGGCCCAGGGGTCTGAACACTCATCCCCCACCACCACTTTCTGAACACGGCTCAGGAGGAAGGAGCGGAACCACTGTATAACAGTGCCCCCAGCTCCCAGCCCCTCTAGACGGTCCAGAAGGATGTTATGGTCGATTGTATCAAAGGCCGCTGAGAGATCCAGCAGAACCAGGAAACAACTCTCACCTTTGTCCCTAGCTCGCCGGAGATCATCAACCAGCGCGACCAAGGCAGTTTCAGTCCCATGGTGAGGCCTGAATCCCGATTGGAAGGGATCCAAATGGTCCGCATCCTCCAGGCGTGCCTGGAGTTGTTCAGCAACCACGCGCTCAATCACCTTGCCCAAGAATGGAAGATTTGAGACTGGGCGATAGTTGGCCATACTGGCCGGGTCTAAAGATGGTTTTTTAAGAAGCGGTTTAATGACCGCCTCTTTCAGCGGATCTGGGAATGTTCCCTCACAGAGGGAAGCATTCACCACCCCACAGAGCCCATCGCCCAGCCCTTCCCGGCTTGCTTTTATTAGCCAGGATGGGCACTTTGAAGTGGATCACTTGGTGTCTTTTTATTAATTGCTTTGTTTGAAAATTTAACAAGAAAAGAAAAAAATGAATTAAAATGAAAAGAAGAGGAAGGAAAAAACACATTAATAATAATAAACAGAGATTTCGAATAGTAAGAGTAGACCTCATTCAGTTCATATTGTGGATAGAGTGACTATCAGTACATGAATCTTAAATTAAACATGTAAGTTAACACAAGCCCTTCAGCTGTCCAAATGGATGCCTGTGTGAAATATGTTTGAATGCAACCAGAGCAGTGAGGTCCTTGGCCCATTGTGTATTACCATGGCCCAGATGGTGCCACTTTGACCCCTCCATCTTTCCCCTTCTGCAGGTTACCCAGAATGACATGGTCATGGCCGAAAATCTCTTTGGTGTCTTAGCATATGTAGCATCTTCAGATGTACCCTACTGCCGCCTGCTTTCATTCCTCGGAGATTGCAGGTAAATATAAATACACACATGAGAGTCATTTTGCTTTGTATGCCAAGGCTGTGATTAGTTGCATACACATAGAGCTCCCCCGGGATTGTGCTTCCCCATTCAATTTAACAGAGGGGCAGCTTCTTTGTATGCACAAAAAGAAGCCTCCTGCGGATGTCCCTGGAGGCAGAGGCGGAGCAAGGCGGGTGCGGCGCACTTTGGGCGCCATCCTGATGGGGCTGACATTCTGCCCCCCCCCCGCGACTCCCAAGCCTACAGCGAGCTGGGGAAAGGGGGGAGCTGCAAAGCGGCGTGCAAAGACAAGCCTACCCACTAGCCATCGTCTGCGCGTGGCTTTGCAGCTCCAGCTCTCTCAGAGCAGCAGCCGCGGGCAGAAGATCCCACCGCCGCCCGTTGGCTCATGTAGCGACGCTGTGCATGCGCCATACGTATGGCGCACATGCATGGTCGCCAGGCGGTTTGCCCCACCCCCTGACACCCAGCACCGGGGGCCGGTTAGCCTTCCTTCACCCCTGCCTGAAGGAGCGCTATGAGAGCATCTCTGAAGACATTTGGCATAGACAGTACAGTAGTGGGACAGGCGGACTGATTTTGTTTAGTTTGCCTCCCCCCTCATGAGCCTGCATGAGAACGCCATTCCACCCTAGAGATCACCCTTCAAGTCCCCTGATGCACAACAAATAGGGCCCTGGCAGAGAACCACCTTCTTTTGTGATACCCACAAAACGGAAGGTCCTCCTTAGAGAGGTACATCTCCCCTTGACTGCCACGTGCAATTGCTCAGAATTGTGCCATCTGTAAGGTTGTGCTTCCTCCTTCTTCTTTAACTCTGCTGTTCTGGTATGTTGACTTTCAAGTAGAGATTCATCACAAATGGCTGTTTCCATTCTGCTGCAGATGGTTTCTGCCAAATACTACGTTATTTTTCTCACAGTATGCTAGTTAATGTAGGTAACTTACATTCATTACAGTGTAAAGGAAACGTCAAACAATGTGAAGATAATTAATTAATTATGTATTGTTTGTGGACTTAAAGCCCCCGCCCACAACATAAATGAATAACTCTCGTATCTGCTTGAATGATTTTCATTCCTGATCACAGACAAATACACAAACCAGCAATTTCCACTTCCTTTTTAATTTTGCATGGAAATCTAGTGCGCATGTGTCTGCCATCATTGTGCTACTTCAGTGGAGACTTCTTCATTCCTTTTCTCTGGAGACTTCAGTTTCAGATTTTGCCTACAACCACAAGGTGGCAATATCTTCCCATAATGATGGCAGATTATGTTCCTGGGACGCGGGTGGCGTTGTGGGTTAAACCACAGAGCCTAGGGCTTGCCGATCAGAAGGTCGGCGGTTCGAATCCCTGTGACTTGGTGAGCTTCTGTTGCTCGGTCCCAGCTCCTGCCAACCTAGAAGTTCGAAAGCACGTCAAAGTGCAAGTAGACAAATAGGTATCGCTCTGGTGGGAAGGTAAACGGCGTTTCCGTGCTTCACTGGTTCGCCAGAAGCGGCTTAGTCGTGTTGGCCGCATGACCCAGAAGCTGTACGCCGGCTCACTCGGCCAATAAAGCGAGATGAGCGCCGCAACCCCAGAGTCGTCTGCGACTGGACCTAACGGTCAGGGGTCCCTTTACCTTTAGATATCCCTTTCACAGGTAATACAAACTGTTCTTTCCCCAACTTTCCTGCTTTTAGGTTCTTATCTTTAACTATTATTCCTCAGAGCCACTTATTTCACTTATTTTATTCCGTGACCAGCCACTCTCAAAATGGTGAAGGCGCTGCTCCTTTCGCTTTCCCACTAGAGCTGGCTTGCATCTCCCCTCCTCCGAATCTGAGCTAGAACTGAACCCTTGCCTTTCCTGGGAACATCCTGTCCCTCCCTGTTGTCCCTCTTGCTCTCTTCTATTAGCTTCACTGCTCTCCTCCCCCCTTGGGGAAAGCTTTCTCCATCTGGGAAACTGGGAACTTCTAAATCTAACTCTTCCCTGACAGATGACTCCTGTAGAAAGGCAGAATTAAAAACAGCCACCCTCCCTTTATTTATTTAGAAGATTTAATAAACCACTTAACACAAAAGTTCCAAAGCTGTGCTCATAGAGCATTATTATCCTAATGTTAACATAAAGCAGCTTCATAACTTCAATTAGGCTCACATGTCTTGGTGGATCCACTGAGATAGTTGGTCTGGGGGTTTACAGTGTGTTGTCATCAATAATGGGTGGAACCCAAAGTTCCTGAGAGATGGCCTCCTCCCCTGCTATTCTTCCAGCTCCCTAAGATCACTAGGAAGGGTCTTTCTTTGGGTCCCACTTTGGGTGGAGACATGGTTGATGATGACTCGAGAGACGGCCTTGATAGTGGATTGTGGAAAACCTTGCCCTGTTAAATGGATGGCTTCCTTTCTGGACATTTTTTGCTGGCTGATATCTGATGTTTCTTTAAATGGATTTGTTATGTTTTTTATATTTGTGTTGTGATGGGAAGTTTAATCACATTAAACAGGACGTTGGATTTTCTGGCCTCTGGGATTCGTTCGCCCAGTGGCTCACTGGCTGGTTGCCAAACCTGACTTGGCTTCGTAATCTTTTTCAATATGCTATTGTCATAATATGTATATTAATTTTGCTATGCTGCTTCATCCAATGCATTCCTGGTCTCATGCGTCTTTGGTCTCAGTTTCTTTCTCCTCCTCAGCCACCTAATAAAATCATTGCTGCCTACTTTGCGAAGTGGCAGCACCACCAGTAAATAATAGGGGAGATGTGGGCAGACTTACTTCGGGTATGCGCTGGCATACCACGTATCCCGAAGTATTTTTGTCCCATCCACCCTGAAATCACAAAGCAACATTTCGCAAAAAACAAAAAAAGAAAGGGGGAGATGATGGGAAGTTCTGCCTTTGCACATGAGTCTGGGAATGTTCAGTTCACATTGAGTTCATCATACCCTGACCTGTTCTTAACGCATTGTTGACCACATCTACGGAATGCGATTGTTATGCTCTTTTCAAGTCATGCAATATCAATCACTAGTAATAGTTTATTAAGACATGCAATATCAATCACTAGTAATAGTTTAACAAGGAGGATTTCATACCTGTCTAACCATGTGTTCCCTTTCCCAACCTTTAATCTATTGATGATTAATGCCGATATACAACCCTTGCATTGTATTTGTGTTAACCAATCAGCAACAAGCACATATGTGGCAATGCTGTAATATTCAATAAAAGGGACTCTCCGAGACATGCTCGGTAGATGCCTCCCATATGATACTTGCCACTTGTCTGTCGTTTATTTCAACCCAACAGTGTTGTTTTTATTCTTTGTATTTTAATATATATGTTATTGTATTCTTATTTTAAAATGTTGTCGGTTGCCCTGCATGATGGCATGGGAACCAGAAGGGCAAGATAGAAACATTCATATAAAATTCAAATAAAGAAAATGTTTAGTTTCACTACTACTTTTTTCAGTTTTCATTTTGGTCCATCGCCAATGTGTTTAGATTTCCCAAACCCCACCCCTACTTCTCTCTCTCTCTGAGACTCATTTACAATACAGTCATACCTCATGTTACGTTTGCTTCATGTTACATTCTGTCAGGTTGTGTCCCGTGGCAACCCGGAAGTACCCGTTACTTCTGGATTTCGTCGCTCGCACATGCGCACAAGCACTAAATCGCGTTTCGCGCATGCACACAAGCTCCAAATCATGCAGCACACCTGCGCAGATACAGCGCTTCAGGATGCGCTCTTTTCATGTTGCGAACGGGCCTCCGGAACGGATCCCATTCACAACCAGAGGTACCACTGTATCTGTCAAACACATCTATCAAGGGGCTGCAGTTCTGAGATAACAGAGGAATACCTTGCAAGAATCGGGCAGCAAGATATTCAGTAACCAGGAAACCATGAATTTGAATGGACAAGCACAAATGAAAGGTTACTCAGGCAATGGCCAAGCTACAATAATTTAGCTCTGTAAATCTCTCTCCCTCCTGCCTTGCCTGTCCTTAGGAAGAAACAATTGTGTTATCTTTTGGAAGCAAAGGGGAAGAAATTGGGGACTGCCAGTGAGGATGGCAATGATCGCCGAAAGCTGGGAGGAGAGAATGCCAATCGGCTGGCGCTGAATTACACCACGAGAGATTCCCAGACAGAAAAGCTGGAGGTAAGGAGTTCCAGGTGGAGCAGACACTTAAAAAATTCCCAACTGTTTGTTTTTGTTACAGTAGCTCATTTACTTTTTAATGGGTTTATCATATATTTTCTTCTGCTTCGAACAGCACAGTTGACTTCTATCTAGTGAAACAGTTTATTTTGAGATTTAACTGGAACATAACCAATACCTCCTGCTCTGCAACCTAGCGGTAGCACTATTAAAAATATTCATAAAGCTGGCATATGCACATTTGTTGTAAATGGAGATATTCAGCACAGGCTGGACATACCCAAAGACATTCTCTTTCTCCTCCTTTGTTCTGCTGTAAAATGAATATAAACAGATTAGGGTTTCACGGGCAGAAAGCTGCTGATATATATTTGGTACAGATGTGCAGCTGGGAATGAGCAAATACAGATGTATTTATTTTTATTGACCACCTTTCAGCAAAGAGAGTTCCCGGGTTTAAAATTCACTGTTCAATCAGTTGGTGGTGTGGGATGGGGGGGGCAGCCAAAGTGTATGAGAGAGGTATGGTATCTTCTACTACCATCTCCACCAAGTGCCTTGGTGGCCTTCTAGATTTCCAGCAGGCTTAGTGCCCCTCCAGACACTCCCAACTGCTTTCCAACTGCAGCACTTAGGGGCCCTTGGTGGGGAACAGTTACGTAATTCGTTTGTCATTGAGAAATGTGTGTTGTTTAGGGGAGACCTCTGAGTGGCTAACAGTATGGTCTTACACATGTCCTAAATCCCATTGGGTGCAACAGCACATATATCCAGGCAATTGTGTTTAGAATTGCCTGGATATAGGCAAAAAAGTAGTAGAAGTAGAAGATAGAAGACAGATTAAAACATTATGTAAAAACTCCTGTAAAAAAACAACCCACCACCAAAAGAGGGCACAGTAGTCTACATTCCTTTTTCTTCACCACTTGTAGGATCTGCGTAGTCTTCAAAGGCAGCCCACTTCATAACATACTGCAGTAGTCTAGCCTGCATGTGGCCAGGACATGAGACCACCTTTTGTATATTAATAGGTGGGCCTGAAGCTGAGGCCAGTTAGTGCTTTTTATGGCCAAGGTCAATTATGAACAGAGGCCCTTCCCCACTCCCAGAGCCACGTGTACAGAATTCTTATAAAGATCAAGAAAAGTGAGGCTGTGTAACAGGGATTTGAAGCAGTAAATAGTATGCAAGACAAGCTAATAACAAGGCTTCACTTCATGATTCCATCACGTCTCAAGAAAAGACTATGTAGCAAAATAAGGTCCCTTGAGGAATCTCGCAACTGGGTAAATTGCAGATTTTTTGGGGGGTGTGTGTGTGTTAGGAAAGGCAATGTTCCACATGTGCCTGTAGATCAGGGGTATCCAACATGGAGCCCTCTAGGTATTGTTGGACTCCAACTCCCATCATCCTTGACCAATGGCTGTGTTCCTAGGGCTGATGGGAGTTGGAGTCCAGCATCTGAAGGGCACCACATAGGCCTCCCCTGCTGTGGATTTTACCAAACATCCTATGGGAACAAGTAAGAAGAAGAGTAACTGCCAGCTCAGCTTGTCATCAACTGCAAACTATCATCATAAATGTGACGGGTAGTTCACCCTTGAGGGCAGCAAGTTAATGTTACATTTTCAGATCGAGGCAGCTGGAAGGGATTTTCCCTCTCTTCTACTACCCATTAAAAACAGTTCTATGTGGTTTGCAGGAGCAAGTCATGACCTCACATTTTCAGCTGGGCTATAAATCAGTTGGATTAAACATTGTGACAGCTTCCAAAGAGCCAATTGTCATAGGGCTTTGTGGAAAGCCTTGATAGAAGGGGATTAGAATAATTGAACAAGAAAGCCTCAGTGTCACAACAATAGATTCTCCCCTCCCCACTCATCAGTGGAGGCCAAATTGCTTGATTTTCTAGATCTCATTGATCAAAAAATGTTTCCCGACACAGAAGGAATACTGGTGGGTGGGTGTAGAGAGGGAATTCAGAGATACAAATTCAATACATAATAATTGGAAATGGTGCTCTATGGCACAATATTAAAGTACACTGCCTAACAAACTTTTTCATAACAATAGACTTCCAACAGTATTGACAGTAGAAGTTGCTGCATCCAAATGATTAATGACTGCCAGCTTCCAGAAATACACACCAGTGTTGTTAATAGTTACATCCAAATACATTCCTGCCAACTGTGGCACTAAAAGAAACACACATCGTTGCTTTTTAAAGACTGCAATCCTTGCTATATAATTATATAACCTTTAGAAGACATCTGACGGCAGTCCTGTTTTGGGAAGTTTTTAATGTTTGATGTTTTATTATGTTTTTATATCATCATCATCATCAAACCTTTTATTGGCATCACATACAAACATCCATAGCAAATAAGTACAGAATTACCGCCTTCCCAGTGACACAAAACATTTGTCAAATGAAAGAGGCAAGGCAGTCTAACATTACATCTCTAGGTCTCCAGGGAGATCAAATGTCTGCAATGTGTTTCGACGACAAAAAACCAGATAAAGATATTTAGCCACTACCTTGGTGAGCTCCTGATTATTCCCCAATAATAGAAAATGTATGATCTCTAACTCTGGTTTCCATTTGGAGCTGCTGGCAGAGATCAACATATAGTTTACATTTAAGAACCGTATGTGTAAGAGTTTCCACCTGATGGTCTTCACATGGGCAAATTCTTTTCCTTCCACCATTCCCGAGAACCTTCTCCATAGGAGGTTTGAAGGATTTGAATTAAAATGCTCTTCTTTCTTGAGGATTAAGCAAAAATTCAAGATAATTGTGGTTAATTTCATGTGCCCAAGAAAGTTGAAAGTTAAGAGGGGAACATGTTTTCTCTGCTGCTGCTGCTAGTTCCTGGCGTTCAATGTCCCACAACCTAGTTTTTATTGTAGCCTTGGCAGATGGTGGGGACTTTGATCGCAAAGATTCCACTGACAGCCCAAGTTGCTGTACCGTTGTAGCCCTGGGGAAAGAAAGGGATCTAGCAAAACTTCACTAGGGAGAGGATCTCTATCTGTTGTGAGGCAGATGTTTAACCAGCATGTGAGAAATCTCGCCCAGGCTATGGTCTCTACCTTGTGTTGACCTCCCTCTAGACACAAGGCTGCATAGGGTACACAACGTGGGACAGCAAAAATCTTAAAATGGAAAGCTGCCTGCACTTGTTCTACCAGCTGGATAAACCCTGGCAGCCACACTGGAATTCCGTAGAGCAACTGAGCTATATCTTTGGCGTTGAAGACCTTGAGGGCAGAGGGGATATGTGAATTACCTCTTGTTATAAAGAAACGCATTGTGGCCTGCATAGACATCTTACAGGTTCACTGCCGTTGCACGGTGCGAGGACCATAGAAGCCTATGATGGAATGTGATTCCCAGGTAGCTGAATTCGAATACCTGCTGGATGGGTTTCCCACCAAATACCCAGCTATAGCTTTTGCGTGAATTATGTTTTTATATGTGTTGGAAGCAACCCAGAGTGGCTAGGGCAAGCCAGTCAGATGAGTGGGGTACAAATATTTAAATTATTATTACCCTACTTACCTGTGAGAAAGCCTCACTGAATTCGATAGGACTTACTTCAGAGTACATGTGTTTTGGACTTTGCTGCTATTGTTTAAGCAAAATGAAATACAAGAGGCGCTCCATATTTCCTTTTGCTCACATTGATTTTTGTGAGGGGAAGTTTGCTTTTGACTATTTGTGTCTTAAAACCATGGAGAGAAAAGGAAATTGGGACTGAGGGAGATGTTGGTATAAGGTCTGGAAGGGCATACGCAAGCTTGATATGTACATGTCTCACAGTCCCCCTGGCTACAGATTTTGAAAATGCATTTTGGTGTTTGATTCTTTTTCTCCTGTTGCAATTATTTTTCACTGTTTCCAGTGCCACCCCCACCGGATGAGCCGGGTATTATTATTATTATTATTATTATTATTATTATTATTATTATTTGTGGAAAAGTAAAAAGAGAAAACAGTAAATTAATGATAGATTTGTTTGTATTTTTGTACAAAGAAATGTTGTTTATTGTGCACTGCTGTGGTATGTTGCAGTGTTTAGTGCTTTATAAATATTCCAAACAATAAACAAACAAACAGTTGCCAAGCAAGGGAGAGCACATGGCACTAATGGCCACACCTTGCTTTGATATTGACATTTGAACTGGGCTAACATTTTGTATATTCATTTGAAGTGGAAAATACTTTGACAGCAGGCTGCTGTCTAAAGTGACTAGAATATTTTTGTTTTTAGCCTACCTTGGCTTGCTTTATAAGTTGAAAAATAGCTTCCTTTCTCTTCTGCCAAAGGGAGCTTGGCAATGCTCAAACACTTGTGTTCTCTTACCCCAGCAGAACCTGCTCTCAAAACGGATCCTTTGGTGTTCCTTGTTGTTCACTGAGGACCAACATTTCAGCCCGCTTCAGTCTTATGTCTCTGGCATTTTTTAAATTAAGCTTAGCTGCTCTGGAGGAATTTGTTTCCTGACCTTCACCCTTGAAAATGGCTCTTTTGCATAGGAAGCGAAGGACAGGAAGGACTTCTGCCATTCCTACATCCAAGACTTGGTGAAGGAAGCGGCTGACATCAATATGAAGAATGAGTCCTTGCAGAAGCTCTGGCCTCAGATGTTCATTGAACTCGTCAGAGACGCAGTGATTGAGATTCGCAATAAGGATTCCTACATGAAGCTCTGCCTGCAACGGATCGCCAGCCAGAAATCGTAGGGACATGGCTTCCTCTGCCCTTCAGGGCCACCCTACATTTTCCACAAAGGCCTAAAATAGTGTAAAAATTACCATCATTCTAGGACAGTGTGTATGTGTGTGTGTGTGTGTGTGTGTGTGTGTGTATATATATTCCATTGAAGAAGCCTCATTTTCACCGTAAAATGTTCCCTCTTTTGCATTTTCAGATGGAGTTCTTTTTCCTTGTTCAAATATACACCCGTGTGTCTATACACCAGCTTAAAGCAGCAATATGCAGGTAACTTGGTATCTGTGCTGTGGTTTACTGGCTGTTTTTTGTTGCTGATGCTGCTGTTCTTTTTTGCTAGAGCACTCAAATTACCAGGTAAAAAGTCCCACTCTCTCTTATCCTCATCCTTTCAGCCGTTTTCCTGATTTGGCACTATTGTTGTTTGAGTTGGGGCAGAACTTCTCGGATGGAAATACTGGATTGGGGGGATTGAAAAATCAATAAATTATTCTTTTTGTAAACCCCAAATTTGATCTTTAGAGAATTGCTTTCATTTGGTTACAATGGCACCCTGCAATGCTAAGCTTAAGGATTCAGTAGCAAAAGGTACTAATAGATCCTGCGAATACTAATAGATTTTATTTTTGCATTTTCTATTTTGCATAAACAAATGAATTAAATATGTAAACATATAATCACTTTTGCCTAAAAGAAAAGCTTCTGGTTTATTAGGAAAAGTTATCTTCAACATTTTTTCCAGTTCATTATATATCATTTATCATCTTTTATCATCTTACATGACCACCACACATGATAAAAAGTACCCTCTTTTTCTTTACATTTCTAGCACGTTTTAGACTCTTTTTTGTACATCATAGCTAATTTGCTGGAAGTTAAATACCAGTGATAACATCAATTTCATATAATTCTCCTTCAGAGTGTAACACACTGTATATCCCCCCCCAATTTTTTGTTATTAATTTTCACAAAATTATAAACAATCATAAATCATAACCTTATTAAAGTTATACTTATTAACATTGTTAAACAACTTCCTCGCTTCCCCTTGGTTAAATTTCAGTGTATATCCTTTTAACGGTTTTCCAAATCAGAATTCTTATAAACTTAACTTAATTGTTTAACATCTTTATATCTTTTCAATTTGAAATTAAACATATTAATTCAACACTTAACTTATAAAAAATCCTAAGCCAATCTAATACCCGCAAGCTGTTTCCAATTAATTTAACTTAACAAATTTAGCTAAATAATTATTAAATTTTGTCCATTCTTCCCGATACTCCTCCTCCTTCTGGTCGCGGACTCTTCCGGTTAGGTCAGCTAGCTCCGAAAAATCCATCATCTTCATCTGCCATTCTTCCACAGTTGGTTATTCTTGGGTTTTCCACTTTTTAGCTAGTAAAATTCTAGCAGCAGTTGTGGCATACAAAAATAATTTAACATATTTCTTGGGCAATTCCCGACCAATTATTCCAAGAAGAAAGGCCTCGGGTTTCTTTATAAATATATATTTCAACATTTTTTTCAATTCATTATAAATCTTTTCCCAGAAGTCTTTCACCTTGGGGCAGGTCCACCACATGTGATAAAAAGTTCCTTCTTTTTCCTTACATTTCCAACATAAATTATCACAGTTATGATAAATCTTAGCTAATTTAACAGGGGTCAAATACCATCTATACATCATTTTCATTATATTTTCCTTTAACACAGTACATGCGGTGAACTTAACCCCTTCCACAGTCTTTCCCAATCATCAAGCATTATGTGATGTCCAACGTCTCTTGCCCAATCTATCATCACAGATTTAACTTATTCATCTTTTGTATGCCACTCCAACAATAACTTATACATTTTAGACAAATTTTTACCTTTAGTGTCCAACAACTCTGTCTCCAACTTAGATTTTTCAGAAGCAAAACCGTTTTTTTTAAAATCCAGTTTGTACAATTCATTAATCTGGTAGTAATGTAGCCAGTTTAACTTATCTTTAACTTGATTAAATGGTTTTAATTTATATCCTTCTTAATCTTCCAATATTAAATCAGAATATCTCAACCATTTGGTATCCATGTTTAACTTTTTCTGGGCCTTTGCCTCCATTGGTGAAAACCACCTGGGCGTCTTTCTTTCTAAAAGATCTTTATATTTAATCCATACATTATACAATGATTTCCTAATTACCGTATTTTTCGCTCTATAGGACGCACTTTTTCCCTCCTAAAAAGCAAGGGAAAATGTGTGTGCGTCCTGTGGAGCGAATGCAGGGGGGAGGCAGGCGGGGAAAGCCCCCAAGAGCCGCACACAAGCTCCATGTGGTTCTTGCGGGCTTTTCCCCAGGAGGGAGAAGGGACTGACTGGCCGCATCAGTCCCTTCTCCCACCTCGTAGAAAAGCCCACATGAGCCATGCACCCTTTAAAGAGCGCGCGGCTTCTGCGGGAGGTGGGGGAATTCCCCCACCTCCTAGAAAAGCCAGCAGAAGCCGCGAAGCCCCTTTAAAGAGTGCGTGGCTCCTGTGGGCTTTTGCAGGAGATGGGGGAATTCCCCCACCTCCCGCAAAAGCAGGGAGAAGGTCTGGGAGAAGGGCACAGGCTGCCTGCAGCCTGTCTGCTGCTTCCAGAGCTGGGGGGGGTGTGTGTCATATTTTTTTCCTTGATTTCCCCCTCTGAAAACTAGGTGCGCCCTATGGTCAGGTGCGCCCTATGGAGTGAAAAATACGGTACATGGTTTTTAAATGTATTATGGGCCTTTACCTTGTCATACTATATATATGCATGCCAGCCAAACACATTTTCAAATTCCTCCAAATCTAATAGATCTGTATCTTCTAAAAGCATCCACTCTTTAATCCAGCAGAAAGCTGCTGCTTCAAAATAAATTTTTAAATCTGGCAGGGAAAATCGCCCTCTTTCTTTAGAATCCATGAGTAATTTATATTTAATTCTCGGTTTTTCCCCTGCCAGATGAATCTAGATAAAGCCTTCTGCCATTCTTTAAAACATTTTGCATTGTCTATGATTGGAAGGGCTTGGAACAAAAATAGCATCTTTGGGAGCACATTCTTCTTAACCACTGAAATCTGGCCCATTAGTGACAATTTTAAATTTGACCATATCTCCAGATCTCTCTTAATTTTGTTCCATAATTTCTCATAATTATCTTTGTATAAATTCAAGTTTTTCCCAGACAGATTCACCCCTAAGTATTTAACTTTTTTCACAAAATCCAGGCCCGTCTTTTCTTGTAATGATTTTCTTTCATCATTATCCAGATTTTTCTCTAATACTTTGGTTTTGCTCTTGTTCAGTCTAAATCCTACTACCTGTCCAAACTCTTGTATCAGCTCCAGTGCTTTAACTGCACTGGAGTCTGGATCTTGTAAAGTCAATACTAAATCATCCGCAAAGGGTTTTAATTTATATTGTTTGGATCCTTCTGTAATACCTTTAATTTGTTCATCCTTTCTAATCATACTTAGCAAGACCTCTAGGACTGAAATAAACAGCAGAGGGGAAAGTGGGCAGCCTTGCCTGGTTCCCTTCTCTATTCTAATTTCCTCCGATACCACATTACTTACAATAATTTTAGCTTTTTGTTCCTGAAAGATCGCTTTGATACCATTTTAAAAATCTTGACCAACCCCCATACTCTCAAAATTATATAACAATGTATCTTGGAGATTTATGTTATATGTCAAAGGCCTTCTCTGCATCAATAAACATTAACATTGCTTTACAATTCTTTCTTGCTTCCAGTTTTTCCAAAATATCCACAACATTTCTAATATTATCTTTCATATGTCCTCTAGGCAGAAATCCTGCCTGGTCCTTGTGGATATATTTAGATAGAACCTTCTTTAGCCTGTTAGCCAATATATTTGCAAAAATTTTGTAATCCACATTGAGTAGGGAGATTGGTCTATAGTTTTTAACATTGGATCTATCTTGACCCTGTTTAGGAATCAGAGTAATATAAGCTTCCTTCCAGGTTTCAGGTGCTTTGCCCCCTCACATGATGGTTACTTCTACCAGAGGTTGAATAAGCCAATCTTTCAGTGTCTTATAATATTTCGCTGATAGACCATCAGGTCCCGGTGTCTTGCTAAGCTGCATTGAATTTATTGCCTGTTCAACTTCCTGTCTTGTAATTAACCCTTTTAGTAGGATCTTTTTATCATCTGGAATCTTCTGCAAACCATTTTAATAAATTGCTCAATTTTTGCCAAATCCTCTTTGTCCTTTTTATACAGTTGTTTATAATATTTGTAAAAACATTTTCTTATATCTGCAGGGTTCTCTACAGATTTTCCTTCTGTTACAATATTTGTGATAGTACTTTGCTTTTGTCTCTTCGTTAACTGCCAGGCTAATAATTTCCCACATTTATTTGCAGTTTCAAAATTTCTTTGTCTCATCCTTCTTATCTTCCATTCTATTTCTTGGTTAACTAACTGTGAATATTGAATCTGTAGGACCTTAATTTCTTTTTGAATCTGCAAATTCTTTGGGTTTCCTCTAAGCTTCTTCTCTTTATCTTTTAATTGTTCCATAATTTTATCTTTTCTCTCATTCTGTGACTTTCTCCTAATAGAGTTTTGTTGTATCAGAAACCCTCTCATTACTGCTTTACTGGCATCCCAAATAACCCTTGTTTCCGTTCCCTGATTCATATTAAGTTCCAAATAATCCTTTAGGGTTTTTTGGGCTTTATTCACAATTGAAGTACTTCTCAACAAATCATCATTCATTCTCCATCCGAAGGAACCCTGTACAAACATTTTCAAGTCCATAGAAACTGCATTAGGATCAGAGCAAGTTTTAGGGCAAATTTCCGTTTTTATTACTTTAGGAAACAAGTCTCTGGATATCCATAGGTAGTCCATTCTCGAAAATACTTGGTTAGCATCTGAGAAAAAAGTAAAGTATTTTTCCATTGGATTTCTTATTCTCCATATGTCTGACAAGTCAAATTTGTCAGTCGAAGAAAGCCTTAGGTAGTCTGCCAGAGTTCGATACGTTTGATCTCTGAGTCCTATCCATCATGGTAGATGCAACAGAGTGTAACACACTGTAAATTTTAATCCTCTTGTCCATAGTCTCTCCCACGCTGCTCATTCAATGTTATAGCCAAAATGCTTGGCCCAGTGGATCATAACTGATTTGACCTGTTCATCTTTTGTTTGCCACTCTAATAGAAGGTTATACATTTTGGAAATGAACATAATTTTATTTCCTAACAGTTCCCTTTCAAACTGGGAGGTTTTATTTGAAAAACCCTTCTCTTTATCCAACTTAAACATTTCTTTAAATTGGTAATATTGCAACCAATCTGTTACTAATTCCCTTATATCTTCAAACCTCTTTAGTTTTAAATCCTGATCTACATCATTTCATAATTCTTTATAGGTTGCCCAATCATTTCTCATACTCTCTTTTTTCACCGATATTACTTCTAGTGAAGAGAGCCACATGGTGCTTTTTGTTCCAATAAATTTTTACATTTATCCAGAAAAGCTTTATGAACTTTAACCTTGTTATACCACAAATAAGCATGCCAACCAAATCTGTTATCATGCCCTTCAAGATCTAATATGGAACCATTTCCCAATGATATCCATTCCTTTAGCCAGCAAATACAAGACGTCTCAAAATAAAATTTCAAATTGGTAAGGAGAATCCGCCTCTCCCTTTAGCATCAGTCAATACTTTATACTTTATTCTTGGTTTCTTCCCCTGCATTCTTTAAAGCATCTTATATTGTTGATCCCTGGTACTGTTTGAAACAAAAATAACATTTTTGGTAGCACATTCATTTTTATCACAGATATTCTTCTCATAAGTGACAAGTTCACCCTTCCACGAATTTCTAGACTCTTTAACCTCTCTCCAAGCTCTGACATAATTATCTTTTAAAATATTTATATTCCTCAGTGTTAACCACACTCCTAAATATTTAATTTTCTTTTCAATCATTATTCCTGTTAATGATTGTAGATCATTTTTAATTAGGTCATTCATGTTTTTCACCATAATTTGTGTTTTGTTTTTGTTAAGTTTGAAACCTGCTACCCCTCCGAATTTGTTCTAAAACCCTTGGTACACTGACCATAGGTTCCTCTACGGATATCACTGCATCACCTGCAAATGCTGATATAAGAACTTATATGCTCTCTGCCCCACTGTTATCCCTTTGATTTCATTACCAGATCTAATTCTTTTAGTCAGAACCTGTAAAACCAATATAAGCAGTAACAGTAACAGGGGACAGCCTTGTCTTGTCCCCTTAGTTATTTTAAATTTTCCGGTTAAAACATTAAGAAACAATTGGAATTGGTCAGCCTGAGGGCTCCTTCACACACCAAAAGAGGTTTTAAGTGTAATGTGCAAGTCCAACTCACATTTTGTACAAATACACTCATTAGGGATTAGTGTCAAGTTCCGTTTGAGCATACACTTGATAGCAAATGCATGTTTGCCTTCGGATAATGTATGAAGTGGCTCCAAGTTAAATGAGAACATACAATACAGTCCTACAAGCTAAATGTTTGGGTGCATTATTTTTATATTCTTTCAAAGCGATCAGGGTGCGGTTTTGTGTGTGTGTGTGTGTGTGTATTAAACTATTATGATAGAAAAGGAAAAGAATGGGAAGGGAAGGGAGCAGTAAGCATCTGTAGGCCACCAACTCTTTCACATTGTTACATAATCTGCATTTAAAATTATCCAGGCAATGGTTTGGATTCCTGGTGGAGTGGTCAGTACAGGAGGCAGTCCTGGAAAAGGAGCAGCTAAACAACTGTTGGTCCCAGCGAGGCCAATGGAAGGGGCCTCACTGTTCCTCTTCTTCCTGTGAAGCAGCTGATAGAGGCAGTTCTGGGAGAGGAGCCAAAGGACAGTCCCTGCTAAGCTGATGTAGGGGGCTTCACTGCCTCCTCTATTTCTCAGAAGCAGCAAATGGGCTGGTCTCTGGTGGAAACTGTTGTTTATAACTAAACAAAAGTGACTCATAGCAGCTTACTAAAACAATATAAACACTTGAACCAGCTACAACAAGCACAACCAAGCATCTGGAAGGCTCCAGGTGCTCCATCCTTGATCTTAAAAAAAACTGCCAGGGTGACAGGTAGACATCTAAAAACCTTAAAATGCAAAGCTCAAATGAAACAAGAGCATTACAAAATAGAGCCAGGCAGAAAGTGTTGGCATTCCCTACAGAAAAACCCTAAGGGCTCTATGCAGCCAAGGTGTACTCAGAGCAGACTCACTGAAATGAATGTACCAAAGTTAGGCATGTTCATCAAAAATCTACAAGTTATGGATCTAAAAGGTCTGGCCATTAAAAAAGTGTTTTTGTCTAAAAAGAATTCTTTTGGTGCTATTGTAGTAAAGCTGGGCAACCTCAGTGAAATGGCTGCATCGCCATCGTTCAGTGGCAGAGTATCTGCCTTGCACACAGAGGCTCCCAAGTTCCTTCTGTGGCATCTCCAGGGAGGACTGGGAGATGCCCCTTGTCTGAAACTTTGGAGAGCTGCTGCCCTTCAGTGTAAACATACTGAGCAAGATGGACCAGTGGACTGACTCAGTGTAAGGCAGCTTCCTGTGTCAACCATCCATCTCACTTCTGAAGGTGGGGAAAAGAGGGCATAGGGAGAGGCTTCTGAGAATGACCTCAAGGCTCTGGCAGGTTTGTGCAGGAGGAAGGTCAATTACGAATCAAACTAACTAATAGCTGTTGTCAGATTTTTCTTAGGATGCCTTCCTTGTTGATCTCAATTTTTGTTCAGAGGTATCAGGCAATTGCATCCAGGTGAGTGTGATGCTCCGAGTGGGGGTGAATCTGTTCATTTGCATGCCTCAGGGGAAGAATTATTGCAGCAAGGGGAACTTGGTGTCCTGGTTACCTGCTCTTTCAGATTAGGTTTCTTAGCTGAGTGATCGCCCAGCATCATCCCTGAACTAATACACGGCTAGGAACATAATTATCCTTTGGGTTTCTCACTTCTCCTAATTTTGTTGTGCATCTCTTGGCTCAAGTAACATAGAGATAAGAAACATATTTGAATAAGATGCATATTTTTATATGGACTGCTTGCACAGTAAGGGTGTGTACCAAGTCCTGAAGCCTTTCACGGGTTGGACATGTTTTCCCATTTGTTATGCATTCTTGTTCAGAGTAGGAATCCAGATCTTGATGACTAAGGCTGTATCTCGTTTCCTGCTTTGGAAAGAGGATCTTAAAGGGAAAAAGTGAGTGTGTGCTCTTTTGTTTATCTGGAGAGTCTCTGTAGCATGAAAGGAGCAGCAATTCAACATGATGTGCCTTTGCCAACATTGGGAAAAGAACTAAAGGGGTGGGGGGTGGACTGGAGGTTTTTCATTCACATGCAACCCATGTTAGATAAGTTGCCTTGTTTGCCAATAAAGATCTGTATCTCCAAAGAGCTTCTCCATCTTGTGATCAAACTCTGAGCCACCTTGGCACAAGTTTGTATAAGCCATCTCCCCTTTTCATCATCTTAATAATTACAAGCCTTTGAAAGTACAAATTGAAACTATCCTGAAGCTCAGCCTGTCTCAAATGCATACTTGTCCTAAGTATCTCATTCCTTACAAACAAGCACAAGTACATTTCATCCCCCCTCCTGCCTCTCCATTTGAAAAGAAGTCAGTGGGTGGATCTTGCTAATTTTAGCCATAGGTTCGCTTTGCTGTTGTAATTTGTGGCAACAAACGGGTTTGGCGCAACTTAGACCCCTGGAAGTTCTTAGTAGCTTCCTCTGTTGTTTTCTAGTAAGTTCAGACTTTGAAATCTTTTCATCCTCTTGTCGATACTTGTCTGTCTTTGTGGCTTTTTCTCCATTTCCCACCATTCCTGGAATACGAACCATATTAACCTTCAAGGGTTCCAGTGCTTCAGAGATGCAGGGCATGGGCCCTTAGGCCTACATTTGCAAAAAAATGTGTCAGTGCTAATGCCTATGTGTATATGCAAATTAAGGCTTTAAATGCCACAGAAAGTGAGCGAACTGATTTCCCAGCCAGATAATCCCATAGAAATTCTTCAGTTAACTTGTGACTTACCATAAACAAGTTCCTCTTCAGTTCATTTCCCTCAATTGATCTCCAGCATAGCCTACTCCAGATAAATTTAATTCCATTCAATTAAACCCATCACCCCCAAAATAATATCTAGAGAAAATATTAAATTTATATGAATATATTTTCCCAAATGAACACCCTAATTGGTAACCAGATCATCTACCCTCCGATTTGATTTCCCCTAAATTCATTACCTACCCAGAATTACTCAGTAAGAGCTGTTCAGCAGTGGGACGGTCTGCCTCGGGAGGTGATGGACTCTCCTTCCTTGGAGGTTTTTAAGTAGAGGTTGGATCTGTCATGGATGCTTTAGCTAAGATTCCTGCATTGCAGGGGGTTGGGCTAGATGACCCTTGGGGTCCCTTCCAAATCTAGAATTTATGATTCTATGAGTCCCTTTCTTTTTTTCCTCCCCTTGTTGTGTAAGTTTCTCCTTTCCCTTACCTCACCTCCACTTTTGTGTCCCGCACCCAAAAAGGATTGTCAGCCTGTGGAACAAGGCTTGTACTATTTTTATATGATTTCTAGTGCATATCATTTGCTTTCAGGTATAATAAATTATTATGAGTAACAAGTGCCTGCCCATCTAGTCTAGCCTCCTGTTCCCACAGTGGCCAACCAGATGCCTGTGGGAAACCTGCAAAGCAGTTGGTATTTAGAAGCCCTGTTGCCTTTGAGCCTGGAGGCAGAGCAGAGCCCTTGTGGCTAGTGGCTCATCAATAGCTCTCTCCTCTTCCATGAATTTGTCCAGTCCTCCTTCAGTGCCACCTACACTGGTGGCCAACATTGCCTCCTAGGTTGGGAGTTTCATAGTTTAAGCATGAGAAAGCAAGCTTTTAGCAATGTTTCTCAGGATCCCACCCTTTCTCCAAGCAGCTCTGTGTGGCTTACATGGGGCTATCTCAGTTTTCCCTCACTGCAGCCCCCCTGAGAGGTTGTGTGAATATAACCTACCCAGTTAGCCTATACCTTTGCAAATATTTTATTTCATTAAGCTTACTACATGCAGTACCCAGTATCTTTGAACCCTAGGACAGCTCCCCTTCTCCAGTGGCTTACCAAAAAATATAAAAACAGCAAATTATAATAATATAAGACAATTTCATAGTATAGCTGCACTAAAACACATGGCAGTTCTATAGCAGCAGCCATTATAGTGGCAGAAACTTAGGAAGCCTCCTTAGAATTCAGACCTATGGGTTGCTGAGGTCAGTATTGTCTGCACTGACTTTTGCAACTCTCCAGGGCTTCTGCAAGGGCTCTTTCCCAGCCCCAAGAGATCCAGGGGTTGCTTTTCCATGGAAATGAGAACTCTGCTCTCCTGGTTCTGGATTCACAGGATGCATCTCCCTTGCTGAAGGTCACCAGGACCTTTGGTCCCACCATGACAGAACATAAACTGTAGTAACAAAAAATAAATAGGGAGGGTGTGCCTGAGGCAAAACTGGAAGGTGCTCTCCTGCCCCCGTCTCCACCAAAGCCAACCTTGCCTTGAGATTTTGGCACGATCTCTCTGGGACCGCTGGGACAGTCAACGCTGCTTCACTGGTAGTGGTGGGGCGCCCGTGGGCTTCTGCCATTCAAGGCGGCTGCCTCAGCATGCCTCGTGGCACACCAGTCCTGTCCATCCCCGATATGCCATGTCTAGGAAAGCCATATTCCTCCTGCCTCGCTCCATCACTTCCAAAGTTCTGTGAGAGTGATAGAGCAATGAGTTTCAGGTGCACCTGGAATTGGACCCAGAAACCAGTATACAGTGGTGGTGGACCAGAAAAAAAGATTATGGCAGGAGCGTCTGCACCCCCATCGTTCAGCCTGGACACTGAGATCCAGCGCCGAGGGCCTTCTGGCGGTTCCCTCACTGCGAGAAGTGAAGCTACAGGGAACCAGGCAGAGGGCCTTCTTGGTAGTGGCGCCCACCCTGTGGAATGCCCTCCCACCAGATGTCAAGGAAATAAACAACTATCTGACTTTTAGAAGACATCTGAAGGCAGCCCTGTTTAGGGAAGTTTTTAATGTTTGATGTTTTATCACTTTATTATTATTATTATTATCATTAATATTTTGTTGGGAGCAACCCAGAGTGGCTGCGGAAACCCAGCCAGATGGGCGGGGTATAAATAATAATAATAATAATAATAATAATAATAATAATAATGCAATCCCTCGTAGCCGAGTAAGATTGTCTTCCATGTACACGGCCTTAACAGTGAGTCCATAAGTGACTGTTGGAGGCCAATTCTGGATCCACATGTCCTTCCACAGTGGGATCATAGGTTTCCGGGTGGGAGTTGATCATGGTGAAGGTTTGCCAAGCGTGCCTTCCTCTTTGCACATTTCTCCCTTTTGTCCTGAGTTCGAGTGTCTTCAAAGTGCATGACATCTTTGATAAAGGCAGTTCTCCAACTGGAGCGCCCGCAGGCCAGTGTTTCCCAGTTGT